AAAAAACTTAGTAATGACACAGACAACTGGTAGCAGGAAGTCTGAAAGAATGAAAAGCTGTCAGGGATTGAAATGAGGGAGGAGACAGGAAATAAACGAAAGGCATTAAGGGTAAGGAAGAAGTGTTGATCGGTGATAATGAATGCAGGGTTTACAGAAGTTCCAGAGGATTGGGAGTCAGTGAACGCCTCATCAGCTTGCCAGTCAGTCAGACTGTCAGTAGGTCAGATAGAGAATGACTCAGAGGGACTTTGCCCTTATAAGGTCCGTACTGACGACTACTGGCCAGAGTTATAGCTGGTGTGTCATCACTGTGTCATGAATTCATTGCTATCTCGCACTGTACCCTGTCTAGCTGTTTTCCCTTTATTATTCACTCTAGTCTCACTGTAAACTCCCAGTTATAATTTATTACAAGCCCACTCCATCAATAACTTGTATGTGTAAAGGTTTAAAAAATGTCAATCAAAAGACCTAATTCAGACTACTGGATCATTTACAAAACAATGTTCAAAATGATCAATACATCAAACCCTGGGAATATTTAAATGTTCACAGATTTTAAAAAAAAAGTCATACAAAACTATTTGAAATAAGACAATCACAAATTATTGTTAAAATGGAGCAGAATTAGCAGTGCCAAGAAACCCCATCCTATCAAAAATACTGTTTTAATTGGAGGATTAAAGTTGATCAGATGAAAAAAATTGATCACCTGTTTGCATTCTTACATGGCTTCCCTTTTCTTATGAGTTTAGACAATCCAATTATTTTCCTCTTTTCCTTCTCTTAAGTGCTTGCTTGTCAAACACTTAGTATGGAATGTTCTCATTTCCAACAGGAAGCAGTTGCAAAACATCATATAGCACATAAATTGTGGTGGATGATGACTGAACACTTTCAACAACTAGATGACTCATATAAATACATATTTTTTAAATACATATATGGCCTAAAGTAACATCTTTTACATCAGTATTTTTTATTACACTTTACTTCCTCATGCAGTCCTCTAACTGAGTGTACAATCTGGATTTTAACCACAGTGTGTTTCACATGTGAGAATCCAGACTCCTAATTGTCCGCAAAGAGTTAATCTTTACCACCTGAACCTGAGCTTCAGGTTTATTGTGGAGTGGAACAATTCTTTGTCACGTGAACTTTTACTCGTCTGTTGTAAAGTTCTGTTAGAAATTATTGGGATTGATCACAAACATGCTCATTGGATTGATGTCGCAACACAGTCATCAAGACATCTGGGTGATTAAATTTAACATTTTAGTGAGAATGTAACATTGTGAAACAGCAAACTGAACAGTTTTTGACGGCTAAGAGACGTTATGACATGCAAAGTAGTCTGTGACGGGTTAACTGTGATCTAAATGCCTCTGAAATGCCTGGGGTGGAGGTGTGTGGATGTGTATGAGTGAAGGCACTGGGTAAAGTTATTGGGTCATGACATCATTGCAGGCCGTGAAGTAGCAAAACGTCATCCAGGAAACAGGTTTCTGCCTGCATTGACACATAGGTAAAGTGGGGTAATGTCTTGGAGTTTGAGTTTGTGTGTGCGTGTAATTCCAGGTGGTGTCCTGTCTAGGTGGCTTATGAGGTAGGATTTGAACCTGGGGGGCACAATACTTCACTCATGGTCACACACAGGGAAGACATTTTGTTTAATGTGTATGACTGAGGCTTAAAATTACAAATATATTCTCATATATTTCATTTTGATATTAAGCACCACCATGGTACAGTCTCTTGGCTCCTTGACTAATAATAATAATTAAAAAACAAGCAAAATAAAACAACTTTCTTTTATCAATTGATTCTGATATTTAGTCAGAGCTCCCCCATATTTAGAGTATGGGGTTAAAAATAATCAAAACACAAAATTAGATGCTTTAACTTCCAAACACAAGATACAGACAGTTTTGGGATGAAGCCAGAGAGTTCTGATAGTTTTTTTAAAAACTTTTTTGAAGATGTTAATTTGTATCGTCCATCAATTCCCATCTTTATTCAAAATGATCATTTCAGGGCTGTAGAGGGACCCACTTAACCCCCCCTTCCCTCCTCAGGAAATGCCTCTTTGGAGATCTGTGATACTTAATAACCCTTGGAGGATGTCATTGCTGTATGAGACCACAACCTTAGAGCTCATTCTACACATCAGACTGATAGAGAAAGGCTTTACAAGCTTTCTCATTCTCTACTAACACTCCCTTTTCTACAGTTGGACCCTGGGCAGCTGGTAGGATGCTGAGTCAGTTGCTGGTTGAAGTCGGTAACATATGCAATTCTATATAAGGACCTCTGACTTGTTAAAACAATAGTGATAAATGTCTATGAAATTGACTAAATCACTTTGATTTCAATCAACCTTGGCATTAGTCAGTCATATCAATTAATCAATCATGGTATCGATCAATCGCTTTATTACTTGTTGAGGGAACCTTAGCAAACAGTTCAGTAGCGCAAATAAAATTGTCCTGTCATAATCTAATTTTGGACTTTTATTCTCCTAATTAATATCAACAGCTACTCTTAAATTTGGTTGTTTTATTTGACCAAGATCATATTATTATTCAGGGCTGGAGCCTAGAGGCGGGGCACACCCTCAACAGGTCTCCAGTCCATCGCAGGGCCACACAGAGACAAACAACCACGCACACTCACATCTAGGGGACATTAACCTAAACACCACACCACCGTGCTGCCCTAAATATGTTTTCATTGCTTTCTATTTCCACTTAATGTCACACCATTCCACCACTGAAAAATGGCCTTGTATTAGATTTATTGTATGGAAATTTTTCATACTGCAAAAGTTGTTCACTTTGGCTGAAATTATAGGTCAGCCCTCTTTGTGAATATTAGTATTTCTAAAGTGTCATTTAAAAAAAAAAATCAATCAATCATTGAAAGTACTTTATTGATCATACAAGGGCAAATTCTGACACATCTGACACATCTGGCCTGTTTTTGATACTTTCCGGTCAGGCTTTGGGCTCCACCATGGCACCGAGACGGCTCTGATCAAGATGACCGATGATATCCATCTGAACACAGATACAGGCAGAGTCTCAGTCTTAGTTCTGCTGGACCGCCTTCAACACAGTGGACCATCTTTTACAGAGCCTAGAAGACCAGGTCTGAATCTCTGGTATGACTTTAAACTGGTTCCAGTCCTCCCTTGAAGAGAGTTGTTACTTTATTTTGCAATTTGGAGTGTCCAATAAACCTAACGTGCAGGTTTTTGGATGGTGGGAGGCAGTCAGAGAACCCGTGCACACACATGGAGAACATGCAAACTCCATACAGAATCCTCCCCAGGGACTCGAACCATTTTATTATTCTATTTTGTTAACTTATTGTTCATTTTCTGCTGTTACATTCTCGCTTTTCTTTTTTGAGTCTTTTATGTAAAGCAATTTGAATTTTCTTATACGCAAAATGTGTTATAAAAGTTAATTCCTCTTAGTTAGATCAGACAAATATCTTTGAAAAAAGTAGATAAAAAAGAGACATTTCAAGTATAGTTTAGGGGGAATTTGGGTTTCTTATCCTTTACTGTTTGATTCTCAAACCAAATATATTCACGGTTTAGAATAATGAGGCTAATGAGACTAGCAATAATAAATCCCACATATGGAGAATTAAATAGTCTAATTTATTATGATTTAGGGCATTCAAATAAGAAATTATTTTGTACTGGTGATGTTACCTTCTAGATTCTTGACAACAGATTTGTCCACCTTCATTGGCCTTAAGCTTGTTTTATTGTTTTGTTTTTTTCACAACCAGATGTACTAGGAAGACCTGAAAGTCTATAACAATGGTGTACAGGGGGCTGGTAATGAGTCTAATTGAAATGACACAATAAGAGTAACCAGAGTCTCAGGTCAGAATAAAAATATTTAAGGTCAGAGATGAGAAAATGAGGTTCTCTTTAGGCTTAAATTGTTTTGCCAATTTCAGTTAGGTATAAATACTGTGCCAATCTTAAGTGTGTTCTTCCAAATGTGTATATACATAATGATATTACAACTTTTTACATATAAAGTGACTGTGGCCAGTGGTCATTATTGTTCATGTAAACTTAATCAGTCTCCTCTCACAAAAGTCAAAGTTCATATTTCAGGGGGTACCATTCTATCTTGCAATGATACAAAGTAATAACTGAGAAAAATGCTTTCCTTTATGCAGTCATTTCTGTTTGCATACGTTTTTTCATAATCTAGTTCTGCTTTTTTTCTTTCTGAAGACATTAAGGCAACCCATCTCAGAAGATTCAGACAATGGGAACTTTTATTTCCTCTTGTTCCTGTTTTAATTATCCCCCATTTTCCCTCCCTTGACTTTGCACGTGTCCCTTTTCATGGTCCGACATACGGCCTCTTAAAAGCCTCGGTAGTGAGATTCGGCCACTGGCAGCAGGTTAAATGTGGAAACGGGACCTGCCTGTCTGATCTGACCGTGTCTCTGGGAAAAACACAGCAACCCTTATAAGGAGACTGGCCTTGGTTAAACAGCAGGCGAGTGGGAAAGAGCGACCGGGCCATTCCTCGGAGAGAATTTGGTTTTGATAAGGTTGAGTGTGCGTCCGAGAGAGGAGTGATAGCCGCGGAGTCAGGATGGAGTGGACGCAGAGTGGTGATTGGAGGGATGAAAGGAGGAATGGACAGAGAGGGACGAGATGAAGAGGACTATTAGAGAGAGAGAGAGAGAGAACATGGGAGGAGGAGGAGGAGGTGGACTGGGTGATCAGAGACTGTAGGCAGGTTCTGTTGCAGTTTTAAAAGCTACCCATATAGGGCTGGGCTCTTCATCCTTTTTCACATCTGGCTCTGGCCCCTTCCCTCCGTCTCTCTCTCTTCAGTTGTCTCTGTGCAGCTTTGTCGGAGGGACTCACCTTCATCTCAGCACCCCAAGAGGTAAAACCCCTTTAACGGTGAATTTCCACATCTCAGTAGAGGAAAATCCAAAACTAAGCGACCACCATGGAGGCCATCAAGAAGAAGATGCAGATGCTGAAACTGGACAAAGAGAACGCCATCGACCGGGCCGAGCAGGCAGAGACGGACAAAAAAGCAGCAGAGGACAAATGCAAACAGGTGGGAAAGATGGGTTCGAATTTAGATATGAATTTATATAAATATTTACACGAGCAACTGATTTGCAAAACCAAAATCTGACCAAAATGTTTACTAAACATGTCATCGAGGATAAAACTTCAGTAAATCGTGGCAAACAAACTGAGTTTCCATTTGAGAAAAATGTTCATTTCAAACTAAAAACATTGAAGAAACTTCAACAGGTAATGTAAGAATAGCAAATGTTATTTTCTTTAAATACTTTTCTCTCCTTCCAAGCACAGCATTGACACAATACCAGACATACCTTAAAGTAAACTGCCTAAAAATCCTGAACACATATATTTATTTATTCAAGATTCCTAGCTGCTAATTTACCGTTCTAAGCCTTTCCATCTTTCTTTCTTTCTTTGATGCAGACTCACAAACACACAATCAGCACTTTTTATAGCTTATTAGATATTTTATAAAACAATGAGGCCACTCGAGTCTCATAAAAAAAAAAACTGGCATACTAAAAGGTGGGTACGAACTTTGGATCACTGTCATAGTTTGTGGGACTCATATCAGAGTCGGACTGTGGGCCAGAACGTTGGACACAACCTACAAATATTGAGATAAACATGAGCTGAATTTATATCAGCGTATAGATTGTTTACACTGAGCCACGAAGAGAGGCTGTCACTTCGATGTCATGACGATAATACTGGTCAGTTCAGGCGATTAGACGACCCAGGATGGGCATTTTCCTTTCGACTAGGCTTTTTTTCTTGAATGGCATCGATTTTAACTGAACACAGTCTGTCATAGGGCCTGTGTGAAGGTGTATCGCACCCAAAAGACAACAAACATGCAGCATACATAAAAGCGTTGGAGCAAATACACAAAATACGGATGAAACCCTCGCACAAACATACACACACAATCACAAATTCAAGCGGCGGTTCCAGGCCTCTAATGCCAGAGATAACAGTTGTATTTTAAGACAATGGCAGAGACAAGAGGTGTGGAATTCAGGTGGGTTATCAGGAGCCCCTCGCAGGGAAAGAGGGTAACACCGATTAGGGGAAACATTTGACACTGTCTGTGTACGTGTGTGTCTGTGTGTGAGTGATGGAGACACTGCCTGCCAGCGCTCTTATCATGAGTGTGATAGCAAACATTGCCATTTAAATGTTCTCAAATACCCTAAACCCAATTAGACTCTCAAATAAGTCATGGCAGCTTTGTCAGTAACCTCAAATAAAAAAAAGAATAAAAAAAACAACTGCCTGCACAACTTTATACCAAGGAGGCATTTTTAAAGCTAACTAATACGCTATCGTTTTGCAGCTGGAGGATGAGCTGCTGGACCTCCAGAAGAAGATGAAGCAGACAGAGGATGAACTGGACAAATTCTCCGAGGGCCTGAAAGACGCTCAGGAAAAACTGGAACTTTCCGAGAAGAAAGCCGCAGACGTGAGTAAAAAAAGGGCCGCAAACCCCTAGCGTTCACGTCCACAAACAGGAAGTCTGGGTCAGTTCACATGATCGGCCATACCGAGTCACCACCCATACTTTGAATATCAACATGGCCTCTGCTCTCGCCATTAAATACTTTCTTTATCTCGCTTTAACGTGCACACGGTTCCACAGCCTGATGCGTGTTGCCATGGTACGGATGGAAACTGAGGCCCATTATTCCACAGTTGGTCTCTCTGAGCCAGCAGCAGCTGTGGCTTTGCTTTGATCCTGTGTGAGGAGTTTGAACCACTTCAGAGACTGTAGCATTCCTGTGCAGCTACCTGAAAGATGAGAACATGATTAAACTGTGATAACTGCACCCAAACACAGACACATGACAGACGTATATTTTCACTCAGGTGATATTATCGTAGATTATGAAATGCAAAAAACAAAAAATGTGCTTTAAGTAACTGTGTTACAACTGATACTGTATATTTTTTTGTTACTTTTAGACTTTTTTTTAACATATAATTGGCTTTTGATTAATATTTCAGTTTTATTTCAACATCCCAATGCAACATTAGACCGAAAATGAAATATGACCAGATTGTTTCCTTGCTGTTCTCTGCCTTGAATCGTCTTTTGGACGCATGACCGCAGTCTCTATTTAACCTGAGATCGGCAGAATCAACAAATGATTCCAAAATAAACAAACCCATTAACGAGAAAATCCAGCAGAACATTCTATTAGGCAGTTCTTCCGTAGTTAATCAGCGGCAATTTTTGAGCAAAGGTCATATTTTAGGTTGTTGGCATCACCGCGCACCACATGCCTGCATGTCTTCAGTGGGGGCCCTTTAGAGAACGCAAGCTCAGGACTATCCATGTGCCCGGAAAAGATGGTAACAGTACGTCAAAGCCAATAGAAGCGATAATTAATCAGTTATCCATTTTTAGAGGAATTGCATGTCAACAAATAAAAATCCAATATATGGTAGAATCGAGAATTTAAAGCAATCGATGCAGAGTGAGAGAGCAAATAAAGGGAAGAAAAAAAACCCTCCTCTAACTTCTACTGAGATGTGCCATTGTTCCAGTCCCACAGAGGATATCCCAGGGAAATGCAGCGCGTACAGCACACAAAGAGCAGGGAAGTGCTTGTGGTATAGCTAAAAAGTTGGAGGCTGAGACTCGCTGGATTATCCTCACGCAGCTATTGAATAAACCCTGGGAACAGTTCTGGGAAGGCTCACGTCTAGAAATTGTTCAAGTTGGCTCCTGGAAATTTGTGTTGGTTTGAATCTAGCTTCCATTCTCGGGCGTCCTTAAGTAAAAAAGAAATTTAAGCCATCCAATTTTTTTTTTTTTTGTATTTTGATCATCTTGACATGTGTTTATGAAACAGTAACATCAGAAGTGGTGAAGCTGCTCCACTTCCATGAATTCCCCTCTGCCCGTCGCTTATTAGAGGCAGCAGTCAAGTCATTACACATGTGGATTTACACAGAGAAGCCTGGAGACCTGGAGGGGACTGGGAAAGCAGAGTATTTAGACAACTGAGCAGTTATGAGTCTTAAAAAAGGGGGGGATGACACCAGTGGTGCTCATATTTAGGTCAACCCTTTTTACTATTTGATCAATCCCCCCCACAGAGGCTGTTATTAGAGGGTCTGTCTTAATTTGAGACGAATATTGACGACTGACCTAGGTGCAGGTACTGGTAACCCCATTCACAGGGTAAACAGTGACCGGTTTAAGGGGGGGAAAGCTGTTCTGAGGTGGCCGGCGGGCGGAGAAAGCAGAGAGCACTGGTATGCGAGGAATGCGGCTAAGGCAAACAGAAAGTCCCACACTCCCGTTTAATGAAATCAATGCTTCCAGCTTTTCCGGTGCGAGGGGCTGAATCCGAGAGGGGGGGCTTAATCAACACATGAGACTGATTGTGAGAGATGCCCGTCTTGTGTCGAACAGCAGGATTGAATTTGAGCCGAGTCTAAAGCCGGGCTGAAATCTGTTGACCCACTTGCTGCCCCCACCCTCCTCCAACCCACACATGCTTGTTTTCAGGCTGATCATGTGAATAGGAGACGATGAAGGTGACCACGGGCAGGGCCTGGAGTTAAACTACTGGGATGGAGCCTGAATGTGATTTGCACCCTGATAATGAACATTAAATGAGAGTAAACAGGTGGGAGATGGGAGGGATTTGCTTACTCCTTCCAGACAAACACCAAAATAGTTTCTAAAAGTACAAAAGTTTACGATTTATTCAAAAATTAGAATGAATATGCACTAAACGAATATTTAGAGTTCTAAAAGTCTGATTAAAAATTAGGTGGATGAAAAGAAAAATGGAAAATCACAGACCACATGTCATGTCTAAAGCTTTGCCTTTCTCTTTAAAAAAAAAAAGCCATTTAAGAAAGTTGTGATGTACTTGTTTTTTTAATCCTAATAAAAAAAGCCTCTGGTAAAAGTAGCTAATGCAAAATGATTTTTCTCTCTGACCTTAGACTTACAGTAGGTGAGTAGGTTTATCATTTACTGTCAAAACAATCAAAATGCTAAAAATCTATCACCTGTCTCATTTGTAGTAAGATGTGTGGAAACTGGAGTGTTATTTGTATGAACTAGTTCTCTTTTGGGTTGATTCTGAACAAAGCAGATGACTGTACTTCTTCTGCTTTAAAGATTTGTTGAGATTAAAAAGCATTTCCAAATACTGGAATGTTTGGAGGATAGATGTAGACTATGATTTTAAACTCATAAAGGCTTGTTTTAATGTTATTTGAACTTTTATGATAATCAGATGCTTGCACTGCAAGTTCAATCAAAACTTAATGCCCGGAAGAGTGAGATTATATGAGCAGCCTGAGAAGTGAGGCCCAAGGAGATGGACTCAACTTCTTAAAAACAGTTAAGAGCAGAAAAAAAGAAGATAAAAAGACACAGACTTTTCTTAATAATTTATTTTAGGATGTACAAAAATCTTCTGTCCTCTTGAACTAAACGTAATCTGGAACAGCAACCTGTTCAATATTGATTTTTCATTGAATTCTTATCTCGCGGATAAGGTGTTTTCGTATCTAAAATCTTATCGAGAGAACAAACAAGTCTCTGTCAAGTTCACATGCATGTCAACTGCAAGAAACCTGTACTTAGAATTGTACACTGTCAAATCTTAGCCATATTGAACCAGAACTGAGAAATGTGACTGGTTTGGGAAAACAGCCTCATTTATGACTGGCATTTTGAAAAACATAGCCAAACAGCATTTGGCTATTTCTTAAGTTGAAAACGTACATTTTATACCGGTTCTTTCAATTTCCCTTTCCTTTTTTACTTATGTCGGAAGAAGAAACTTGTCCATTGTGTTAAGGCCTTGTAATCAACTCATACATAGTTCCATGCACAGTAAGTTGGAGGCGGGAAAATCCAACTGTTTAAAAAATATATTAAAAAAACTAATCCAGCCTAACCTAATTTTCCTTCTGAAATCTTCATAGCAGTCACATCAGTCACAGGGATCAGCGGTCCCATACAAAAAAAAAGCCACAGTCAAGCCCCGCCCACCCGTGACCTCATCGTTCCAATCATCTCTCTCCCTCTCGGTCTCGCGCTCTCAGCCCGTGCTCGCCGCACAGCGTCTGTACTCCTCCTCAAACCCCGGACCAAGCCTGCTGCGCACATTCCTGAGGACACCGTCTGTCCTGCCGACGAGCCTTTCATTCCTAAAAACCCCAAGAAGCTGTTGAATATCACCTGGACTCGCGCACTTTTTTAGCTACACAACTTTTTGCGACTTCCTTTTACATTCCAAAGACTTTGACCTGGGACGGACATCGATTTTTTCTCTCCCAGTAAATCAACGAGCAGTCATTTTTTCTTTTTCGTTCCCTCGTCTTAATTAAGCAGGAAGCTGTAGCATAAAAGGTCTTTTGCACAACCCGAACTTAGTCTTAACTGTGTTTTATATATTTTTCTACGCGTAGTAAGTTGAAAAAAAAGTCAAATCAAAGCGAACAATGGCAGGTATGAACTCTCTGGATGCTGTGAAGAGGAAGATTCAGTGTTTGCAGCAGCAGGCCGACGACGCGGAGGACCGAGCCCAGGTCCTGCAGCGGGAGCTGGACAGTGAACGGGAGCTCCGAGAAAAAGTGAGACAGCCTCTTTCTTCTCTTCAGACCTCTCTCTTGTCACTTTTTTTTTGGTCTGCTCATCCGCCGCTCCGCTTTCCCAACCTCGGACTAATTTACGAGCCGTTGACGTGTTCGTTTTTTGCCGGCGAAAGCTCTAATTAGATCATGTCATTGATTCATTCGCGGGCGTGATTGTGCCACAATGCAAGGCGTTGGTCTCTAAATGGAAAAAAAAAAAAAAAAAAAAGGAAAAAAAAAAGTTTGGATTCCTGCGCAGGCTGTGCGCATGCGCAGTGGGGTCCTGACTGGAGGCCGCTGTTGGGCTCCAGTGAGTGACGTGAACCACGTAGACATGTGAAGAGTAATGGAGAAAGTTCTTCTTTTATCTGTCTATCGATCCAGATTTGGCTGATATTCTAACTATTTTTCCAGTTTAGAGAAAGTCTGTTTAGACGCCTCTGGAGACTGACTTTTATCTTTTGCTCATGAGCACTTCCACACTGTGGCTGTTTTCCTGCAGCATCTTATGGCCAAACTTCCAGTCCCACATATGATTTAAAAAAAACAGAGCTCACAGTTACAGAAAAAGAGTTCAGTCTGACAAATGTCCATCTTGAAGTGAATGGAATCAGGCTGCTTTGCTGATTGGTTAATAAACAGCAGCAAGTTTTTTAAATCCATGTTTCATGATGTTAATTAGTGTTTTAGAACTTTCCTGGAGTTTTACTCTTATAAAAAAAGTTTTTCAATTGGTTCTTCTATCATTTTGGGCCGTTATGTGCTACCTGCTGATGGAACTACAAAAGTTGTGAAAAGATTCTTTTTTTTTTTTTACTTCCAGCATTCTATCAACGTTACATTTCAACACTCGCTATCAGCTACCGTTGCATAATTTAAGATAAATTGCCACAAGTCATTGCAGAAGTTCAGCAAATCGCTACTTCTCAAACAAGATGCTCACATGTGTCGGGTTGACTTCATGCCCCCCCCACCCTCTCAGTCACCTGCATGTCTCTTGACTCTCCAGGTTTTATGAGACGGGGAAGAAAGAAACCAGAGCTCCGAAAAACGCTTAGCAGCCCTGTTGAGTAATCGTCTTGACTTGTCTCACGTGCTGCTTTATGGTGCCATATCCTTTGCAAAGGAGCCGGTTTAATTACAGGACAAGTAGGAAGATTCAAGAAGGGTGGGAGGGGAAGGCGTGGCCGTAAAGATATGGCAGCTGGACTGATGAAAGGAGCAGCTCTGCTCTTGGACTTACCTCTTTTGTTAGACTGCCTATTAGGTAACAGGGTATCTCCTTTAATTTGACAAATAGGCATTTGCCCAACTTGTGATTAATAACTTTGGTCTCGAGAGTCAGATAGTGACATCATTAAGGATTACATCTATTCTTACTTCAGGTTGTCACTTGATGGCTTACTTTTAGGGGACTTTGTTTTGATAAAACCCTCTATGTTATCGACTAATAGCTTTATTCCCATGCTAATTTAAACTGGTATAAAAGTTTGACATGGGCTAGTAAGATTTTGTTAAATGTTTGTTTCGATGCACTTCAGCTTTTTCATTTTTAGATTAATGCAGAAGGTTATGTCTGAGAGTTGTTGTTTTTCTAACCTCACTACCGGTTTGGGTCATGCTGTCTTTCCTAATCTGCTCGAATACAAACGCCCAGCGATGAATGCCTAAATACGGTGTGGTGCCCTCATACCTGCTCACGCATGCTAAAGGCTTTCATCTGCATTTAAGGCTTAGCATTTGCAGGGTTTCAAGACACTGTCCAGTTTCCTCCATGTGCATTCAATGGCAGACAGAGCCGTACACTTGTGTGGTCCCATATGTGAATAATTAGGACAACCTGGAGTCATTCCTTAGCACAAAAACTCTTTCATCGCAGCACACAGAGATCAAAATGGGAACCTTGCTGAGCACAATGAATCTTTAAAATAGACAAAGATTGGGAGACAGCTAGCCACATCTGTCACTAAAAATAACACAAGTAATTCATGGTATGTCTTGTGTGGTTTTGACACTTCTGGGAGATGTTGCCTAACTCCACAGTAATGCTTTAAGGCTCGGCCGGATCCGGGAGACCTAGCACAGGCTTGACTTGCTCATTAGATGTGTTTATTTGGAGCCATTACTCTCAATGAGCTGTTCAGTTTTCGCAGCAGGCCAGAGATGTTTAGCTGTGCGTTCTTCGTGAGCCTGAGAGTTGAGAGGAGCCCGGTCAAACCAGATGGGCAGCTTTCCCTAACATGCTCGGCCTCAATTCTTTCCAGTTATGTAATAACCAGTCATGACAGGGAAGCACAGATGTACTGAAAGGTAATTTTCTCTTGAAGCTTTGTCTTCTTTGTCAAATGTAGTTCTGTTGTCAGTGGACAATAAATGGTTGACATGGTGACGGTTTCTGTTTAGCCGCACGCCGTCGAGACATCAAGTTTGTGGTACCACATCCATTAAAAGGGGAAGTTTGACTCAGACTTACAACGAGGAGCCGCCCCCATCCCACCCCCCCCCCCGCCCGTCCGCTGACTGTCCCTCCCAGGATGTCGCTCAGCGACTCTGGTCCAGCGCTTCCTGTACTTCTACTCCTAACACTTCCTGTCCCTGGGCTCCAGCCCTGATCAACAGGAAGATTAGTGAGTGTGCTGGAGTTGGCTAATGTCGATCCCAGTTGTTGGGCCGGTGAAGCCTCAGAGCTTAAACCTACTGAAATGGGGTCCTTTACTTTGGCTTTGTACTAGTTATAACTGAAGTATGTTGTATTTTCAGTTTTCTGTATATATAACAGGTTAAAAAATGTTTTCTAACATTGATTGCTTGTATTTATTGATAGTTTATGAATATCAGACAGAATAATAACTGACTTTGATACATGTAATTAAGTCTTCTGATCCAAATTTCATTCAATCAGAAAAAAGGACCTGAAAAAAGTAAGAATTAAAGTGGACTGACAACTTGGAGAGACCTGCATTGTGACTGGAAATCAGCCCACTAAGATTGTGTACGTGCCAGTTAGCTGTCTGCTCCAGCATAACTCTCATTTTAAAAAGAGGTACCACATATAATTGTCCTCGCTCAGGGACAGGCTGCTTGTTGATTGAGCTCTGTTGTTTCCTTCTGTTAAACATTTCCTGACTTACCAAAAATCATTAGCAAATCCGGGTTACCCACAATGCAGCATTCTGAAAAAAGGAGGCTTGCTCAGTAATTGTATCCTTCCAGGGATCATATTTGCTTTTAAAACTAAAACAGCGTGACTTTATTTGGACCAACATTTCAGTCTATTAGTTGGCCAATAGATGCAAACCGAATCTGTTTGCTGCCTCTTTTGTGTGATTTTCTGCAGGAGCTCTTTACAGGGCCTCTCCTGCCGAATCTGTGGAAAGAATTACTTCCTGATTTCAGTGTTTTCTTTGGACCCTCTGCCTGGGAATAAGTCAACTTTCCAAATATAACTACCAAATGTTGATCCTTTCTGGCGCTCACTGGCATGCTGGGGAACACCCCCATGTTGTGGCCTAGTTGATTATACAGGCCAAGGTTGTGGGTTCTCATGCAAGTGAGGACATATTTGTGGTGCAAGTGCTAGCACAGCTAAATGGGCTAAAAGCTAAGGTGCATTTGTGGCTCCAGATGTTCCTGCTATGGTCGGTGAGATATGAGATGCGTCTAGTTTTTCTCATGCCTTTTAGTTTGTGCGTGTCCGGCTGGAGGACAAGCCTCTGCATGGCCCAACAGAAAAATGTAAACACACTTTTCCACTGGGTTGGAATTATTTAAATAATCCGTCCCCATTTTTGCTCAGGCATATTTTTTACCGTCAGTCAAGTTAGTCAAGTCAAGCTCTAGCTTTTCTGGAAAGTTGGGGTTCTTCTTGTCTATTGTCTGTTTTTTTAAAGAAAAAGCAGAGATCTATTGCATAGATAGGCTGCAGCTTCTGGTAAGGGTCACCACCCGATCAAGATCCCTCTGAGAGTCGGAGAACATTCTGTTCTCAGGTAACAAATTACATTTCACACAGAGAGCTCACATTGTGAAGCTTGTCTGGATGTTTAATGGCCTTCTTTTACATATCTTACTTCAGGACAGACCGCCTTATGCTCACCCAACCGCCTGCGCACGCCACATCTTTATGGGAATAGATTAGTCTCTCTGGCTGCCTCACATACACGCAGTAAAAGCGAGGGTAGCAAACATCAGTGTTAAGAATAACTTCCTTTCAACCCCAGCAGCATTGTGTAGCTCATTAGCCCACTGCCCTGGAATCGTAATTAGATTCCTCTCTCACTTGTCCTCGATCCTGTCTAGAATACATGTAATGCACTTTGGTATTTCTAATGTTAGTCCCGGCAGAAATTGGCTCTATAATCAAGTGAGGCTGTAACTTGTTTACCTTACAGAGACAAATGTATCTATAGGAATCGAACACTGGCAGAGCAGTTTATAGGCCCTGACGGCTCTCTAACCTCAGTTAGCGGAGTCATAAATTAAGTGCTGTTAAAGCAGAATTTGCCCAATTCACCCTTTGAGTGTCTGTACAATGTAAAATTGAAAAGTATTTCTAAATGCTGCGGCACATGTAAATCTATCCATTCATGTTATAACCAAATGTTCAAAGTTAGGGTCCTGGGGAGGCTGGAGACCATCCCAGATCTGCCTATCACAGGGAGAGAAGCAGGGTTCACCCTGGATTGGTCAGCAGTTCCTATTCATTTTTGTTAGTGCAGAGGCAGGTGACAAAATTGAAACATGTTACAATGTTGCTTAATAGTATTACAAAGTGATACTATTTGCATGAAAAATGTGTTTGTTTACTAAATGATAATCTTCCCATCTTACATGAATCTGAAAAAGAGAAGGTTTCCACTGAGCTAAATGAAGAAGAAAAATGGCTGTAAATGCCTCCAGAGGTGCCGGTTTAAAAAAAACACAGCACCAAAGCCTCCCAGAGAACTGGTGAGGTGAGTTAAACGGAGACAATAAGACAGCAGCGTGGTGTCCTCTGGTATCTCTTAAATGCGGGTGTGTGTGTGTGTGTCTGCAGACAATCTTACTCCAGCACAGACGTTGTCCATAGTCGGTTTACCATATAAGGAGCTGTGCGTGTCCCTGGCAGCTAGAGAATGCAAAGTGGGTGCTAAAGGAAGGGGCATGGCCAATGCGACGAGGAGAGAATGAACTATCAAAGGGAGGAAATGAAAGGATGTTGGGCTGCCGACTTCCTGTCACCTGTTTGAAGATCCTCATTTGTAAAGAGATGTTGGTGTCGCCTGAAGTAGAAGAACTGCATCTGCTCATTTGGCATTTCTTGTGACCAGTCTTGACATTTGTTCATCCATTAATAATGGTTTTAAGCTGTATCTATAGTTCAATTATCGTGAAAAGTTGAGGACATACGTTTAGGAGAACTACCTATTCTCGTTTTTGGGAGTTCTTTGTGGAGTTGGAGGCATTGACAGCGTGTACAGTAAATACATGAGCTTTTGACTTTGACACAAAGCTGTCTCTGTGCATACAGGAATCCCCCCCCACCCCCCTGAGATTGTGAAAATCTGATGACAGATAAGGCATCGGGTCACACGTATTCAGTTGTAAGCACAGGCATGCTATGATAAGTGCTGCTTTTAGCTTCTTTCAATGTTTTTTTGTTTGTTTTTTCCGTCATTTGATTTGTTGGGCGGGAAGCCAGCAGCTCGCAGGTGGGTAATTACAAATGAGAGCCTCCGCTTGAATGCTAGCGGCGGGGCTGACCCCAAAGGCATGAATGGCGTGCTTGTTTGTGCACAGAGCGCGTTCCTCACAGCGCTTCATTCAGGGCGCAGGAAGTTGCGATATCTGTTATTTCAGGCTCCGCCGTAATCCTGAGCGACCCTCCTCGCCGGCCAGATGGTCACGCCGACAGGCTCCGGCCTGTGCGACGGCGCTCTGATGAGCATTCAAGATGGTTTGACCGATTTATGTTCTTCTTCTGTGTTGGGTTAGGTTTTCCTCTGTCATGTGCAAGTCACGCCGGCGATAGATGGACAGACATTTCCTGTCTTCTATTCTTAAGTGTAGAGGAAGGTAAAAACGACTTGTCTTTTTACCAGGTCAGCAGAGTCAGATGAAATGGGGACAAGACGGGGAAAAAGTATCCTACAAGTTAATTATATATATATATATATATAAAATGAAAAGCTACCAGCAAGTAGGAAACAATGCTTTCATTTCCTGATATGCTGCTTTTGTGTAGCCAAGTGGAAATGCACACTGGAATGAAGGTCGGTTTATTCTCAGCACATCTGACTTCACACCCATTTTCAGCAAGATTTCTCAGCCTCTTGTCTGTGTGGCTTCTCCTTTCCTCCTCGATACCGGCACTCTCTCTTTAGTCCCCAACATCTCCCACAATGAATCAGCCACTTGTAACCCGAATGACTGACACTTCTGATGTTGATCTGACTTCTCGGCTCATTGAATAGATAATGAGTCACTGGCCTACAAACCGCTGTCCCCCTCAGCTGCCTTCTTAGAGAATAGAAAGTTCCATCTTGGTGACATGGCTGTACATTTACATAGCAGTGTGCTTGTGTTCGGCTGGTTTCCAGTCTGAATGTCCAAACTCTGTCCAGAAGAGGAAATTCTTGTTTAGTTGTCTGTTTGCTTTTTTCCCGCCCTCCTTTGTTTACCGAGGGCAGAAGGGGAAAAACCCATTCACCCTCCCTGTTTGGTTTGATTCTGTGTTTGCTTCACCGGAAATTGGCATTTCATCCTTTTTTCTCTTTTCTTTTTTTCTTCTGTGCTTCAATCTTCAGATATTAATATGGATTACAGAAATCAGCTGTTGTACTTATTACAGGAAGTATTACAGGAAGTCTCTACAGCTCATTTTGGGGGTTTCCAAGAACCTACCTATAAATACATTTTTATTGATCCATTTTGAATGGAACACAAACAACCATAGAGAGCATATGGAATAAAACACTTGTCAACATAGAGTGAAGTGTGTTATAGATCACTTGCTGTCAGACCAGTTAATTAAGATTCTTTAAGGTGGTCAGGAATAATTAGAAAGAAAAAGGTGTATTTACCCTTTTATCAGAAGTGTGCTCAGAATTAGACTCCTTTACAGACTTTTTGGGGTGAGCGTGGGAGATTTAAGGGTTAGGCAACGAGCTGTTAAATGGTGGAGAATATAAAATTAGCTAAATACGGATCATCTGAAATATACAACAGTTCCCCTTGAGTTGGAGTTTCTCATAATCTCATTAAAAAAAATAGAAGTGGGAACTTCTTTCTTTTTTTCCGCTTTCCACGTTTTCAGATGTCTTAAAATGTCGAGATGTGTCGGGTGGAGACTCGTCACAGCTTTTGAAACAAAAAAAGTTGACATTTCTTTTTAGATTAAGTCTTTGGCTTTCCTCCTCATCCCATTTCAACACATAAAAGTGAGACTCCACAGATCACAAATTAGAAGTGTTGGATGGGAATTGAAAGCACGTTACAGGATGAAGTCATTCATGCTGATGTGAGCAGGAGATTTAAAGAGGAGCTGGAGTTTTTTATTTATTTACACCCACTGCCCACTTGTAGTATGGAGCAAGCCTTGAGTTCTCTCCTTCCTTTCTCTTTCTCAGGCAGAGGGTGATGTAGCAGGCCTGAACCGTAGGATCCAGCTGGTGGAGGAGGAGTTGGACCGGGCCCAGGAGAGGCTGGCCACGGCGCTGCAGAAACTGGAGGAGGCAGAGAAGGCTGCAGACGAGAGCGAGAGGTCCATTTCTATTCAAGATTTTATTCATTTGTTTGTAGTTCGTTTGGAATTCCCACCAACACCTTTCCGTCATAAGATAATAATGTAACTTTTGACATCTTCGCTTGTTGCCTGATCAGAGGGATGAAGGTGATCGAGAACAGAGCAATGAAGGACGAGGAGAAGATGGAGATTCAGGAGATGCAGCTGAAGGAGGCCAAACACATCGCAGAGGAGGCCGACCGGAAATACGAGGAGGTGAGGCTTTGGTAGCTCTGGCCTTTATAGGGCATGTCGCAGACCACAAAACCATAAATCTGACACAAAAACATGCGCGTCTTTATCTGAACCCCAGGTGGCTCGTAAGCTGGTGATCCTGGAGGGGGAGCTGGAGAGAGCCGAGGAGAGGGCGGAGCTCTCTGAATGGTAAGAAGACTGGTAGGCAAACATCAGCGTGAACATGTGCAGGTCCGCTCACACCGTGCCTCTCTTCCCCCCCCCTGCAGTAAAGCCAGCGACCTGGAGGAGGAGCTGAAAAATGTGACCAACAACCTGAAGTCCTTAGAAGCCCAGTCCGAGAAGGTGAGCGGGCGGGCAAAAAGCCAAACGGTCCCACGACACACCCAGGGCTCCATGTTTTCCCCGTCAGACTTTTTATTTTATTCTGTACATTTATGAGAGCAGCACGTCCCCTTTGGGCTGCAGATTGAGAGCAAATTATCACACAAGCAAAAAGGCTACAGGTCAGAAGGTAACAACTGACTATTTTTCATTCTCTACACATATACACACATTTTCCAAGGGAATTCTCAACACACACACAGACACACACATAGCCAGCAGCATATAAGGTGAGCACATCCTCTGGCACACAATCATCTTCACTTTTCCTGTATCCTGTCATTTGGTGGTTCAGTGGACAGTCATTTTGGTCAGCTGCTCGGGGAGGGACACTATATCAAGTATTTTTCCACATAACAAACAGCCTAACTGTGTATCATTAGACTCCTAGATTCTTTTAGTCGGGCACAACCTGAACTCCCCTCAGTGCGTGTGCAGCTGGTTAAATGTCTGCGGCTCCAAACATGAGGTGTTTTGGAGTGTGTGAGTGTGTGAAAGGCGGCGAGATGTGACATTCCTCCCGAGCACAGACATGCAGCGGGACAGCATGCCAGCGGGAGCACATGACCGCTGTGTGAGCGGGCCGCGGTCACGCTTCTGGACGGCCGCGCGGCCCATCCCGCTCCCAGACAGGCCTGAGACACCTCCAGGAGCCCTCACTGCATCCGCCATGTTCAGGCACAACAAAGCTAGCCAAAAGTTCCACTAATGGCTCTTTTCCTATGTTTTTCAGTATTCTGAAAAGGAGGACAAGTACGAGGAGGAAATCAAAGTTTTGACAGACAAACTGAAGGAGGTATGGTCAACTTTTGAGTCCTTTTTTTTTTTGCTTTGGTAATTTCTGTTAGTATGAAGCTATTTGTTTTTTTCACCTGCTATGATGATTATTACTCGCTGTGTTAGTAAACGCGCGTTTGACTAAATGTTAATGCTAAATGTAAATGGAAAACTGCCATTCACACAACAGCTGCAAAACGCACAGGAGTTCCTTGGAACCCTTTTCCAGTTGTGCGTGCTGGCTGAATTTGCTTGAGCTCGCTGACTTCCTGTGTCTGAACTCCTGCCAGGCTGAAACCCGTGCCGAGTTTGCAGAGAGAACAGTGGCCAAACTGGAAAAGTCCATTGACGACCTGGAAGGTACGAGAGCAGGACAGCCTCTCTGTTTTCCTCTTTTACACTACATGAAGACCAAGTGTCTGTCCACATACGTGTGTGTGTGTGTATGGAACATGATTTGCTCTGAATAGACCAAAGGAGTCATGCTGTAATGTAGATGTATCTGGGTTGGTAACTTAAGAGAATCAAACCAAAATTCCAGTTATTGTTTGACATAACTCTTTGGAGTGTCGGGACCATTTTTCTGTGGAAAAGAAAATATGCTCCGCCACCCTACAAGCTACCTAAAGACCGGTTTTCTGAGGGGCGAGTTCTCTCGGTCTGCGGCGCTGCAAAGGGGACAGAATGTGCTCAGATGTTTTGTAGGTCAGCATTATTTAGACGGGGAACCGCAGGGAGCTGACTTTATAGAGTTATTGGAGCAGCTTTTATGAGACATTCAGCGCAGGCTTAAACGCTCAAAGCTCGCCCAGCTAAAGGGCCGCGAGCCCAATTAGACACGCAGCGTTCTTTTCTTCCAAGCATTTCTGCATCTTTTAAAGGCCTGACCTAATTTTGTTGTCCTCTCCTTCCTCCCTCTGCTCTTTTCTGCCCCTTTGTCCGTCTCTCATGGCGCTTTTGGCTTGTCTGTGCCCGTACACCTGCTGTCCACCTCTGCCCCTCCAGACGAGTTATATGCTCAGAAGCTGAAGTACAAGGCCATTAGCGAGGAGCTGGACCATGCCCTCAATGACATGACATCACTGTAGACGTCTCTCTGCCTCTGTGTGCTCTGCCGCACCACTGTCCCGCTCCTTTCTCTGCAAACCAAATGTGCCTTTTGCCTATTTTCCAAAGGACGAGCCTGTATTAAAGCCTTTAAATTTCCTACTTTGCAGCCTTTGCCTCTGCTTTTGATTCATGGTCTCTGACAGAGTAGCAAAACGTAAGCAAATATACAATGAGCTTTCCAGGCTTTACATTATCTGATGGTGTCTTACAGAAGGTGAGCATTTGTGATGACTCTAACCCCCGTTTGGTCTAGTCTAGTTCACCCCGAGCCGAGACCTTCTATAGATCCCTGTGTTTCACATCCTAACATTTTTTATGGATTCCCAAATGTATTTTTTAAGTAAATTGCTATTTACAAGAGTCAAACTCTACAGATGTGTCTGCAGTGCAACACAAAGCTCCCCTAATAAGTCCTAAATGTATTTTAAAGTCTAGAAATCAGCGGTTCATGCATGAAAAGGCACTGTGTTGTGGTTGAAATGTTTTTGCATGCGGCACAACTTAACCAAAGTACTCATGCAAAACATCTGTCCAGTAAAAGCGTTCCCTTCGTGGCCGTCCCGGCGTTCCTGTGAGAGGATCTGTAGGATCAACCGCTGCCCGGGAACTAACCGTCTTTTGCTTGGTCTCCTCCTCAGAGAAACTATCGCATGCCAAAGAGGAGAATCTGGGCATGCACCAAGTCCTGGACCAGACCCTGCAGGAACTGAACAGCTTATAAACCCACAGACACAAGCCGAGGAGGATGCGATCGTCATTAACATTCCATTAAACGTTCGACTCCATTCCGCATCTTGAGCTGTAAAATCTTTACTCCCCTCATAAAGGGGGATTAACTTAATGCTTGTCTCCTAATGTTTTTTTTTTGTTTTTTTTTCCCCCCCCAAAGACAGCTTTTTTTTCTGCAAGATGGGGAATTATTTTGAACCCCTTGCTTCTTTTTTATATCTAGCTGTAATTACAGAAATTATTTCCTGAAATCAGTTTTTTTTTACCACTCTATTTAGACAGAACCGCCCATAAATTCACCCAAAGGAACTTCGGATTTGGTCGCTAAATCACTTTTGATGGCCCGATTTTACACGTTTCACGCACATACAGCACATCATGGCGCTGCCTGATCATTTCCACCCTCGTTACAGGCCGGACAGGGTTGGGCTCGCTCTGCGTCAGTCCGGCTGCTGACGGTTTTTACTAATCATGCTGCACAACCTTAAGAGGCTGCGCAGTGGTCAGATGGGCAAAAGGCCTTCCAGAAAAGTCTCAGTTAGAAGAACACTACCAAAGCCCCACACCTCCTCCGCTGGCCTCTCTAATATGGAGGCCAATATGGAGAAGATTTGCGGGGCATCAAACTTTATCTGTAAAAGTGACAGAAATCTGCAGACTGAGAACTTTCCTAGGGCTTTTCCCCGACCACCAACAACCAACCGCATCGTTACCAGCACGCCAAAAAAGTTACCGATATTTACAAGGCGTCCAGCATGTGGCAGTACGCGAGTGAGCTCGTCCCCAGACCACTGAAAGCTCAGTCCAGTCCAGTCCAGTCCGGTCAGCCATGGATACTTTATTGTATATAGTAGAAGAATGTTAGGTATGTGAGAAGCAATGTTGTATTGCTTTTTTTTTTTTCCTTTTTTTTTCTTTTTTTTTTAATACACCACTTTTTTTGCCTGGGGAATTTTTCAAGACCAAAGAAGACAGTTAATTCTACAAATGTTTTATTTTTGTTTGTGATGGTGATCATGGTCCTAGCTGATGTCAGGGCGCCTCCCATTCGACGGAGACCATTATGAAATGTTTCATCCACAGCCCCCCCCCCAAATGTCAATCCAATAAATGTTTTACATAAGATGTGGCTCCTTTTTATTCGACTTTATTTTATTATTTTTTTACACTGCATTCAATGCTGATCAGTCTTACAGAACCCGATTAAAGTTTCTTAAGATCTCAGCTCCATCATGTCAGTTTGTTCCTCACAGATCAATGCGAGCATTTTCCTCCTCCATGTTCCGTGTGACACAAAAAGCAGGTTGAAATCCTGCCTTCTAATGTCCAGGAACAGACTAATGTGAAGGGACTTCTCTTAAAAGTCCCCACCACACAGACTGGATTACTCATTTATCGAGCCCTTCATTCTGCCTCTCGTGGATGTTGTAGCGGATGGAAAGTTCAGGAATATTTCCTCCTAAAGGCACAACCTACACACACAAAATTAGAATAAAAGTTTATCATCACACAAGCTGAATAGAGATATTTTTCCAACTGATATTGCTCCTACCAGCTGTCAGCGTGCATTTCCCCCCCCCTGGTGTGCAGAGGATTATAGAGCAGCCCGGACAAGCCACCACTGTCTGGGCATGGCTGAAGATGGTGGTGATCCTGTAGCAGCCTGTATTCCACGAGAAAGTGAGAACATTTGTATTCGACGAGGAAAACTAGATTAGTTGGGAAATATGGACTCTATACCTGTGCATTTCACATCCATGAAGTAAGAGTTGGGGCTCTGCACCAGCCTCTTCTTCTTGTGCCTTCTCATCTCTTCTCCAAATCCGGGGTGCATCAGATCTTTGGCCAGCTGCGAAGAAGAGTAATTTTTTCTTAAATTGTTCATTTTTATTTGTGAGAATTTACATGCAGGTTTCAAAACAGGACAGCATTTTTAAGATGTGTTTTAGCTCAACGCCCCCTACAGTCTGATGAAAGAATGACAAGTTCCAATAAAAACAAACATGTCCAGACAAGTTCAGGCTCCCACATTACTATATTGCAGACAGAAATACTATATGTAAAAACATAATTTGGCATATGCAAAGTATATCTTCAGATCCTAAACAGTTTTTTATTTCTCTAGGCCGTCAGGGCGCATTAATCAATTTTTAACTGATAATTCGAGCTATTTTCTGTCAGTCAGAACCAGTCTACCTGTTTTTTAAAAACAAAACAAACAGGAGATTTTACTTACAGACATGTTGGAATAGATCAACCGGGATTTTTTTCTCGGGTCAAATTAAAAAAGGAGGTCCAGTGTGCAAACCAGGTTCACTTGTGTTCCTGAAGTCTGACAAGGTCCCACAGTGATGATCAGGAGGAAACTGAAACAGACAGGCGCTTCTTTCTGTCTTGGGGAGGAGACTCGAGTTAAATCATAATTGCAGAAAGACCAACCTCTGAACAAAAACACACACATAAAAAAAACGTAAATCCCTGTATTTGCAGTACGCTTTCCCAGGAGGGGTTTCTGTCTGACAAGAGAAGCTCCTCTGTTATTTTCAATTACAACTCCATTATATGAAAAATAATAATAATAAAAAAAAAACTCTATTATATAGCTTAGGAGCGTAAAATACATTTTACGCGTTTTTTTTTTTTTTGACCTGAAATATACTTATATAAACTTTTTTAGTAGATAGTGATTGGCATTATAACATTCTTATTCAGTCATTTTAAATACTGACACTATTATCTGAAGACTACGCTACAATACAAAATATAAATCACGCTGTTTATGACTAATAGGAAAATCACTATACATGCATTCTTAAATGTGATTTCAAAATCACATTTGTCCTATTTCAAAGGAGAGTTTGGTAACAAAAGGTGTGTTAAAATTATTATATGTATTTTTATTTTTTTGTCTTTTGGTCTGCAGACCGGATAAAACAAGTACTCATACATGACACAAGCTTTATTCAAAGGAGAGCAAAACAGACCTTTTTTTTAAAACAGAAAATTAACTGTCAAAAGTTTTATTTTATTTCGGGCAGCAACACATTGAAACCGAGCACATCCAAAGTTCCAGAAGCAGCGGAACGCAAGAGATTGACAGTTGTCTCAGCCAACAGTCGGAGTTCAAGAGCAGTGACGTCACCGCCACCGCAACGGGCGGGATATCCGCAGTAGTAAGCTAGCTAGTGACATGGCGAAGACGTACGATTACTTGTTTAAACTACTTTTAATCGGCGATTCAGGCGTCGGAAAGACCTGCGTGCTTTTCAGATTTTCAGAAGATGCCTTCAATTCAACGTTTATATCTACTATAGGTGGGTAAAAGCTTTATTGCCCGCAGTGCTTTGGCTGAAAGGCATTACAAGAACAGCCCATCCCGTCATGCTAAATTGTTGCTAACTTTTCTGGCTAGGTCTCATCCTGTGCTTGGGGCTAGTCAGGAAATGCACAGCCGGCTTGTTAAAAAGTTCTTTAAAGGTACCAATGGGCCTTTTATCAAGCTGCAATGCTTTGAAAGCCCCAGTTAGCAGGCTTTGGACAAATGGGTTACCAACCTGCGACTTATTTTCCGTGAAAACAACTCTAATATCTGCAAGCTAGCCAACATGCTACAAAGCTATATAAGTTAGTTGGCACTGTCATTTCCCATTTGAGCAGCTGACTTCTGCGTAGCATTGTTCTGTACAACGTTACAGATTGTCGTGTGTATCACCAGCACAAGCCATGTCCTTCTAAAATAGACGGTTGTCACCTTCTTGAGATGCCTAGAGAATTTGGAAGGCCTTTTTGCTAACATGTTGATTGTAAAATCAAGTAATTATCCCATTTTTGCATGTTTCAGGAATCGACTTCAAAATCAGAACAGTAGAATTAGATGGAAAGAAGATCAAACTACAGATATGGTAAGACTGTACAAATGTTCTCGTGGTAGTTAGTCTAAGTTGACATCAGCTAATTCATAACACACACCAAGCTGAGATGACATAATTAAACTGCAAGGTTTAATGTTTCGTAGTCAATATTTTATTGCTCTGTTCTTTAGTTTGAGAGGCTTTTTCTAACAGCAATGTCTCTTTTATTTAATCTTGAATTTTTGTTTATTTAAACCAGGCTGATTAAATGTGATAGGATTTTTTTGTATTATATGATAAAGATCAACAGGCATAATGTAAAGCTAACAGTCACGATTGCTTAAATGTGCTTTGTGTGCAGGGACACAGCAGGACAGGAGAGGTTCAGGACCATCACGACGGCCTACTACAGAGGAGCCATGGTATATTTCCTCATGTTACTTTCAAATAGTACAATAGCATAGATTATCTGTGGAATTTAACATGTAAAGTGGCTGTAAATACAATGTCTTAGACCTTTAATAGAGCCACGCCCCACATTATTGTGCATGTTAATGTAGCACACACCCCAAAGTATGTCAGTCATTATGCTTTTTTTGTGTGTGCTTCTCCTTTAGTTCAAGTCAGACTGCATGCCTTCTTTTTAATCTAATCCATAATAACATTATCATTTTCACCTTTGGAATTCAAGAGTCTGGAACTGAAGACTCTAAGATAACGCAAAATATGACAAATAAATGCTGACATGGACGGAAAAGACTTCCTAACTCACTTGTAAATTGATAAGTTTTGTTAAAACGCTGTTGTAAGCCTTTTCTTTGGTTTTCACTTCCCTGTTTGAATTCTCCAGGGCATCATGTTAGTGTATGACATTACCAACGAGAAGTCCTTTGACAACATCAAGAACTGGATAAGGAATATAGAGGAGGTAAAACATCATTTCACTACTGGTCCCCGACTCCCACAGGGAGTGTAGGACACACTGCATTACTGAAATGATCCATATTTCCCACAGCATGCCTCGGCAGACGTGGAGAGGATGGTGCTCGGGAATAAATGTGATGCTAATGACAAGAGACAGGTGTCCAAAGAAAGAGGAGAGAAGGTGGGAATGGCAAACGTGATGGATGAAAGTAGAACCGTCTACATTTAAAAGCTGCATGTAACTGTCCATCTCTGACTTTGTCTCCTCTGTCCAGCTGGCGCTGGAGTACGGCATCAAGTTCATGGAGACGAGTGCAAAGGCCAATATCAACGTGGAGAATGTGAGTCGACGGCATTCCGCAAATGAATTCGCATCTTTAATGTAGTGTTTCTACATTTGCTCAGTGTTATTCCCTAATTTCTTTACTTGAAAATCAGTTTTGGCTATTTTACTTTGGTGATGAGGTGTCGATATAAAATTCGGTAGTTATTTCAAGGACTGTTGAATAAATAAGAGCAACATTATTCTCTTTCCAGTAGACTATAACATTGTTCATCTTTCCTGTGAGAATCTACTTTGATAGACCGCCATAATACATTTATTTACTGAAGTATTAGGAGAAGAGCATAATAACGCACGTCTACTTTCAAGATCATAAGGCACATTAATATATGTAAAAGAAAATATTGCCTTAATAGTGTGCATAAAAAGGATAAACGCTGAGAATTACTGTAGTTTACTTGCGTACTATCTGAACAGCTCTGTGACATTACTGCTTTAGCCCTCAGGGTGCCAACCGCCACACTGATTCTTAGTAACCTAAATTTGGCTGTTTTCCCATTTATGACATGGTGCATACTAGCTGTGTCACTACCCCATATGGGTTGTTTTGATTTTCCAGTGTAATAGCCAAGCAGGGACCCCATTTCCAGACACACCTTTTATCTGTCATGCACTTTTGTGTTCATCTGCCTCATTTATTCAGATTTAGGGAGAGTATTTTTAGTTTTCTGAAAAAGAAATCAAACATGTTTAAGATGTCGGTTAGCTCTATTATTGTTCTAACGTCCTACCATTAGTATATTTCTCAACAAATCTGAGGCCTTCCTCAGCGATGTTTTCAGGACACCATCATAAGCTTAGACACAGTAAACGCATTAAATGTTGCAACTCCTTTAAAAAAAAAAAATAATTTCCCTCTGGGATTATTAAAGTATTTCTGATTCTGATTCTGATGAAGCATCTCAGTTTTCCATGAAGCCAAGTTCCTGGAGTGTTGCTAGGCGTCCACATAATGTGTTGCATTAAAATGGTTAATCCACAAAGTCAGACATTCATAGAAATACAAAGTCAAATTCTATACTGGGGAAATTTCTGTCCCTAGCACATATGTTTCATATTCCTTCAGTTAGCCTGCATGTATGCATTTTTATCCCCTTTAGGCAAAACAGTGCTGGAATTGTAATGGATAAAATTGGAAAGATCTTTTAGTCCCACCAACAATCTCCCTGTTTTATACTCTGATGAGGCCTTAGAGTTTTATAAACATAACGTTTTTTCATCTGTGCTATAAATACGGTAATTGGTCGTATTTATCATCCTACCTGGGAGGTTGTAGTTTTAATACCTTTGTCGGCTAAAACTGTGGAGTTACTTGACTGACAGTTTTCCCTACAGTAACGTCAGGAATTTGTAAAAAAAAACAAAAAAACATAGCAGATCTGGATGCTTTTATTTAATGTGGGATGTGAACCTATTTTTTTCAGTTTCTTTTTTTAACTTGAGCTAAAATCTAAATATTTAGAACTTCAAAAATGTGTTGCTATGGGGGGTGACTTCCTGTTGTCACATTCTGCAGAATGACGGTGCTAATGTTGATTTAATAGAAAATGTTTGAGGCTCTGGTGTACGCCATGCGTCGCCATACCACTAACGTGCCTCCATGTCTGTGACCACAGGCCTTCCTGACCCTGGCCAGAGACATTAAAGCAAAGATGGACAAGAAGCTGGTGAGAACGGAAACTCTCATGGCTTTAAGCAGAGTGTATACATTGTGTAAATGACACATGTAAACATTTCTAATCTGGTTCCAGGAGGGCAACAACCCGCAGAGCAGCAATCAGGGCGTGAGGATCACGGAGCAGCCCAAGAAGAGCAGCTTTTTCCGCTGCGCGCTCCTGTGAGGAGACGGGAGCGTCCACACTCACCATCGCCTTAACCGCGTCCCCCTCTGGACAGAACTGGACAGAGCACACTGATACCTGTTTTATTGTTGCTGTTTTCGTTTCGGTTTTCTCTCGTCTTCCTCGTTTGCTTTGGCCCGTTTCTGATTAGGAAAAAGAAAACAAAAGCCCCTCCCTCCTCCCCCTCCCCCCCCCAGTTCATCGGTCTTCCCTTGACACCTGTGGATCTGTCGTCCATTCCTGAAGAGCTCCTCCCTTCTGGAGGCTTCCTCCTGGTGAGACGCTCACAACCATCCAAGCTCTTCCACTCATAGCATCAAAGTCTTATTTATTTAGCTTCTCTGACCAACAGCGCCCCGAATTCTGCACCAAGTTTGCACTGACAGGGTTTACAATTTTATTCCTTATTTTTTTTCTCTTTCCTTTTCTTTATTTTTTTTTTTACATATACAATATGTAAATGCAGCTTGTAAATACATATCACCGACTCAGATTCAGCACACAAGGAAGCAATGCCAGTGCAGTTCAGCCTTCACATCCGTAGTGCGGTTCGCACGTCCTCAGTCTTTCCTTCTCCCATTCAACTGAATGATACATTCCATTTCTCTCGCAAACGCCTCAACGTGCAATTGTCAGTGTGTGTGTGCAGCCCCTGGGTTTGTCTGTAAAGTATTCACGCAGTTGCATCAAAGCTGAGATTCACAGGCCTACAGGTCCTCTCCCGCCCGCAGTCCAGCGGAGGCGGGTGGACCGGCAGTACTTAAAAGACGGAACCACTCTCCGGGCCTTTGATTGGCGCTGTGCTGTAGCAGTATTCATGGAGGGAAACAGAACATAGCACCAAAATGACTAAGTGCCCTTTTTATGTTCTTGTCCACGACGCACTTTCTCCTTTTGTTCTTCCGGTTTTACGAAAAAAAAAGAAAAACAAAGTTCTTAATGTTGTTTTCTTTTTTTTTAGATATATATACTGTTGCAAGACTTAACTTAAAGCAAAAGAGTATTCATGCGCAGGGTTTCCTCGTGCCCTGACGGGGGCTCCCCGGACCCCCCGAGCACTGAGCCCTCTGCATGCGGTTAGCATGTCAAAGATACGCAGAAAGCCAATGATTCCAGACCATTTAGTCCTTTTATTACCATGTATCACTTAAAACTCGTTCTCTGCTTTGCATTTGATGCTTTCGAGGACCCAAGTGGGCTTCTCACCCGCCCTTAACCGGAGTGGTGTGTGTGTGTGTGTGTGCGCGTGTGTGTGTCTGCGTTTTTTTTTTTCTTCTTTTCTTTCCCTGTATCACAGCAATCAGAACTATGCATTCCTGATGCACGGAGAACCTTGAAAAGCTTTGCACATGAGACTTTAAGGAGCTTTATTTGGGATTAGAATGGTGCATATCATTGCTGTCACTCCAGAGGTCTGCTTAGCGTTCCGGATGCTTATAGGAAACCAGTAGACATCTTGTTGAAATCACTTGTGACGGGGAGCCGTTGGACCCGTGACGTCACACACACTGTCTACGTAGATAACGTCGGTTCTATCGATCGGGCTCCGTTTTCGGATGTTTCCATTGAGCCGACGATCACAAAGCGAAGTCCACGTTAATCTGGCGGTTTTAGCGTTCACGCATTCCTCGTCTAAATTTGGGATTTTCTCTTAACAATGATTGACGGACTTAATGTGGAATAAATGAAATATTTCAGCAATTGTAAATAAGATCTACAATGATTGTACTGTAGTTTCATAAATCCTATTAATCTACACGTTTTGTAGATATGTTTACTTTTGATGATTTATTAAAGATTCTTAAAAAAAAGTTTGAATGTTTTTAATCTTCCTTTCCAATATTACACAGCTATATTTCATATAGCGTCATGGTTACATTGCATTAACTTTTTTTTTCTTGCGTGTTTAAATATTGCTCTAATAATAGAGTAATATTTAACGAATGGATGTCATAAACTGGACTTTACAATGAGATCATCTCATCTTAACCCTCTCTGGGTATGTGTGGATTCCCTTTGAGTCCTCTGGCTTCCTCCCACACCCTGAAAACATGCATTCTAGGTTGACTGATGATTCGAAATTGCCCGTGGGAGCGAATGCGAGTATGCTTATGGTCAATAATCATTCAGGACGGAAATTAGAAATCCCATATTTTTCTTCTTTTCAGTTTTATTAAACTTATTTACCTGCAAAGAAGAACATTAAGCTCGTTTTTCACTTTCTTGGCATAATAACGCACAGTTTAGAGAACTGATTTGCATTCAAATGTTATTTTTCATTTGAAAAATGTTGTGTTTACAGGCTTCAGGCGAGTGTTTCTAAGGAACTGCTGTGTTGTTAGAGGGAACAATCTTTAAATAACACGGCCATCGATAGCTGTCACAGTTCTGAGTCATTTGACATTTAGGTGATTCGTCAGGTTTGTTAGGACTTCCGTTATGAGCTGGCTGGATTTAATCTCTATTAAAAATAATTAGAACATTAAATTAAAACAATATGAAATGAGACATTGTACCAAGTGATTCTGAGAGTTTTGGTTGACCAAAACTAAAGTAGAGCATAACCACAGCAGATTGAATTCAGATAAATACATACAAATGATGCTATGTGTGTTTTCTGCCGTTGTAAAAGCGGTGTTAAAACTTTGCTTATAGAGAAAAACACCTACATAGGTTGTTTTGTCTACTTCACACATAGCCTGAAGAGTGATCACGCTCAAAGGACTTTGACCTTTTTTCAGTTTTTTCAGTGTTAGTCATTACGTGGGAGGAAGTTTTTACAATAGCAATGACAGAATTAGTTCAATCAGATCATGCAGCAGTTAATATTTTACCAAATGTCAACAGGGAAGACTGTTGTGTGATATCAATTATTATGGTATCTGTGTATGAGAGGTAGCTTCCTGATTACAGTGTTGGGCATAGGCGAATTATGAAATAGTCTTTGGATCTGTTTTCTCGAAAATGAGTTTTAATGTGGTTTCCCTTAAAGAGCAGACCCCAAGACCACACATTTTTTTCCTCCCAGGCACCACTGGGAGGAAAAAAACAGCGGGTTGCTGGTGTGTAAGAACATCTATGGTATGATCTGGCTTCCAAATCTGAATATTGTTTGACTGACCACTGCTTTCCATGAAGCTATGATGATACAGGTGCATTTTCTAGCTGATCTTTTTTAGAAAATATGTTACTGTTTATTCAAACTTCTTATGTAACCTCATTGAGACAAAAGGGTTGTTGTGTAATAGCTTTATGAAGTCATGGTTTTATATGGCATTATAGATTACAAAGTATATAGTCCCATCTACTCTTTGTCCGACCACCTGACCCTTCTATGCAGGATTCGTTCGCAGACATGTGGGATTTAAATGGATCCTGACTGGGCTGGGTTTAGTCCCCACCCCTAGGCAGGTGTTATCAGGGGAGTGAGCGGTGCAGGTTTCATTTCACCGCAAAGCTCTCAGGCCAGGTGAGTCATGATTTCTGTAAAGTTTGAATGCAGCTGCCTCAGATAGATTGGATTTTATTCATGAAATGACAAAAAGTTGGGTTTTTTTGGATGTTCAAAGATCAGGTTAAAAACCAAATGAAATTATAATTATCAAATACTGCAGATTGTAATGTTACAATTGTGAGATGCAGCAAAAAAGTCCCATATAAGCAGGATTTTTTAACAGCATTAGGGCTCTATTTTATTTAAAAAAAGGTCTACTATATTTCTGCTTTAAATTGAAAACAGGAACAAAGATTAGAGAGTAATTTGGAAAAGGATTATAAAGAATTGAGTTTGCCAATTACTGTATGTGCAGAATGTATTTCATGTGCAAACACTGATCGTACGGAGTCCTTGAACTGTACACGATGCATTCGCAGGCCTTTTCTGAGGATAAAACGCACCGTTTCCAAGGATTATGGATTGGAGTCAGTCTTCTCAAGGAAAACACAACGTTTTCGCCTGGTTCACAGAGAACCAGCTCCAGTCTGTGATCAGGAACGGTATAATCCCAGAATGGTTTCATGGGATCATTTCCAGGAAGTAAGTCCACAGTCTATCACGCTTTGCCATCTATGGAAGCATTGGCAGATAGACGGATAAAAACAGGAATCTGGGAAGTTTTGTTTTTAAATTCCTTCATGACCAGTCACAGCATGCTATGGCTTTATGTGATATTTGCATCACATTTAAAATTGGCTTTTTGTTTTGTTTCAAATGTCTTATGTATTGTGTGTTTTCCTCGATTTTAAATGGAATATTTGTGTCAACTTTAAAGATAAACAGACAGAAAACCAAGGCATAATGTCTGTTTATCTTTAGAAAAGAGTTGATTAATAAATCATTTAAATCTGCAAAATTTGACCTGAAATTTATAAAGGAATTTGTTTTTCTGATAGCGTTACACGATTCAACTTTATCTATGATATAAATGATATTTGTGAACAACTGAATGCTTTTTTAAAGAAAGAAACATTAATTTAATTCTGAGTTTGTTTCATGTTATGATTGACAACCTGATTTGTTTTTGTGTTAACTGCGAAAATGCTGTACAGCATTTCCACTAATGTAAACCAAACATTTCCCTCTCTGGCCTCTTCAAAGTACTATAACAATATTATGATAGTGATTAAGAGTGTGTGTTAGTTAGCTTAATTCAATTTCAGTTATCAAAACGTAATTAAAAAAATTTCAATAAATTTAATCTAGAAAACAAGAAAACCACCATTTTGAAAGTCTAGATATGTTTAAAATATTGCAGAGGGCAAGGTAAACAGATGTAAAAATGTAAATTCTGTACATAGCCAACTTCCTCATAGTGCTCAGCTGTTCAGTATCCACTTCAGCGTAACCAGATCATGATGATCTTTTGCAAAATTACAGCTTTTAGTAGTTTCTTTGGCCGTATTTATGTCACCTGATGTACAAAGTGCAATTCCCCATCCATCGTTAGCATCAAGCAAAACGGGATTGACCATTTTCAGCAATGTCAAATCGCAAAAATCTAAAACACTAAACAGAAAATGTAACATCTGTTTAGTCCAGAAAAGTCAAACTAGACCACTAACTCTTCAAACATCAGGCTTTCTTTAATGGTAAACATATAATGTATGTAACCAAATTAATGTGAACCTACTGTTTGTATTTTTCCCTACACACCACCTGTCAGTGTAGTTTTCCAGGTCATTGTAATGAAAGAAAAAAGGTAGTTTAGTTCTTTTTGTTTAGCAAAAAGAAGTTAAGCCTTCTCCTTTACGGTGCCACAATCTAAAATACAACAGTTAAACTGCAGCGTGCTTGAAAGGGGCCTTTGTCTGTGGTGATCTGTGCAGAACGGCGGAGGAACTGCTCATGTCCAAGCCACCTGGCTACTTCCTCATCCGAGTCAGCGAGACCAGGATTGGCTACACGCTCTCGTACCGGTGAGTGTGTGTTTTTGGCCAATTTAAGGAATATCTGTTTCACCAACGGCTTTCGGAGGCTGAATTCAATATCTCCGAGGCCTCCCCGACTCATTTTTTTTTTTGCACTGACCGCTCAGCGTGGAGGAGCGCTGCAGGCATTTCATGGTGGACGTGCTGGACGACGGTCAGTACGTCATAGTGGGGGAGAGCAGGCGTCACCAGTCTCTGCAGGAGCTGGTGGACTTTCACCGCCGGACCCCCATCCTGCCCTGCAATCAGGTTCTGACCGTTGCATGTGGACAGGTGAGGGGATTGGTTGGCTATCCCAGTGTTTTTCAACCAGTGTGCCTCGATTGATGGTCAGGTGTGCCGTAGAAAATCATCCTATTTCACCTAATTGGTCTAAAAAGATTTTTTGATAAAGAATTAATTTTCTGCAAATAACATGCCATTTTTGAGTGTGTGTGCTGTTCAAGTGACTGGTGGCGTAATCATGTAATAATTCATTATAACTAGATTTTGTATATAATTTTGTATATTAAAGTGGCCATGTTAAGTGCAATTTGAAAGAAGAAATATAAAATATGATAAAAAATACATTTTTGTGTTTATTTGATTCCTATTAAAGACACTTAGGATCAGGTAAGAATGAGATAATAATAACTATAGTGTCACTATAGGCGGATACAGATTTGTTTAACATTTTGGTCTGGATTTTTTCAATGAAAAACTGTACCTTGGCTCAAAAAAGGTTGAAAAACACTGGCACTCTTTTGTTTTAACAGTGTCATACAGATGACTGAAACCACAATATTTACTAAATGACATGTCACACAACGTGAGCTGACATCTACTGTCTTTCTGTGTCTGTCTCCAGTCCCAAAATGGCCACACGAACTACGCAGAGCTGCTGTTTCCTCAAAAACATCCAGTCTCCAACGCCAGTGTGCAACAAAGCCAGCCCCCCCCCAGCAGCGGTCATTCAGAATCACAGGGTGACGTCCCACCCGCGGTTCCCTACAGACCCGATAACCTCAGGACTCCCCACAGTCTGCAAAACAGGCTGTACCCTCGTTTGGAGGATGATTTCCAACACATCAGCTCTCCGCTTCCGCCCATGGTAATGACATGTAAAAAACAAGAAAAAAAAAATAGACATATATGAAATATTTGCATAGAAGATGACCGACTCGTGCTTTTTTTGTGTGTGTGATTGTGTACCTAAACCTGGCTTCCTTGGAAAAAAAAAGACAGTGTCCACTAACAAGCCTCCATTAACCCTTTAAAGCCTGATCCAAGAATAAAACAAAACAGAAAATTCCTTTTTTTTGTTTTGAAGTCTTTATTAGGCCTTTTAACAGAACAAACAGAAATACATCTTTGATATTAATAATCTATTACTATGCGATAAGTCAAGATTATTTTTTGTGTAGTCTTCTGCCCCTTGTTAATTCTATATCTGATTGTGTACAATAGGATTTTGAGATGCAAAACATTTCAGAAACCGTATGTATCAAATATGATACATTTGGCATTACAGGGTTAACAAGACAGTATCTCATCAAAATGTTGCTGTCTGTTGATAAAAAACTTAGAAAGAAACGTGAAACAGTGTGTTGTCAGATAGTCGTTTCGCATCCTAAAGGTTTGGAGTCTAAATTCAGTTTTGACAGTCTCACACATAAGAATCGTAGTGGTTAAGATGAGAAAAACCGAACCAAAGAAACTTTTTAAAAACAGCATCATTAGCTATTGGGCCCCACTTAAAGCACTAAACACACAAAACAGCATGCATCACACACAAGCTGCTCACTATTAAATACGTTTACCTGACTGATGTGCTGGGTGACACCAAAAAAAAAAGGCTTTCGAGTTAATCACTGCAACTGGAAGCTTTTCTGTGTTGGGACTCTCGTGTGTTTGGCCACGAGTGTGTTTGGCCATGAGTGTGTTGATAGAGACAGTTGTGCTGGTCAGCCTGTGGGCAGACACAGGAGGAAGTGGTCCTAAACCAGTTCAAAATAGGAGCAGTGAGTGGGAACTTGGCAGACAGTGACATTCACTCCTATTGTGGTTACACAACAATACCCTCTATAGAACAAAAATGCGTACCTACTCTTTTTTTTATTTGATGACGATCTGCCATTGTAAGGGGTCTTTATTTTTGTCTTACAAATGAGTGTGTCTTATCTTTGTGATCTGTAGCCGGTGCCAATGATCAGGAGGAGCCAGGCAACAGATAACCCTCCACTGAGCAACCCCCCCCCAAGTCCCCGCTCGGAGTTATCTCCCTGAGGGGCAGAGGAGGGCCGCCCCGGCCCCTCTGAGCCCACGAAAAACTGTTCCGGCCGAACAAAATCTGGGAAACTACTCTCACGTCCACTCCGTCAAGAATCAGGAAGCCAAGCCGTCAGTCATGGCCAACCTGAAGAACCTGAAGAAGAAGTTCCAAAAGAAGACCAACGCTCCCCAGGATAATGAATACGCAGAGATCCACTTGGAGTCGGGTTCTGGGGGCGGAGACACGGAGAATGAATATGAGGAGATCGCAGAGGAGCAGAGCTTCAGAGGAGCCCGCGCTGACCACACCAGCCGGACACGGACAGAGCCGGTGTTACCGGAAGAGTACATGCCCCCCCCTCCTTTTGCTCCAGGCTACTGATACCCCTCAGAATCCAGAGACTCCCTCCTGAGACTGATGAAAACACAGTCTGGGACAGTAATGAGGGCCACTCAATCAACAACCTCAGCTAAAGAAGTGTGATAACAGATGTGATCCTAGATAATTAGGATTTATTAGATCGTGATTCATGATCTTTTTGAGCCACCGTCCAAACCACAGGGGTCATGCTTCGCTGTAAAGATGTGTTCTTTTGGATCGAGATTTTTCAGGATTGTTGGAGGACTCTAATGTGAGCCGAAAGCTCCCCAATTTTCACTGGGAAATATTAAGAACCCTGCATAGAAAGACCCTAGCTGAGATTTGAACAAAGAGACAACAGTGCAGGCCAATTGTTACCTCAGGAAAGTGTTACATAACTTAATTTAAATTTACCTACAAACTAAAGTAACTAAAGTTACATAATTTGAAATGCAAAATGTTCAAAAACCCATCTGATGATATCAGATAAGATTCACATTTCAGTTTGAATTACATGTAGTATGGATCTGAGTTTGCAAACTTCCTTCAATCTAGAAACGTTCTTCTTTTTTCAAGAAAAAGCATCATGATACCTGTAGTCTCCCAGATTCTGCAGTTGTCAAATAAACCCCAGAGCTTTATCTGTTACCCTCATGTTCTGTTGGAAGAACAGGAACAAACATGCACTCTGTTTCGATGTCTATCAAATGATGCATATTTTCACTTTTAAAAACAAACTGCCAAAGTCATGATGTTATAAAGTGCTTCCCAACAGTTATGTGTCTCCCTCGTACATCTTGTTAACTTGTGACTACATGTTATTGATCTCATGATAGTATTTTAAAGCATTTCCCACAACTGACATAAACGAGACAAGCAGGTCTCATTTGTGGCCAGACCAAAACTATCTTACAATGCTGAATACAACCAAAGAAGGGATCAGTTTGCACCTTGGAATTATGTTTGGTGAGGAAGCCTGTGTTTCTCTTTTCCTCGGTGCCTATTTCTTACTGGCAATAATCTTTGACTCTGTGCTAACCCTGTTCTAACCATCGATAGGACTTGTAATAATTAGCCAATTCAGTCTTTTCTTGACGTGTGTCATGATGCAGACACCAGTCCTTCCAGTTTTAATCTTCTTCACTATATTAGTTACTCATTTGAAATGTCAAACATGTGTTACGAATATCAAAACAGCTTTTTTGAACAAAGGGCCTAGACTTAAGCATCTGCCATCATATGTAATGAGGAAGCAGGAAAAGAGAGAGCACCAGTCAAACCTGTTTTCCAGGCTGAGACTTGCAGTCATATCAAATCCATCTTGAAATTATTTCTGGATAGTTAGATGGAGGCATGTAAACCATGTTACAGCAGCAACATATCACAATATCACAATTGAGCCTATGGCGTGTGAGGTTACAGCAAGGAAAGCTGCTAAATTCTGAGCAGATGTGCTGTCTTTGCTGTTTGGCAGTGCTGTGGATGGGCCTTGGCAGAAGGTTATGTAGCGACGTTTCTTTTATTGTTGGACTTTGTCACTATCAGTGGTTCAGATAGGATTTGTTTTGGTGGTCAAGTCTGTCCAGAGGCCTGCATACCAAACTAATGGAAAGAAGGTGTTTCATGGTAGAGTGCCATCTAGTGGCAGTTAGCTATATCTCACCTTAAGAAGTAAACTCAACTCTTTTCTGTTCCGTATCAAAGGAGACACAATCAACCTCTTAAGTTTTTCTTTTAGGGGCAGTGCAAACAGGTTTGATATGATAGATTTAAAAAAATTAAGTAAGTAAAAAAAACGTATGTTTGTATGTATAGATAGATAGGGATTTTCTAAATTCCATACGGCAGATGGTGATATAATGCGGATTTAAACTCCCAATCATAGAATAGGTCCCTTTCCCTTTTATCCCTTTTTCTGTATAAAATATTCTGCTTTGTGTTCGAAAAATGACAACATTGGGGAGCGTTCGTTTTGTCACAGCCGTCAGACCCCGCCCGTCCGGCTGTCCGGGTGAACACATCACACAAACCTGCCCTCGGAGGTGGCCGGCTGACGTCATCGGGAAGCCGTTGGCTCCACGGCTCGGAATCCGCGAGTTAACTCATGTCGAGAGCTGGGAAGTTGTCCCTCGACGAAAAAACACAGTTTATTGAACTTTTACGGTTACGGTTCTCCGACGTTTCCCTGCTGTCGAGACATTTAGGCTCACCCAACAATGTCTTTTATCCCAGGACAACCGGTCACTGCTGTTGTGGTAAGTTTTGGTCAAGCGCTCTCTCTATTGACCGAGATTCTATTGTTCAGCTGCCCGTCCCAAATGAAATCCTAACTTTACCAAACCCTGTATTTACTGGGGTTACTTAACACAAGCGTCCATTTACCAACGTAATATCGTGGAATTAACCGCTACGTGATGCTATGGGATCCGGGGATAGCAGGTCCTCCACAACTGCGAACACGACAGATGTTAATGCTGAAACGACCCAGTTGATTCGTGAAATTTTCACTTTAGAGGAGACTAGTTTTGAGTCGGCAGTTGCCAAAACCATTTTAGAATGCTATTCGAGATTAAATGGACATCTGGTTGAACATAATTAAAACGAAGGCTCACGACTTTTTAAATGGGCGTCACCTCGTAGGTGTGGGAGCCAAACGTCCCGGTCAGTGAACGCAACATTTCACAAATGCCAAGCATTGTTTCAAATCTTGTTTTTTTCCGACTCAAACAACCGAAAAATGGACAGAAGAAGTCCACACATACAAGAATAGACATCAGTGATTGCTTTTTGTTTAGTTTTTATTTCTTAATATCGGATTACAGCTGCTGGGTGTGAGGAATGTGACTATGTATAACGGGACCTTTGACCTGAGGCCTAGAAATGACTCCTATTGTTCTTAATTAGAATGCAAATGACTCCCAATCATTAAAGGGGCTCCGATCGTCCTTTCTATTCATTTTTTCCCATTGAGATTGAAATCACCAGCTCTCACAGCTGGCAGAAGTTTTACTTGTCAGTCAACAGGGAACCTACGCAATCGGCAAGTTCCAACTTATTGACTGTCAGACATTTTCTGTGAAGTCATCTTTAGACTTCATTGTGTCAGCCCACTGCGGGGAGACTCTCTAGTTAGTCATCATCATCGCACACAGGCGGCCTTTGTGTTTGAGCAATCCTACTGTCGGAGTATTCCTTCTGTCTGCTGCCGTCAGCCTGCAGCTGCTTGTCACCATCAAAAGGAACGAGTCCATTAACAGAGTTCCCCTCTTTGTGGACGGACCCTGCGAGGGGAAACCTCTGGAGCTAGCCTTTTCCTGGCAGGGTGTGTTCTTGGCTATGCAGTCCATCCCTTTTCTGCGGTTCCCCAAATCTGTAAAGATATGAAACATTTTATTGATATCCTGATAAATTCTTCTTTTGGACTGCGTGGAGAATAACGGCCTCGCGTTGAGTTATTTTGTCCGACCTCGACTTGTTTGGCTGCAGCAGTAATGGATCTCTGTCTAACTCTAATGGCTCACCGGCCGTTGTTCACGTTTCTCCGTGTCAAACAGGCACGAGTTGAGATCAAGAAGTTGCGTCAAGATGCCAACCTGATCCTGGGCTTCAGCATCGGAGGAGGAATAGACCAGGACCCTGGACAGAACCCCTTTTCTGAGGACAAGACCGATAAAGTAAGAACAGCTTATGAAGAAAGAAAAGAAAAAAATGTTATTGGGATTACGGTACTTAAAAATGTGGCCCTGTTTAGATAGAGGGGAAGTCATATCTCCAGTTATATGCAACAGACATTTTTCTCAATAAAAAAAAAAACTATATATAACATAATTAGGCTCTTTAAACTCATTAAATGTGGCAAAAGGAAATGATTGATGAATCAAGCAGACTTTGCCCTGCAGTGATCTTTTGTGGGCAGTTCCTTAGTCATTTCTGTTTATAACAACCACATGGCACAACTTATTTCCATCTACTGCCACATAAGCAAAATGTAGATTTATTCTACAGTCACTCTTTGGGTCAGCAAAGCGCCAACAAAAGCTGCAAACTACCTTTTGAACTCTATATCCATATGGTTTTGTGTTGAATCCTGTTGATAGTAGAGCGGCATTTCGGTGAGCTGTGAATGAGGACAGGCTGGAGCACATTTCTCATGGCCTCAGGCTAAAACAAACCAGGCGTGTTTAACTGAGTCATAGAATAGGACACAGTTATGTCCTACCTGATCATCGCATAAAGATTTATAGCTTGAACTTTAAAAATCTTAATTCGAATGCCAAGCGTTGCCCTCAAAATGATCACAGATTAATAATGGCTTTGATTTAGACATGCAGACTTTAAGTTTTTTACATTTCTTACAGACAAAACAACAGATACAGAGTCAATTATTAAACTCAGACCCTGAATTATCTTTATCTTAATAAATCCTTTTAATTATGAAAAACACAAATTAAATCAACCATACATCCATAGTTCATCCTCGACTAATCATGAATTTGTGTGTATTAAGTGGTTTGTACTGCGGTCATTTCCTGTTGTGATGTGAAATTGTGGGCATTCTATCTCTTCATCTAGAAATCACTGGTTGTTTCCAAAATTTGTTTTGGGTAATTATTCATTTGGACAGAGTTAGCGTTGTCTTCTTTTTATTTTTTAGAATTGGTGGACTGTTTTTTTTTTCAGCCGGAGACTGTGATAATATGAAAGAGCATGACATAGTAAGAGTGTGTGTTTTTTTCTTGGCCAAAGGGAATCTATGTGACCAGGATATCACCAGGAGGACCAGCAGAGGCGGCCGGCTTGAAGATAGGAGACAAAATAATGCAGGTGTGTAGAGCAGATCCACCAGATGGCACTGTGGGCCTCTTTAAGCAGGGCACCTGCTCACCAATCAGCCAATCAGATCAGCAGATTTATTGATTTATTTTCACAAAGCTCTAGCAGAAGTTTCTTCTTCCTCTTCTTTTTCTCAGGTGAACGGCTGGGATATGACCATGGTGACTCATGACCAGGCTCGAAAAAAGCTAACAAAGAAGCGGGAGGACGTGGTGCGACTGCTGGTCACCAGGAAGTCGCTGGAGCAAACGGTCAAACAGTCCATGTGCAGTTACCCCCGGCCGTGATCCGCATCACACCACTCCCACTGACCAGTGCCGATAGCCAGGGACACGCACACCACAAACCCACACTCTGGTTGCACTGTGGCCTTTATCCTGTAAGAAAGAAAAACACTAGCTGACAAAAGAATCATGGGATGAATGTTGGGATGTCTGAAACAGTCTGCAAAAAATTCTTCAGTTCCCGTCTGACCACATCCAAGCTTTAACTGAGACTCAGAGGTAGAATCCAGGGGGAGCTTTCATGTAATTTCAATCATTTTCACAACATTTCCTTTTTTTATGTTTAGAGACCAGGTGACTGAATCCCGTTTTATACAACACTTCTTGAAAAACTCAAATTTTTGCAGATATTTCTGCAGTCTTCTTCCTTCCTTCATACCGTTTGCCTTTATCTGACCAAAGTTGGGCCAGATGGACTGAATACTCCAAAGAAAAATCAAAGCAAAGCATTGTGTCTGTGATGAGCATTTTCTTTTTTTTTTTTTTTTTACAAACAAAGAACCAGTATTTTTTTGTCTAGGTTACAATATCAAATGCAAAAAAGAACGCAGGAACACTGGAAACAGTTGGTACAGTACATGTTGGAGCATTTAGAATTATTTCCTATTATTTCCTGTCATTATTTCCTTAATCTTAAAGCAATGGTACAGTCAACAACATAACTTTGTACACACAGAACTAACGAGTATCAGTTTACAGAGTTTTGTGGTGCTCTCTAATTGATTTCTGATCCGATTGTTTTGGGTTTTGGGGTAAATTAAGCTGAATATCTGTCACATGAACACTAATCTACCGGTGTGACCTGCAGGAATCGGCTCCATCTGGCTCAGCTCAAACTGTGAAATGTCCTCAAGTTGTGTATTTTCACTGACCAAGAGTCCAAAACTGTAAACTGGAACCAGACGATTGCAGTTGCAGTGTGAGTTATCAAAATGCAAACGCCAGCCTTAAATAAACACTTAGTACCGGGAGGTTTTCTGATCCACATCTGTATTGGGTTGTATTTATTGTCTGCTGTGACTCTCATATCGGTTTGTTCCTCATGTACCGATGCAGGCTCACCTTAATGTTGCTTTGAAACACAGAAGGACACAGATGTGTTCAAATGGGCAATTATATCATTCAGGTAAAAACTGAATAAGTTTATGGAACAATTTATTTAGAATTTTCTTTTTAAGAACAAAAATAGCTGACAACATTCAATCTTTGATGCTGAAGGTACATTCTTTCTAAAATCCACTTGTATCCCGCTGAGGTGCTATAAAAATTATATTTCCCCCCCTCTAGGTTCAAACCCAAAATCAATATGTGAAATTTTTTTCTCAGATCAATTAATGGGCAGACCTAATAGAGGCACACCTAATGAATGTTTTTGGGGCTGAGTCCTTTCATATGCAGAGCCTCAAGTTTCCATGGGAACCCTTTGGGATCCTGACTCCTTGTTCACAGTCTTCAACCAGTTGTGATCTGAATGTCTCTTGCTGTATATCAACAAGACTTTTCCCTTGAGCTTTAAAAAAAAAGAAAGAAAAAGTTAAAAAAATCTCTAACCGCTTTCTCTGTAATAATAATTTATTAATTAGTTGTTTTTTTTCATCTTACAGGCCCTTCAAATAGCTTCATGTTGCCGGTTGTGAAGTAATAAGCTGACATTTTAGGCAGATCTATTCGCTGACCTTTCTGTATTTACCACGGAGAACTTCATCACTTTGATCTCTGAAATAAGTGAGCTTGGAACCAATAGCACAAATGCAGCAAAATAACTAAACCTATTGCCTGATTCTTTATATTTTTATATATGTAGTGTCTTTTTTAACTGCTTTTAACACATGTTGATTATCAACCAAATATCGATTCGTTATTGTAAAAATCAATTGTGACAATTGACATTTTCTCTATTCTTTTTATTACTTGTTCCATTAATTGCCAATATTTGTTTTCCTGTTTCTTTCCTACCATCTATCTAACACACCTTATTGATGTTCAAGCACTACATCTCTGTCATAATAAATGTTTTAAAAGGAAGTGCATTTGCTGTTTGGTGCTGATTTGATTAGGTTATTTGTTGGCTTTTTGATGATACTTGCTGTTGCCAGGTGGGATTTGGTTGATTTCTCTCACTGTTTTTTTCTTAGAATTGTACACATGACATCTGAATCTGCTGTGTAATGTTTAAAGTCTCAAAATATCAGCTGTCACATTGGGGGAGAGGGTCGATTTAGGGCAACGCCGAGCTAAAGTCCCCCTTTGAGAAATAATTGATGAGCGCTCCGTGTGTGTGTGTGTGTGTGTGTGTGTGTGTGTGTGTGTGTGTTCCAGAGACAGAGGGAAGCACGCTCCATTCCACTTACCCAGGCTTCATGATGCTGTTAAACTGGGTTGGAGGGCGGTGGCGTAGGCACATTAACATGTCGGCCAGCGGAGGCTCCCGGTTTGAGTTTGCTTCCACCAGCTCTGCAACATTAATACGGCTCACGTTGCTAGGTAACAAATGGACAGCAGTAAATAGGTGCCATGAGCATCTAATTTCACTACAAAACGCACCATGAGATCATTTATTCCATGCCATAAATTGCCTAGTTGCTCAAGATAATTGTTTCTTTTAAACCAACTTTTTTGACAAGACAACTCAGGTTAGATTTGATATTTTTGTACCAGTTAAACAAACCAAAAGGCCGCGTGAAACGAACTTCTCGTGAAATTCAAACGAAGAATAACACCCCATTTTCTGCCAAGTAAAAAGATAACACGGACGCATTTGTACTTTTCTAGAAAGAGCTTGAATAATTACGCTATCTAAGCTTGGTTCATACATGGTCCATGCCTCCCACGTTATGGCAGGATTCTTGTGTTTCCATGGCGATGCAATCTGCTCCTATCACTTTGGTCATACACCAGATTGGAACCAGAGGGAAGTCCACAGCCTCAGATCCATCCCAGAACCAGGAATAAGAATCTGTAGGAGATGTGATAAGAAAGTGATCAGCACAACGGGGCTATCTGTGTTTTTTTTACTAGTTGTAAAAAAACAAACCAGTTATAGTATATAAATAAATACATATACATATAGTGATAGTTGGTCATCCCAAAGATGATGAATGTTAGTATTATTATCCTCTTATTCTGCTGGAATTGCTGGTAGTTTCCCATTTTTTTCTCGTTCAGAGTTTGAGGAAATTGTTCAAATCACTTTAAAGTTTCTGTGACTTTCTGTAAATCAAGAAAAAACTATTTGGGAAGGTGTGCGTAAAAAAACTGTAATGTCAGTAAAACTGCTCTGAAGTTAGTTCAATATTCTTGAGTCATATTAACATATCTGAATTTGCTTGTTTATAGCAAATTGTCGTCTTTACCGTTTTCCCCAAACTACAAATTGCTGATACACAGGTCTTAGTTAAATACAAATTAAATCAATCAAATCACAAGGCGTAAAGACAATGGTAACAAATATATATCAGTGATTTGAAAATTGCGGCAACAGCACAATACTGTCCTTTAAACATAATTGGCAAAGCTACACAGTTTTATTTCTGTCGTTTACCGTTTAGTTTGTGGGATAAATAGTTTCATGTGACTGTGCGTTAAAGACGTGAACAAATGGGAAGCAGGCTTGTTCTCGGTTAGCCTTCATGCATGTTAATGTAACTTTTCCGAATGTGAGCGTGTGTGTGTGGGTGTCTGAGTGGAGAGCCGAGCAGCTGGATGCCAGCGGGGTTACAAATATATGAGCTCCCCAGAGTTCCACAATGAGCAGATGTATGTTGTCATAGTAATAACTGCAGTGTGTTTGTACTACGGTGCGCCACCCTTCAGGGCCCAAATGTGCAATCCGAACAAAAACAGCCTAATTATTCAAGTTTTTCCCTCTTTTTCTTTTGCCATTGTCATTTAGCAGCCTTAAAAATGATCAGGTACACTGACAGAACGGCGAATTTGCAAACGGGCTCTAGTGGTGTTAACGGGCAGCAAGGTGGGGCCGTTTTGATCACCCTTTTCTCTCCTGAAGAATCCTTAACCTCTATTCCTCCCACACAGACCTCCCAGGCGCTCCTCGCTGGAGGAAAGGCTCAAACGGCTCCATCGCCTTGTAAAGCGGGAGTCTGCGGCGAGGATGATGAGGGGAGATTCTGTGCGTGGGCATCATTAGTTCGTTATCGGCGGCGTGGTGAGGAGGAGGAGGAGGAGGACATCCACATCCAGGCTAGAGTAAACGTGGCCGTGGACAGACAGGTGTGTGAGACTTGGTTCAGATTTGACTTCCTATTTTTTTTTCAGGTACTGATCACACGGAGGGGGAATAATAATGATAATGTGTAATTGTTAATCTCGTTCTCGCATCATCTTCAAGCAGGACCAGTGAAAAAGAAAGAACTTCTCAAGTAATGACAGCTTGAAAACACCCAAAGTCCAAACAGGGTAAGTCTTGTTTGTTTATTATGTATCCAGCTTTTTGTTCCATTTTTTCCATGAAACCGACCTGTTGCTCCCTATATCTTCTGTATTAGTCTTTAAATCATGGTCTCCACAGCGTGGTCACTTAAAGTAGCGATCATTTACACAAAGCAAAGCAATTACGTCTCATACTTTGATATAAAGATAGTGTGTGGTATAATATATGATCGATGATTTCCATTACAGTTCACACACCTTTGTGAATGACTTGTGAGTCTCACGAGCAATGCATATTTCCTCCTGTTGCTGTTTGGACCTTTAAATGAGTATTCAACCCTCAGAGTGATACTTTTCAATGAATCCTTTCTGTGTGGACTCAAAATTCTTTTGTTTGGCCGAGCGGATTGAGAGACTGTTGTACGTCAGAGAAACTGACTGTTCTTGGCTCATCACTTAACAGTGCACGTAAATGACATTTTATCACCTACCCACCAAGTCACTGAGCATGGCGTGACTGCTTGTTGACTTTTTAGTCAGAACTTTGAGACCAACTCATCATAAGGAACCTTGCATGAGTCTTTTTTAAGAGAAGGATACTACAACTTCCTTCTGATGTCTTTGTTAAAACCATCACATGCTGATGGATTAACTTGTGCAGGTTTCCGTTTCTGGGACACAATGCTGACATCCAAAACATTGTAAATGTCCAATTTTCAATTCATGTCATGAACCTGGCCATGGATTTGCCTCGTTCGTTTGTCTGAGAGACAAAAACCTGGACACAGGAATACAGAGTTTTAGCATTTGGTCAAAATGTTGCGAGCTTTAAGGGACGAAAAAAAAGAAAAAATCTGTCACTGAACACCTGTTCAACACATGGTTTTAAACCCTAAGATTCATGTTACTCTCACCTGACACATTATCTCTAAACTCACTTAAGCTGTTGTCGGCTTCTGCTGTCACTAACTGAAAGGAGAGCACACGTTGTGTGTTTTTGTTTCCTCTGTGTGGCCCTCTCGCCCAATGACAGCCGGGATAGGTTCCACCCCCCCACAACTCTACAAGGAACAAGTGGCATTTCATTGATCCACAACTGACAAAGCAAGCAGTGGCTCTAGAATCGGGCTTTTCCTTTTTTTTTTTATTACCTTCACCATTTCTTATTTATGCTTGGAAAGGAAGTGAAGGGGATGCTTAAGTTGTAAAATGCAGCTAAATTCTACAAATTGTACCTTTTAAGAGGTACAGAGTAAATGCAGAGTAAATGATGACTGTGGTGCATTTAGACTGTTGTTTTCTGATCAGTCAGTGTGCAGGTTCTCATTTTGAAAACAAGAATCGAACCCATGACCTGTTTTCTTTGGTTTACCGCTTTCTAATTCTGCCCTCTTATCCAAATGTGGTCATGTTTAGCTTTTTAGACTAATTTTTAGTTGGCAGTTTATGTAATAGTCTGGTTTTCCTGCAGTTACGAGTGTGTACAATTCATCACCCCTTCAGTTATTCACCGCTAAGTTATTCCATTTCAGACCAGGTATACCGAATCATTTAGCAACTATTTGCCTCAAATGTCCATAGCAATTCTACCTGAGCACTGCACCCATCTCAGGTTACTGCTGAGACACTTTATTGAAATGAGAAATCGCAATTTAAAACACTTACAAGTCAAACTGAGGTGCTTTGACAAAAGAAAAAAGACTCAATTAGGATTATTTTCTCAGACAAAATTATCATTTATTAGCAAAATGGACGTAGTGATTCACTGTAAAGTTGTTTTTTTTTGCGTGAAAAACTGTGCAATTTGCACAGAAACTATGTCGGTAAACTATGTAGGCAATTGTGTAAAGAAATGAAGACAAGAAGCTGGAACCAATCTAACGCTCACATGCCATGGAGCGCAGAGGGCTGCTGGTACAGTGTGGATGTGTGTGTGTGAGAGTGTGTGGAGGTGTGAGAAGGTCAGACCATAGGAGAAACCTTTTCATGTGTACCTGCTAATGGGGGCAGAGCAGGGCCGTGTGGTCATTGTGTCCAGCTCAGCTCAGGACGCTCAGAACACACGCCCGGCTCCTGACCCTCTCAACTCCACACGGCTCAGACTGACTGTCTGACAGACGCTGTTAAACATGAGTGGTGAGTAACCGGCCAATTTAAATGTTCAGCCACTGGAGAGGAATGATCCATGACGGGATTTTTTCCTCAGTACGATTTCCAGATTTGTGGGATTGCGACGCTTTGATTTTTGAAGGAAAAATCAGTGGTCAGAGATCAGAATCCAACGTTAACTTTATTGTGGTGTGAATTCAAGGAGCGTCTCTGCTTGAAATCTCTGTGGTCCAGTTGTCAATTTTCCTATGTTGAGGTATAAAATATGCTCCTCCTTCCACCAGCAGAATATCCAGCTCTCGAATTCTATCCATAATTGTAAGTGTTGTCTTTCCTGGCTATTGTTATCCAATGTTTATCACCAGTTTGCCCTGGATCAGAACTTGTAGTAATGGAGTAGGGCTCCTGTTTTATGTTATTACAGGTATTCCGGCAGACTCGTTCGCCTCATTTTTTACTGACAAAGTGGCAGCTATAAGCAAACAGTTTACTGAACGGCTTGCACATGAAACTTCTCATAGTACATATACAAGCAGAAGTCCTACTGCTTTGTTCTCCTCCTTCGCTCCTCTCACTGAGAGCAATGTGTCCAAACTTCTCACATGTAGCCGTCCTACTACATGCCTGCTGGACCCAGTTCCTACAAACCTACTCCAGTCCATAGCTCCTACAGTTACTGCAGCAGTCACACATGTGATCAATGCTTCGCTGACAACTGGCACATTTCCTAACTCATACAAGCAAGCTTTGGTCACACCGCTGCTCAAAAAACCCTCTCTCCCACCAACTCAGGTGGAAAACTATCGGCCGGTTTCTCTGCTTCCATTTCTGTCAAAGACCATTGAAAGGGCAGTCTTTAAGCAGGTCACAGACTACCTCTCACAAAACAATCTCCTTGATACAAATCAATCTGGGTTTAAAAGTGGCCACTCCACTGAAACGGCTCTGTTGTCTGTGACAGAAGCCCTAAAAGAGGCAAGGGCAAATGCCAAGTCCTCAGTACTTATCCTCCTTGACTTATCAGCCGCATTTGACACAGTCAATCATGACATCCTTCTGTCTATACTCTCGAGTATGGGCATAACAGGGAGAGCACACTCCTGGTTTGAGTCGTACCTCACTGGTCGATCATTTAAAGTATCCTGGCTTGGTCACACTTCTGCAGTGCACCACCTCGCCACAGGGGTTCCTCAAGGTTCAGTACTTGGACCTCTTCTCTTTGCTATATATACCACTTCCTTGGCCCAGATCATTCAATCACATGGTTTCTCCTACCACTGCTATGCTGATGATACACAGCTCTATCTGTCATTCCCACCTGATGACCACTCGGTCTCAGCACGCATCTCAGACTGTCTCTCTGACATATCAAAATGGATGAAAGCCCACCACCTCCAGCTGAATCTCTCAAAAACTGAACTGCTTGTCTTTCCAGCCAAACCAACTATTCACCACAATATTCACATCCAAACTGAATCCCTCTCTCTGACTCCATCAAAGGCAGCAAGAAACTTGGGTGTCATGATTGATGACCAGCTGACCTTTAAAGATCACGTTGCCTCTGTTTCTCGATCCTGTCGCTTCGCATTACTAAACATAAGAAAGATCCGGCCGTACCTAACACAACATGCTACCCAGCTCCTGGTGCAGTCTATGGTCATCTCCCGCCTAGACTATTGCAACGCACTCCTGACTGGTCTCCCGGCCTGTACAGTAAAACCTTTACAAATGATCCAGAACGCGGCGGCGCGTCTGGTCTTCAATCTGCCCAAAAAATCTCACGTCACCCCTCTGTTCATTGAACTCCACTGGTTACCTCTGGCTGCCCGTATCAAATTCAAGTCCCTGATGCTAGCCTACAAAGTGCTTAAGGGTATGGCTCCCATCTACTTGAATCCCCTTGCAAAGGCTTATGTCACAACTCGATCACTCCGGTCATCAATGGATTGTCGTCTAGCAGTGCCTTCACCACGCTTAAGACAATCCAGACTGTTTGCATGTGTCGTTCCAAGATGGTGGAACGACCTACCAAGCTCCACAAGAACAGCAGAGTCCCTGTCTGTTTTCAAGAAACTCTTGAAGACCCACCTCTTCAAAGAGCATCTCCTATCCTAACCCTAACCCGTACCTCTACCCCCCCCACAGCTCCTTCTGTAGCCCCTCTACCTCTATCTCTATCTCACCACTGACTCTGATCAGTGTTTCTGTTCTATAAAGTTTATTGTCATTGTGATGAGAAATGTAATATTGTGTCTACTCTGTAAGTCGCTTTGGATAAAAGCGTCTGCCAAATGCATAAACATAAACATAAACATAAACATAAACATTCCAGCTAGAGCAGGGGGGCTGTGAAAATATTACCCAGCTCTTTGAATAAAAGTGCTGGATTTTGTTTCGAGCCGTTGTCAAAGGAGACCCTTAAGTTTCCCATTCCTGAAGTTCTATTGTGACGTCATCTTCTTAAGAATGATGGGACTTTGCTTCCTAATGAGCTGTTAATGCTATGTTAGCTCCTTGGTATCAATGTATTTCTTTAAAGTGCAAAGCTCTGTGTCATATGTATACATGACTAATAGCTTTAATATATTTAAATTGTTTGCATATAAATGCACATGGCAGGGTCGTGTAACACTTTAATTTACGGTCCACCTATTCACCATTACTTTAATGCTTGATAACATGCAAACAAGTAAAATATGAGCTCTTAATTAGTCATTATTAAGAACCTATTAATGCTTTATTCTGCATGTGCTTATTAAACTAACAGTAAGCCATTAACCAAGACCCTTTCCTCAATAAACTCAGATCTATTTCTAATTAGTATTACATAAGAAAGTTGTTGTATATGAAGTACAATCTCAAAATGCTTTGCTTAGTATATGCGTTATAACGTTAGTACCCCAAGAATGGTTATTCTCCTTTACTTAGTACTTATAAGCGATAATTCTGAGGTTAATGAGGGAAGACTCTTAATTATTGGCTTACTGGTAGTATGATAAACACATGCAGAATAAGGAATTAATTAGTATTAATAATGACTAATTAAGAGTCAGTATTTCACTGACTTGCATGTTAATAAGCAACAAATGAATGATGAATAGTTGTATCTTAAAAAAAGTGTTGCTGTAATAAAGACAGAATAGGCATACGGTTACAGAGAAACATGGCAGGCAGAAGGTTTACCAGAACTGGATCTGCAGCCAGCAGCTTCCGCTGTGGCTCAATGAAAGAAATTTACCTTAAAAATTCAAACTGATGCCATACTGAGCTTACGCTTGGTTTTGAAACTGGTTAATGTTCTTTGACCGGCCATTGGTCAGCCTGACAGCATTGGAGACATAACTTCACTCCAGTAAAATTAAACACAGTTAAAAATGGATGGGTTTTGAAACTTTCAGATGATTTTAAAGAAAAATGTCACACAAACACAAAGAATTCTAGACATATTTTGCCACCAGTGAAGCTAAAACAGAGCAAAAGGGTATGCCTACCAACACCTTTCATAGGCTAATTGCTTTACTCAGAATTTGATTTCCTGAAATCCATTCTTTAATTAGCTCCATGACAAACACACAACATTACACAATCCTGGTTATTTCAGCATTGCTGTAAACTCAAAAGGAGAACTCTATAGTCTCATCTGCTTTTTAAATCCAAATTTACCAATGATTTAGCAATAGTGAAAACATCACAAGCAAAACGGTGAATAGAGACATAGTTAGTTCATCTATTAGTGGTGCTCCAGCTACACTCACACGCATACACATATACACAGTACTTTTCAGGTTTCGCTAGCAAATGGGATACGGTAAATGGGATCAACTGTGGTCAACACTGTACCTTTAGTGTGTGGTGGAGCTGAGCCTGGGCAGTAAAATGTGCCTCTGTGGAGGAATTACATCACAAAGGAACACCGGCTCGCAGTGAGCGCGGGACTTCTGGGTAGTGTGTTTGCAGGGGGCTGGCTCACAGGAAGTATTGTACCCTACATAGATAAGGAGAAGTGAGACCAACCGCCACATGGTACTAATACTCGCCGAAAGAGACAGTAAGACCACAAAAGCTCAGCAAATGGACATTCCACCATTGTGTCCACAGCTCTTTAATTCATAACTTCCCAGTGACCAGGTGAGCTTTTTATAGAGGTGCTTTTTTTTCTTGTTATTCAAAGTCAGACAGCATTATTTATAGTTAAATTCTGCCTTTTGAAACACTGACAAAGCAATCACTCAATCTATAGGATTACCTCTCTTTTTATGGTGTTTGTATTGAGCAACTTCCTCAACGTCAAGAGCAATGGTCAAGTGCTTTAATGATTTATTTGTGAGACAAAGGATGCCTAACAGAAAGATTAGGAGTTTGTTTAGATCTGAACATGTTTACTCTCTAATGTCTTGTCAATTATTGCTTTAATGAAACATGAATTAGGGTGGTTAGCAAGAAGGTTCTGGGTTGGAGTCCCAGGGGAACCAGGACCTTTCTGTGTGGAGTCTGCATGTTCTCCTGTGTCTGTGGGTTCTCACCGGGTTCTCCGGCTTCCTCCCACAGTCCAAAAACCTGCATGTTAGGTTGATTGGACACTCCAAATTGCCATTAGGAGTGAGTATGTGTGATTGTTTGTCCTTGTGTGTCTCTGTGTATCCCTGTGATGGACTGGTGGACCGTCCAGGGTGACCCCGCCTCTCATCCATTGACCACTGGGATAAGCACCAGTCCCCCCATGAACAGGGGAATTAGGGAATAAGCGGTAACGATAATGGATGGATGGATGAAACGTGAATTGGGGATAGACTGTGTCTGCTTTGTCTCCATACGTTAACCATCCCTCTGGGGTCCTATGGAAACCTCTGGTTTCAAATGATTTGCAATAATTGTTTCACAGTTGGGTTTGTTTTTCATTTGTAATCCCAAATAGGTGGTTGGATGTCTCCTTCCGTTTCCCTCTATTCCACATTCAGCTTTATTTCTCCACAATCATCTTTCCAGTTTCCCATGAGACCCGCCTCCTGGACCAGGTGCTGGAGCTTATTATGAGCGAGAAGCCTGCCAACAGTGCAAGTCTTTTCCTGAACGAGGACGTGGACAAACCTCCCCTGGCAGAACGAAGAGGCTTGAGGAGGTGTTTCCGCCGGGCCATGGAAAGGAGAGCCAGCAGCATGAAGGAGAAGATAGGCTCCATCGGCAGGGAGAGCCTCAAAGGCTTCCTCAAGAGGAACCTGTTTGTGTTGTTCACTGTTGCCGCCGTTGCTCTGGGTGAGCCGAAGGGGAATCCTGTCAGGGCTCGTGAATGGTTGTTTTACCGGCCAGCTCTTATTGGCTTCATTTTCTATGTTGCGTGTTTATCCAGGTATTATCTTGGGCTTTGCTCTACGACCCTACAACCTGTCCCTGAAGGAGATCAAATACTTTGCCTTTCCCGGGGAGCTCCTGATGAGAATGCTGAAGATGCTGGTGCTGCCTCTCATTGTCTCCAGTCTGGTCACAGGTAGGCTCCTATAGCAAGTTCTAATGGGGGGGAAAAACAGTGTCATTGGCATGTTGATTTAATGATTCTTTTGGTAACCACGATAACATATCAGCACAGAGTTTTTGAAATATAATGTTACAGTAAAGGGACTGATTTCTGAAAAGTTCCGTTCCCTGTCTCAGGTGTGTCCTCCCTGGACAGCAAAGCGTCGGGTAAGATGGGCGTGCGCGCTGTGGTGTACTACACGGTCACCACCCTGATTGCAGTGTTTATCGGCATCGTGATCGTCATGATCATCCAGCCGGGGAAAGGCACCAGGGACAGCCCTGTGACCAAGACTGGGAACATTGAACCGGTGCAGGCCACTGACGCTTTTCTGGATCTTATCAGGTGAGACCTCAAAAACCAGATTTCCCAAAAGTACAGAGGCTTCACGCCCTCGTAAAAGCATCAACTCAACAAAAAAACCTAAAGTAGACAACCCCGACAGCTCATTGTAACTTTCTTCTCAGGAACATGTTCCCTCCAAATTTGATAGAGGCGTGCTTCAAGCAGGTGAGGGGGAAGATTAGATTAGATTGATTAGAAACCTCAAACTCTATCCATTCCAATTCATTAAGGATTTGAACTAGTCAATAAAACCTGTTTCATTTCTTGCAGTATAAAACTGTGTACAAAAAAACAACTCATACCAGGAACGTCACTGTGACTCTGAATCTCACCAACGCCTCCAACATGACGGAATCTGACCTGAGCATGAACTTCACCCGGGTGCTCCACACCATCCAGGTGAACCCAAGGAACCCCCCTCTTTTTTCTAGTGACGTCCTACACAGCCTGTGCCACATTTAGGAGCAGTAATTGATTGAGTCTGTTGTGTTTGAACCACAGGAGACGGTGGAGGAGACCGTTCCTGTGGCCGGTTCCTCCGGTGGGGTAAACGCTCTGGGTCTGGTGGTCTTCTCCTTGTGCTTCGGTTTGGTCATCGGCAACATGAAGCAGCAGGGTCAGGCTCTTCGAGACTTCTTCGACTGTTTGAATGAAGCTATCATGAGGCTGGTGGCCATCATCATCTGGTCAGTTCGAAAACAAAGGCACTGCCACTTTCCTACATGCTTCTACTTTCTTACATGCTCATTCTTCTACACCATCTCTCCCTTAAGGTACGCTCCAGTGGGCATCCTGTTCCTGATAGCAGGGAAAATAGTAGAGATGAAGGATCTGGTTGAAGTCGGTGGTCAGTTAGGGATGTACACTGTGTCAGTCATCGTTGGCCTCCTCATCCACGGCCTCTTTGTCCTGCCTCTGCTCTACTTCGTGGTGACCAGAAGGAACCCGTACAGCTTCATTGGGGGCCTTCTGCAAGCGCTCATCACCGCTTTAGGAACATCTTCAAGGTGGGTTTCTTGTTTCTTTTATCCATCTCTGTTATCACTCGTCAACCTCCTTACTCCAACCATCCTGGCGCCATGTTTGCTGGAGTTTTATATTTACTTTTTATACGACATGTGTGCTTTATATTGTGCGATTGCAAAGAAAACACATCAGTGCATGTGAATCCGTACATTAACTTAAGACTGTTCCACGAAATGCGTCCCTCTGTGTGTCCAGCTCTGCGACCCTTCCCATCACGTTCCGTTGCCTTGAGGAAAACAACCGTGTGGATAAACGAGTGACACGCTTCGTTCTTCCGGTGGGCGCCACCATCAACATGGACGGCACTGCCCTCTACGAGGCCGTGGCGGCCATCTTTATCGCTCAAGTCAATGACATGGACCTGAACTTCGGGCAAATTCTCACCATCAGGTGACAGAGTTTACTTTGTCTCAACAATTAACGTAAAAGATTGAAGTAAAAGCTATTCATATTGGAACATTCAACCTATAATTAGTCCATGTCAGCTCACTTAGCTCTACCAGTACATGTCATGGACTATCAATGAGATGAAAAATATGGGAACACAAAAAAGCCTGCTTGTGACTTTCTAAAAGCCCCATAATGATGTTAAACTTTTGCATATCCCCATTTCTAAAAATACTCCCTTTTTACAGCCAAATTGAGCTTCAATTTAATACTTATATACCTCTATGCCACAATTGAACCTGCTTAAAGAGCAGGGAAAGAGTGGATAATGCCAATTATTGATAATTATTTGCTCCAAGTTTTTTTCGAATTTTATCCTAAAGCAGCTTACAGTGCACAACAATTTGGTGGCAGTGTGCAGCTCATATCTAGAATGTTCCTTTTGACTTTTTTTCTCATGATCATTCATTACCAGATTAATTTAGATTTGACATTTGAGGAGTGTCTCTGATATGAGCTTTTTAAATAATGAATTATGGTAACATGTTAAAACCTTGTGTGGCTCCAGCCCTCTACCACTCCCACCGGGAATATGCCAGGGCTGCTTGTTTGTTTCTCTTTATTAAATATCTTCACTCTCCTCTACATCCTCCCACCACCCACTCAGTATCACAGCAACTGCTGCCAGCATCGGAGCAGCAGGCATCCCACAGGCCGGCCTGGTTACCATGGTGATCGTATTGACATCGGTGGGACTGCCCACGGAGGACATAACACTGATCATCGCCGTGGATTGGTTCTTGTGAGTTCCCACTAAATGTCAGCTTGATGGGGATTGGTCTGTGCCGGCGCCGGCCTAAATGTCAGTGAAAAGCTTCAGAGAGCTGAGAGATCGCACAACCATAAAGGTTATTGTTGCGTAACGCGGAGCTCCAGATTAGAAAAGCCCGTGAGGCATGTGTCGGTGGTCTTTTCGCCCGGTCTTTGGCCTCTCTTCTTGACCGGCATCCCTGTTTTTTCCCCGCAGAGACCGTTTGCGCACCACCACCAACGTGCTGGGCGACTCGCTGGGGGCCGGCATCGTGGAGCACCTGTCCCGCGCAGAGCTGCAGAGCCGAGACGCCCAGATCCACAACTCCGTCATCGAGGAGAACGAGAAGCCCTACCAGCTCATCTGCCAGGAAAACGACACGGTCAACCACCCCAACAGCGAGACCACCATGTGAAAAAACCAGGCCTTTAACTGTGAGGAGACGTTTGCCATGTGTCCCCCTCAAGTACAGAAGACACTCTTGGAAACAACAAAAAGCCTTTCAGGAGGTGTGGTGATGACAGGAAATGTGTTAACTAACACGTGTTGTTAAACACAGTTTCAGTGATTCACTTTAAACTTTTGTTAAACACTCAATATTCTAACTGAATTTACACTTTTCAACGTCAGTTTCAATAATTCAAACATCTCATGATCCATGAAGCTGTAACATCATAAAACTTACCAGCATCAGTACCACAAAAAAGTATAATTCCAAGTCAGTTAAACCAACATACTCATCATTTTTAGGTATGAAGTTCAGGTTCTTTTGCTGGATTTACATTTTTTTGTCCCTACTGGACACATCGCAGACACTTTTCGTGGTCGTTTTCATCCTGACTACCTCAGGAAACAGGATTCGGTAACGGAGTTTCCACGAAGCAACACGAAAAACAACTAAGCAGGATGTACATAAATCGCTGTCAATATTCTTTTGTTCCTGTTTTTAATATTGTGTAATGCTTAGAATGTAACTTAGAATGTTCTTGACTGTTAAACGCTGGAAAAATAATGAAAAGGAAACTGCTTTCGAGGCTGATGCTATTTTCGTGACTTGATAGAATTCTACCACTCAGTGCTTTATTACAAATGTTTATGTGATTTCTTTTATTTATTTGGTGCTAGAAATGATTCAACCATGGGCACAGAACTGTACCGCGACACACCATTATCGCAGAAAAAGCTGCAATAATGGTCAAAGTGTTGTTTTTCCTACTAGTAAAAATGTTTGATTTATTTTAGTTTTTTTTACAAACCCTACAGTGACAGATTCACAAGTCTGTAATACTGAAAACACTCAGAATGCAGCTAGCCATTTTGTGTTTCAACATTAGTGAATATATATAAAAACATATATGTCCTTTATTCAGATAAAGTGGTAACTTGATTTTTATGTTTAAGGGAAAAAGAAATTAGAAGTTAAAATAAAAATTTTATCGTGTATTTTTTTGTTGAAAAACAGTGGAAATTGTTTTGGGGGCAATTTGAATTCCTCGTTGTTTTGTTGAGTACTTTGCATATTGATAATTGGATATATATATATATTTGATGGTTAATTTAAAGCTTATTTGACCTTGTGTCATTTCCATGTTTCTTATGAAGTTTGTCTTAGTATTAATGCTTGCTGGTATTTTTGTGTAAATGGTATTTTCTATTGAAAAGCAGCTCAATATTTCAGTGGATGGATGATACAAAATGCGACAATAAATGTCTCAGGAAGTGAAGGAACAGTGATTCTCATTATTGTGATTGTGGCTACCCCTTGTGGAGGATATTCTATCCAGAAGCTGTTGGGTGCTCTATTTAAGACATACATGGACAAAATTCAAAGTAGACATTTAGTATTGATGGAATTAAACTTTCTAGCTCTAGTTTCACCACAATTATCGCTGTGAAGGAAACTCTTCATCCCAGTGCAATAGCCCTAATGTCAAACTAATCTTTTATTGTTGTGGTAGTTTACAGAGCCTTATTCTCGTTTATTTAAGACAAAACATTCCACAGTCACTGATACATGCCAGAAAAAGTAGGTTTTTATTTTCTTTAAACAGAAGATGTTTTATTTCGAGAATCAAGCTTACAGTTGTTGATGACTTCCTCAAACAAACAAACCTGCTCTACAATTTTCCTTGTGTCTCTAAAAGCCATGCACCACTTTACCTGTTCTGTCCTTTTGAACATATCTATAATGTATTACTCTCACCCAGTGTCAGCTGGGATAGGCTCCAGCCCCCCACGGCCCTACGGGGAATCAGCAGTATGGACAATGGATGGATGGATAATGTAACACTTGCACCAGGATGTCAGGCTTACCATATGCAAGCTACTTTGATATACAGAAAAAAATCCAAAACAAAATTTAGGTTATTGCTTGTTCTGTGTTGCAACATTTCTGAATGCTGTCTGGTTATCTGCAGCTCCTCACTATGTTGGATTAGCTTTTGTTCATTTTGGCTCAAAAGTTGATCAAATCTATTGGAGAAGGACTCAGGAAAAGAGGAAGAAAATGTTTCAGGGAGAAATGTAATCGTGCAGCCAAGCGATATATTTAAAGAAAACACACACATTAAACTAATTTATGGGTTTCTATCCGCTTTTAGGCAGTAGAGATAAGAGAAGCCAAATGGGGAACAGGAAATTTAACAGGAGGTCTACTTAAAAACATTAACCAAAGATGCACAAAATCTAAAATAACCTGAGAAAATAAAAGCATAAAGGTGAAAACAGATGAGACACAATTACCCAGAAGACTCTCATGGCAATAATCTGACAACTACTGAATCAAATAAAGGGAGAAGTTACAAGGTAGTGATAGTAGAACCGAACACAGGATTAAATACAGAGACAAAGTACAGCTAATCAAGACAACAACAAAAAAAGGGTTTGGAAATTTTACTCAGATTGCTGAGACAAAACAGACATTTAAGAAAAAGAAAAATCAGTAAGGAAGAAACTATTATAAGTAACAGACTAACAACCGAAAATCAAAACCAGACCAGGACAATCTAAACCAGTTCAAAAAAGCCCAAACAAAAAAACAGAACCGAGGCCAAAAAAAAGAAACCAAGACATTCCCGTTAACACTTTTGATTAGTCATTATTTAAAAATAAATCATAGTTCAAATATAGACTTGTGGAAAATGTTAGTTTGCAGTTTCAGAATGATTTTCCCTCATATTTGACATCAGCATTATGATCATTTTTCTATCACATCGTTTCCCAGAATTTAAAATGCATAGAAAAGCATTAACATTTGTCAAAACCACATAATAAACATTCCGTTTTTAATTGTAGAGGCAGGCATGTGTTTTGCACTTGTCACAAGAGGGAGTGAGTGTGTCTGGATATGTGTGTGTGTGTGCGTGCATGCGTGCGTTCGTGTGTGTGTGCGTCCATGTGTGTGTGTGTGTGCGTGTGTGTGTGGGTGGGTGGGTGGGTGTGGCTGGGTTTTGGATGATTGCCTGATAAATATCACCTGTGTCTGCCCATGGTTCTTGTTTTGTTGCTTGATACAGAGAGGCTAGATATTTTCTGTTGACCGTTAAAGCTGATAAAGCCACGCTAAAGCTATTTTCCATCTTGCAAGTCCATTCACAATTATATAAAAAAGTATGTTATACTAGAAAAGTCATAATAAACACCTTTAAGCAGTAATGGATTCATGTTTCCTCCCTGGACAACACATCAGACAGAGCCCCATGTCCTTCACTGGACATAGGCCTGTCAATAGAAAATCTAAATTACAGATCCTTCCAAGGCTTTACTGGATTTGTGCACTTTGGACCACCTAACCACTTCAGATGGTGACCGTGAGTACATTTGAATAAAATGAAGACGCACATCACAACTCATGGCGTTTGAAACTCAGAATATTCATGCTGAGAGGTTTATACTTGCTTGGACACGGGTGATGCTGGTTACTGATGCATGTTGGATGCACGTGGATGCTGTGGCTACTGTTTGTTGTCCTGTTTCCCATATTGCTCACGACTGAAAAAAACTGTTGGAAAAATGGGTCGTTTTTTTGTGAAAAACAAAGTGAAGTTGGATGTTGATGCATTTACTGTTGAAGCTCAAACTTGAATTAACGTGGGGATTTGGAAGCCATGTTGGATTGTTCTTCTATGGAATAAAAAAACGGCTGTGTTGGATGTGACTTTATGACGCTAATGTGGAATGTCACATGCTTTTTTAACTTTTGTTGCGCACACACTGTTGGATGTCATAAATTAATATACTATACTATGGTTCAAATACAAATGATTCTAAAACTGTTAAAAGGAAAGTCATTCTCATTGAAAAGGTGCTTGGGTGCAAAATGGAGAAACTTCAAAAAGGACGTCAAGTAAGAGTGAATAAAATGAAAGGGGTCATCATCAATGCTTTATTTTTTATTTTTTATCTTTATTTGACCCCTTGTCGTGTTTAGCATTATGGCAACAGAATTGTAATCTGAGTGCCGTTCTCTGCCCGACACTTTTGCTTTGGCCTGTCAGGGTGAGAAGCCTCCCTTGATCATCCAATGCTGCTTTATTATTTATTTAAGATGTATTTTTGTTACAGAAGTAAGATGGTTAATGCCAAACCTGACCGGGGGACAGGAAAAGAGACAAAAAAGATCCCTAGAACAGGAAGAAAGAAAAAAAAAAGAAGACATCAAAGTCATCAATGCTTTAAAATAATTGATGGAAAATGATGATAATGTTTTACAGGTGCAAACTCAACTTAATATTTTGATCCAGTTAAATGAGGAGACAACTTCTCTGCATGAGTCAGTGATGGAAATGTTACCTGAAGTGGAAAAGTGAAAGCAACAAGTCTGGTTTGCCAGCATCAATAAATACAACAAAAGATTCATGTGACACAGTGGCTCCTGGAAATAAAGAAACGAGTATCAGGATGTGCAACCAATGAAAATGTTGAGGTGAATTCCATTTCTTGACTAGTACATGATCATGTTCAGCCAAATGACAGTAATTCATATGTTGGGAGCCGAAAGCAAGGTGTTGAGTGTGTCCGTCTTGGTGGCCTTAGGATCACATCTCTGCTTTTTGCAGACGATGTGGTCCTGTTAGCTTCATCAAGTCGGGACCTACAGCTCTGCTGGAGCAGTTCACAGCCGAGTGCGAAGCGGCTGGGATGAGGATCAGTGCCTCCAAGTCTGAGACCATGGTCTCTCACCAGAAAAGGGTAGAGTGCCTTCTCCTGGTTAGGTGGGACGTCCTTCCCCAACTGGAAGAGTTCAAGTATCTCGGGGTCTTGTTCGCGAATGGGGGTAGGGATTGATAGGTGGATCGGTGCGGCGTTTGCAGTAATGCGGGCGCTGTACCGGTCTGTCGCAATGAGGAGAGAGCTGAGCCTAAAGGCGATCTACGTTCCCACCCTCATCTATGGCCACGAACTTTGGGTATTGACTGAGAGAACGAGGTCCTGGAAAACAAGTGGCTGAAATGATTTTCCTCCGCAGGATGGCTGGGCTCTCCCTTAGAGATAGGGTGAGAAGCTCGGCCATCTGGGAGGGGTTCGGATGTACAGCCGCTGCTCTGTTGTCTGTGCAAAGTAGTGGTCTCACTGGGGCTGGTGACCATGAATGTAAGCTCTCCATTGTGCCAGTTAAGGTCAAGTCCAAAAGGGGTTACAAAATTATTGAAACCTTTTTGGATCAAGGCAGCTCTTGTTCCTTTCATACATCAAGTCTGATAGACAAGCTGAACGTTTCAAGAAGAGGAACTAAAATCCTCTTGCGCACCATGGGCCAGGAAAAGCTTATGGGGGTCGGATCCGGAAATAGGTGGTCTGGATATTGATCTCTAGTTTGATTTGCCAGATGTCTTTACACAGAATAAGATTCCTTTGTGTAGGAACAACATACGAGAGGTGCAGGATCTGGTTAGATGGGCATATTTGCGTGGGGTACACTCACCTGAAATAGTGAGACATTGAGCTTTTGGTTGTCTTAGAGCTCTAGAACCTATAAAGGTGGTTCCAAGTAAAGATGAAGGGCCATATGCTGTTCAGACCATGTGGGGCTGGACTATTATTGGGCTAGTATATGGTGAAGCAGACCTGGAACAACCCAGTATCACGGCTAATCGCATTTCTGTGGTGAAATGGACAAATTATGGAGAGAGCATATCAGTTTGAATTTCCCGAATGCAGTCATGAAGAGCAACTGAGTCCATCAAGAGAAGATAGCCAATTTATGGAAATGGTTAACAGTTCAATTAAGCTGATGGATGGTCACTACACCATTAATTTGCCTTTAAAGAAAAGAAATGTGTGCATGCCTGATAATCGTACGCTAGTTCCAATAGTCACACTGCATTATCAGAACATCGAAATTATAATCCACTGAATGTGAGATATTTGACCTTTTTAACTCCTCATTTTAAAATGTATCTCATGTTTTCCATATTATTTTTTGGAAATGACATGGATGGTTGATACTGTATTCTTTATAATTTATTATTATTATTTAATTGTGATAATACACCAGTATATGTGTGTCTGATTCAAACTATGGTCAGAGTAATTAATAAATCCTTATATTTTGACTCGCATACGAGGCATGGTTTCATGTAAATTAATTTTAAAAATTAATGTAAAATGTATGGTAATGTGTTGGAAAAATGTTGACTAAAAGGTTTAACACAGAATTCTGGGATTATTTGACACTTCATGTTTTATACAACAGCCAGTTGAGCCAGAAGGACAACAGGTGTTATTATTTGGAACCATTAAAAAAAACTGAAATGGATTTAAATAAGTACCCTGAATTTATTTTGATATGTGCAAGTCTGTTTTCCATCTACTTACAACCATAGTGAAAATTATTCAAATTTTCTCAAAAGACTAGGCATCCGTTTTTAAAAATGAGGTCCATCATACCTATAATACAAAAATATGTTTGCTGGTATGTAGGAAAACTAAACAGGCAAACCAAAAAATGGTGACTAGTATATACTGTACTTCTTGCTTTATAAGCCAAAACAGACCAAGTCAGTTAGACCTGGGAGGTCGACAGGTCTGGAATAATTTGGGAGATAATACAAGGGTGTCTACCCGGTAACTCAGCCAAAAATGTTGTTGGATCTTTGGGAAAGGAAGCTCAACAGTCCAGGAATTTTCATGCTATATTTTTAAAACTACCATGCTGTTATAAAGGCTGTGATTCAGTGTTCTCTCCCTGGAACATACGAGGCCTTCCTTATGTAAGCCTTGAAAAGTTTTCTATCTTCCATTGGGCCATTTTGAGGCCATAGTTGAGAAGACAATGGCTTTTCTGGAACATGTCCACATGTGGCTTCTTCTTTGGAGAACAGAGCTATGACGTGAAACTGTGAAAAAGTTGCATGAGATTGATTTCTTAAAGTTCTCCTGAAACCTGTGCTCTAATTTTACCTTTTTTGTGCTGCCTGTTGATCTGAAAACATCTGACTTTTCAGCCTTACAAACAAAGATATCTGTAGAATATTATAATCGTCTGATAATATGATGGGTTGAATATTTGCTGTTCCTAGTTTTACCCTAAGAATCTCTATTAAGAGATTTTTCCACAATATGGACTGGGTGGTGTGGTGATGTCCAGGGGATCTGGGGCCTGATTGGGGGGCTCTGATTTTGTCTGGACTCCCTGTGTATGCCTGGGTGTTCTTTGGGTACTCTGGCTTCTTCCATCCAAAAACTACGTACGTTAGGTTAATTGGGGATTCATATTTTGCTCATAGGGGTTAGTGTGTGTGGTTGCTTATCTCTGTGTGGCCCTGTGATGGACTGGTGACCCATTCACGGTCTACCTGCTTTCCACCCCGTCAACTGGAAAGAGTCCTGCCCCCACATAACCCTACTAGGAATGAGTGGTATGGACAATGTCTGGATGTTATGAAGACAAAATCCTTTATCATGAGGTCATTGAAGTTGTTCATTTATTGGCCTGGAACTGCAATCTTCTTCTGCTCTCTGCAAGTGGCCATGGCCTTCTTGAAATATTGAATGAGATGGTAAAAAACACCAATATCATATGAAAGGGTATGCAGTTTGCAAATGAAAGAGGTGTTGTGCTAAATCTTGTGAAAGAAATCGGCAAATAAATTGTAATATTTACCATACCACCAGCATCTATGTTATAGCAGTGAAGAATGAAAAGACACTCACACAAGAGACCCATAAAAAAGACAAAACACAGAGTTTCTTATAGTTTTAAACTCAGATTAATTTATAAAATATTTCACTTAAGATACAGTGCATTTTTCTACCATACAATGCATGTGCATTGTACACACAATTGAGCCCTCTAAGTTTTAACAGCCTGGCCACGAAGTGGATTGAATCATGATTACTTTGGCATAGTTTTGTGATGAAAAAGACACATGTAAACTGCTAAGTCATTTAAAGATATTCAAATCTGTCATTGATGCCTGAGGGCCTTATTTTAAAAGACAGGTTAAAAGTTTTCTAACAGTCAATATGCAAAAAGAACATAGAGCTTTTGCTTCTGTTACAAAGAACATTTGAATACAGATGACATCCTCACTTTTATCTTAATCAACAGTCAATTTTAGCCTAAAAGAAGATATCTAAACCCTATTACAAATAACCAAGAAAGTTAAACAAGGTGCAAGTTCATATTACAGATAAGCTTCCCAATATCCTCGCACAGCTGATTGTGACAAAATCCTACCTACTTTACTGTGTGAAGTGTCATTACATGTTTAAGGTATACAAGTCACAAAAAACACAGAATATCTTGCTGCTATAATATATAAATGTCAACGCTCGCTTCAGTACAACTGAACTCACATCGGCCACAAGTGATTATGTTGTAGTAGAGGGAGACACTTTCAGGCAGACTCTGGCAAATAACAGTATAAGCCATTAAAGAAAATCGTTGCAACTTATCTTACAGATAACACTTCTCTATGGAGACTGCTCCAGTCGCACGTTGGGAATATTTCAAGCACAGTTCATGTGTAAATATCTAAAGCCTTTAAAGATGTATTGCTGCCCAGATCTGGTCCCAGTGAGACGGAGACTGTAGAAAGAGAGACACAAAATGCCCGGTGAGCCAAGTGTCGCCGAGTAAAAACAACAAGCTGCTGAAAGTTAACTCGGTCTGGTGAGAAGAGAGAAAGAATGCAAAAACGTATGATTAGATACATTAGCTTGAATATTCGGTTTATTGAGATCTAATGGAGAACGACATTCCCATCATAGCCTTACGTATGACTACAAGATTTCCTCCTTATTCAACAGCACTCCATCACTCCATGTTGAGAACTGCCCAGTTGTTTTTGTCGTCCTGATGATCACAAGGAGAGAAAACAAGTCAGAAGGTAATAAAAATGTTCCGTGTAAATCTGAGATGACATAGCTTGATCATGTGGGTGATCAACGTGGTTAGGTTCTGTTTTAAAGCATTTGTTGGATGGTCTACTGTTACTATATGACGGATCTGAGATCTGTTGACAGCTGCAAGGCCACAATTACAGGCATAAAAACATGCAACATCTGCTTTGACTTCCAAATATTGTTTTGTATCGTCATCTATACCAGGTGGTTTCAGGTATACCTAACAGGCCATAAATGGCAAATCCTCAAGAGGTGATGGAAAAAGGCACTTGGAAATGGAATCGGTTATATTGCAACTCGGGTGTATTTCTTCAATGAAAAAAGAGCAAAGAAAGCCAGTGAAAGCTTTTCAAAGTTAAAAAGATGCTTTTGCTCTTCTTCCAACTGGCTTAGGAACGAGTTTGATTTTCCAACTGGATCTGCGGGTTGTGCTTCATGGACGTGATTGATTGAAGTTTATTCTTAACATATGGTGATAACTAGATCCACGATGGACAAAAAAAAGCTGGTTGGATTTTTTCTTTTTGACAGTGCCCACATCACTGCCACAATGACTCCAGAAAGGAGAAGTTCTACGCCTTGTATCTGCTGGGAAATGCTTGGCCTAAATATTTACATCAGCAGGTGCCTGCCTGCTTTTATACCAAGATTTGTAGTGGGCATGTAAATATGGTGCAAAGGCTTTGATCAGAGGGGGATTGGGTGTATTGCTGACTAGTAAAAAAACACATTCAAACACTTGTGTAGTGGCTTGGGTCTGACCTCTGACATGACGGGTAGGTTGTCACGAGAAGTGTGCCACATGGGAGCCTTGGTTCTCTGTCTTCGCATGAGCTTTCTCAGCAACCGCTTCACCTTCCGATCTCTGGGGTCCGCACATTTCACCGCCTTTTTTGTGTAGAGTCTACGAAAAAAAAAGACACCATGTTTTTCGCACAACATAGATCAGCAAGAGGGAAATGGCTGATTCTTTTGTAGTACTACATGCCAAGTCACCAAGAGATGGAAGAGGGTGAAGAAATTCAAACAAAACACAAAAAAGGTGACAGTTTAAAGATATTTGTTAGCGATTAGCAAATATAAGGCAGAGGACCTAAAGAAATTCTTGTCTGTTGAGTAAGGATTTCATGTTTACGATAAGTGGACCAGCTCTTCTGGAGCAAGTTCTTTATTCCACACCGACATCAGGTTTTTCTGACCTGCTAGAAACAATGGCTATCACAATGGGGTTTACTTAACTAAGCCCTGCTGCTCTGACTGACTGACTGACTGCGGCGGGGCTCAGCTGGCTCGCAAGGTATTTTCAGAAGGCTTGTTATTCCCACATATTTCCTCTCTTACTTCTCTGGCAATCACAGCTCCAAGCCCTGCCATAACAACTTGACCTGGAAAGATGACAATGCCTCTCAGCCCAGCTCTGCCCTCCTGTAATGAGAGGCATATTTTCCGTGCCTGCAAATTGCTGTGTGCTCTTAAGCTCCAGGAGCGGATAGTTGAAATACTTGCATGATGGCTTGTATACTGCAGTCGGGCCCCTCTGTCTGCACCTCAAACCGCAACACGTCTTTGGGACGCACCTTGCCCATGGAGTACAGCATGCAACACTGGACATCCCTCTGCATCTGCACGCCATTAGCTGGAAAACAAGAAGACGGACAAGGGGGAGCAGGACGAGTTGAGCATGAGCAAACTGACGGGAAAACAATTTATGATGTCACAAACACAGAAACGTGCCAGTTAACTGAGATCATGCCACTGTAAAAGAATGGGCCAAAAGTTTTAAACGGCAGGAATAATTTGGTATTACCGTAGATGACAATTACGTTAGCTGGAGTAAAAATGTTAAGAGCATCGCGATTTTGGGAGCTTTTCCACATTTGCCTCGCAGCTTCTCCACATGCCTTTTAGATGAACACACGCAAACTTGCATGTGAGAACACAGGTGTGCGCACAGGAATGTCCGAGGAATGACAATGGCATTCATCTGTGCTGAGAAAGCCACTACTATGCCTGTGAAACCAGAGGAAGTGAGGGAAGGAGAGGAGGAGTGTGTGTGTGTGTGTGTGTGTGTGTGTGTTTGTCTGGATGCTTTGCCATGATGTCTCCCCATTCAAAGCAGATCTGTAAACAAAAGTGAGACGTCAAGCAGCCGGAGGAATAAAATAGGACAGAGCCGCTTCGTGGTGCCACGGACGATTTGGAATCGGTGCACTTCCAGGGCTTTCTCCACATCTCAGGAATCAGACTACACCATCACACGGGCTGACACAGTTGCTGTGTCTCTGCACGAGTGCGGGGGGGGGGGGGGGGGGGGATTTCAAACGCTCGTCCTCCTGCGCTCTGCCCCTCTGTTTACATCCGTGCCTCCATCCCCTGCTGATGCTATCCCTCTTTCCCTCTTGTTTCCTTTTCTGTCTCCGTCATCACTCCCTTTTTGCAACACTGTCCAACTGCAAGGGTGCACACAGTCCATGCATGCACAAGCACACGCATACATGCACAGATAGAAAGTCCGGCTGTGTCCTACCTTCTACAGATGCCAGGAAGACCACAGTGAGTGAGATAACAGTCAACATCTGCAGGATGAACATGACGAGACTGGCAGAGAGGAGAGGATAATCTACTCTGTCACCTCTCCCTCTATGGCTGCCTCTCTTATATTACTCCCTCCCTCTCTTTATACCTCCCTGCCCATCTCTCACTCACCCACTTTCACCACCTCTCTTCTTCTGTATTACCGTCTTTCCCTCCCACCCTCTGCCTACCCATCTTCAGTCATTCTCACACTCAAACTCAACTCCCACCCTCGTTCTCCTTTCCCTTACACATTCATCTCACCTCTTCATGGTCTCTCCCTTCTTGTCTCCTTGCTTAGGATGCCAAACCCCATTTGTCTCATCTGTGGTTTTGCATACCTCCTCCCCCCCTTTTTGTGCATGTTTCCCATCAGGACTGGATGGAGCTCCCGGGATGATGTTGAGGTGTGTACATTAATTCCCCCGACTGACCTTGTAACTTGGCAAGCAAACGGCACACATTTTGCTCTCCGTTTCCAGATAAAATAAGGGTTTAATGACTTTCAGTTAAAGACGCGTCTGGCTTTTGATGTGGGTCTGTCTTTAAAACAAGCTCGTGTTCTATGCCAAACTAAATTGATGGCGAATAAAACCCTTTTCAGAAACAATTTGTGCAGCATTGATGGAGTCATCAGCCTGTCAAAGTACTGTATGCAACCTTAAGCTATTTATTTGAGACTGGACAGATGCACCAATTTAGTTATCTTGTGGCTGCATCTTACACAGTTATGGTAATCATTTAAACTTGACAGGTGCCTTTTAGTTATGAAAAGAAAGCAATACAAACAAATTGATCTTTTTTTTTTTTTTTTTTTTACTGTATTCTGTGCTTTTAATCATTTGTATTGCACTCGTCTGGTTCAGAAGAAGAGACATTCTTCAAATTATTATTCAGAAAAGTACAGCTAGTATCTTGTGAGGGAGGCTGTGGCTTAGGGGTTGTCAAAAGGTGGGTCAGTCCTGAGCTACACGTTTAGATATCGTTGGGCAAGACATTGAACCCCCAGTTCCCTGCTATGCAGCCTCAAATGGGGCATGGGGCTATGTGTCCTGTTTGTTACGGTCCCAAACCTGGATAAACGTGAAGGTTGTGTTAGGAAAAGCAAGTTATGTCAGTGGAGCCTTCATGTCTTTTGGAATCCATCACTTCTCCAGCTCACCCAATACAACTTTATTGCAACACCAGTTACACCAAACGGTAGCAACTGCTTTTAATATCCCTTTAGTTTTAGCCAGCCTTTGTTTTGCAACTGGAAGTTTTCATTTATATTCTTGCATTTCCAAGTCAGACAGCGTTTTGCACACACAGAGTTAATATTTCCTTTTGTGATATTACTGTGTCCTCACCTCATTCCTCTGCAAGTTCAGCGTATTAACTATGGTGGAGCTGTAATTATGAAGCCATCAGCAAGCTCATTAGACCGAGCACTATCTGTATGAGCAAATCTGGCTAGCTGAGCTTTTTTACTATCTATAATTTCGCAGGATTAATTGAAAAGGTTGGTTTTCTTTGTTCTAGAGGTTGCTGAAAAGGCTATTTGAAACGGTCATCTCAGTTGTTATATATTCATGTAGGTTTTAATGTATTTACATAAATGTAAAGTGGTTACACATTCTCTTCTCCACCGCAGTGTGAGAGAGAGAGAGGCTTTAGCTCAGTATTTTTCCTGATCATGGCTCAGACATTTTTAATATATATATATATGAGTGCTGCCCCTAAAACATTGAGGCAAACCATGCAGCAGCAAAGTTTTAAGTGTGCTACAGTTGATTTAATGAAAAGTTCTCAATGTGAATCAAATAATCCATCCCATCAAATCCTGTATCCACACTATTAATGTCACTGTAGGCTGGTATTAATGGTTGCCTAAAATAATGACAATACCTACACTTTTTCTGACACATCATGCCAATTCCTTGTTCATAGCCTTAAAAAAAAAAACCAACTGGGAACTGGAAAGTGTCGATCTCACAATAAACAAATCACAGTGAACATTATTCAAAAGTATTATCTCTGAGAGATCATGTAAGCATGTAGGAGAGGGTTTGGATGACATTCTGGGTTACAATAACACAAAAACACTGTACAGAACTTCTGTCTCGTCCTTATTAGATTTAGGCAATAACATCACAAAGACCATCACAAGATAGAAATTCAATATCTGCCATCCATATGAATGCCATTTTGAAGAGTCTCTCTGTTACTTGTAAAAATTATTTGTTACTATTAAACTTTTAGGGTTGAGTCAATGACTTGACTTTAGAATTAGAAACAAAAACTAGTTTATCAGTATTAGAAAATGACCAGTCGAAAGATACAACCTATAACCCTAAATCCTTTGAATAATTTACATTCCGCTGTACTCGTGATGACTAAAGATCATGTTGTACAAACTTGATCCTCCTCAGCCTACAGTTGCGCATCTCTTATAGAACAACAATGTGGAATTTGATATCACACATCCACTCAGTGAAGCTTGTTTTAACACACATGTTACCTATCACGATGATAAATGGACAAAATTCTTCTCCAATCACATAATGACAAATACCTCTGTCAAATCTTACATTCCTTTGTCCCTCTAATCATCTCTTTCAGTTACAGAATTAACTTTGAGATCTGGCAGCAGAATGAAACCTATAAGAAGTCTTTAGCTGAAGTTAACCAACATTGTTATTCAATTTCATGGCTTGGCTCACAGTGCTAGACCAATGTCACCAAGTAAATATGATGTACTTGGCCAATAGAGTTGTACAAATGTTTTAAAACATGTGCATAAAATGAGTGTAAAGCATCCCCCTGTCTGTTCATAAGTCATAGTAAAGCTATTACTTTGCTTCCATAATAGAAAACCACAAACAGTGCAGGCCAAGTATGTTCATCCATTACACACAGGCTTTGACAGAAACGGCATCAGGACCTGATTACATGGCAGAAACCAGAGAAATTTCTGTAGCCCTTCATCTATTTAAGACGCATTCTTTTGATCTGACACTGTGGTAAAGAAAAATGGCCCAGACAGATGCCAGAGTTAGATTATGCAGCCAACAACAGCTGCGTATAAAGTGATTAATCAAAAACTTGATTAGAATTGATGGGAATATGGATGATGCTGTTGTAATGGTAAAAATCCTAATGGTTCTGGACAATAAACAGCCCGAGTTGTATTCTGTGTTACAAACCCGGCTTTCAGTTTGTAACAAAGGAGGGAGCCAAACATTCTGTCAGTTGTTTTGATAATTTATTTAACCCAGCATAGAGACAACTGAAGGAAAATGATGCTTCTCGTCTGTTATTTAATGCGTTTATAGGTGAGTGAAGTGTGTCAGACTATAAAGACCCAAAACCAAGATATCCAGATTCCGGGAAAAGGTCAACTGGACAGAAACAAAACATGTCAGACAGGCCGTCACGTCCTTTATCTGCCGACTGATACACATGGTACAATAACAAATAAATTCTTTATACTCTTTTATCACCTTTGATCATCCCAGATATAACGTGTAAACCAGCAAACCAACTGTTTTTTCCCAAACTGTTAAGATGGTGTGAACAACTCCGGCACACCGCTTCATTTAGGATGTGGTCACTGTTGGTGATTTCATGCGTCACGTCCACCAGCCTCACCAACTCATTTGTGGTGGCCAGAAACTCCGATCTGACCTCAGAACCCGCGTCTCACTCAGGATTTAAAGGAGGGAAATGTTTTGTTGGAAAATAGTTCTTTGTACACAAAATTCTTCCGGACATTTTTCTCCTTTTTTATAGGATTACAGGAAACGGAGAGAGAGAAAAAACCGAGGGAGACAAACCAAAAAAGCCTCACACAAATGTCGACATCTCATTTCATAGAAGACACCATTAGCTATTCTACATAGTAGAAAATGATGAGGGATGATATCAGAATCATCTTTAAGACAATCACTTTTTTAAACATTTAGAAAATCCTGTGCATTCCACATTTTAATTCTGTTTTTTAAATGGTTTAGGGATACAAACATGGTATGTTTTTCATATAAGGTTGATTAGTTTTCTTGTGTTACTCAGCGTACATTTAGAAACCATCAGTTTCTGTTTATATTGTGGATGTCCTAATGGTAGCAGTAAAAGTGAAAGGTTCAATTTAGTGTTCTCTGTTTATAAGCAGAAAAATATGTGCATATTATCAGTTCTGGTATTTGTGAGCTGTCTTAAAAGATAAAAGGGCATTGACCTATTGGGAAGTGGCAAAAATCTACCATTGTGATTCCCCTTACAATCTTTTATGTTTTAAACTCATAACAGCTGCAGGAACATGTTACCAGTTTGCAAAAAAGCTTTTGACATTATCAAAAATGCTAGGACTCTGTTGTTTTCCTGAGTCGTTGCATGCTAATGGAGGTGTAACATGTCTTGTTTTGATCTGCTGTGCTTTCTGATCGATGAGCTGAAACTTCATCCTCCCTCAGATTTTTCTCGTTGGACCAACACCAAAACCCTGACATTTTAAGTTGATATCTTATATTAATAAATAGGCGTCTACTGAAATGATTCCTTGTTATTTATGCTCGTTCATTTATCTGCAGTAAGAACCAAGATATATCGCCAAATAAAGTGGACACAAGAATGTGCCATGTATCATTAATAGCCATTTTTGTTCACTTTTGTTTTGACTTGACCTTAAAAAAAAAAAAAAACTTCCTCCTAAAACTTCTGGAGTGAATCGGCCAAATAATCCTTGGCAGGAAAGTTGCTTTCTCCTCATCGTGACATAAATTAAGTTCGCAAAGATTCAAACAACACATCATACCGCATTAAACTAAACGCTTTGGGCATTTTGGAGTTCGGAAAAACACAATAATGAACAAATATTTAAAGTATTGGCAGGGAAGCCTTGGAACTGTGAACCACTTTTCGAGGAGGGAAATATTGCCCCAGGCACTAATAGAGACATGTAATGGACGAATTTAGTAGGATTAGACCAATAACTGCCTGCCTAAGTTCTTGCGGTTCTCCAGATCACAAGAGCGAGCAAATGATCCTTCGGCCTCTCAAACACTTGATTGGAAAAATGTTGAAATATCCAGACTAGACAGTGTGTCCCGTTTGGAATCCTGGACGTGAAAGTATGCAGGCTGTGCACGGAAGGGTGAGGTTGCCGTAAAAAAAATGTGTAGTGTGCGCGCGCGCGGGTGCGGGGTTGACCGTTGAAGAATTTGACCCCGAGAAAATCAGGCTGGAATTTCAGCTGCAAAAACACACCTTCCAAACGGCTAAAGGTCAGCCGGGGAGCCCGTTGTATGATTGAAATATCTCGTGTCCATGTGGACGGAGCCAAACCGTGAGCCAGGCAGCAGCAAAAAAAATGGCATTACCCGGTTTTTGTCCAACTTACAAATTGAGTAGAGGAGCTGGAGATGAATGGAGGGATGTTCCGGCCCCCTGGAGATGATGCCCAGTTCGACTCCCTGTGCTCGCCATCTTAATATAAGTCAAAGGGATCTCGGAGGGGATCAAACGCAGGGGGTAAATATTTGATATAATCACTGAACGGCGGGTTGCAAAGGCGGTCAACAAATTGCATGCAACCAAGCCTCGACTCCAGAAGCCCACGCAACTCCGTTTTAACCTGATTTCTGTACCAAAAATATTTAATAAAGGGGAGATCAGATGAGGCAAATGTCCTCATTGCAAAATGCAGGCATGTGTAATGAACAGTCTTTGGCAGTTTTAAGCAGAAGTTTCATATGAGTGATAGAGTCCGGGATTAAGACGGGAGATAGAGAGAGGAACCCCCACGGCCCTCTGGATGCTGGCGGTGGCATAGTTGGAGGATGCCTGAAATGTTTGAGATACCCACAAGAACCCAGAAGAGACATACTTAGGAGACAGAGGGATTTATAAAAGAGAGTCTCGAAAAAATCAGGATAACAACCCAGATTCCAAAAAATTGGACCTGTATGAAATAGAAGACGGTTTTTAAAAATGTTTTTATCATTTTCTCTTTATTGTTTCTTTTTAAAGAATAAAAATGAACATATGGGAAGAAGACAAGAAAAACAAAACAAAAAAGGAAAAAAAGGAACGATTAAAACATCAGCAACAAGAGAAAAAAAGTAAAAGAATTTTGCGATGACTCATTTTTTTCCCCATGTTGTTGTCCCTATAATTGTCTTTATGCTGTTTCCGTATAAACATTCAATTTTTGGCATTTGTCTCCACATGGTTCTTCTGGAGTTTTTATCGTCTTTGTCAATTATTCAATTACGTATATCAATTTTACCTTTTTTTGCCAGCCATGCTGAGTTGACTGGTCCGCTTTGTACCATTTGTGATTCCCTTCTTGAAGTCTGCTAACAATACATTCAGTAAATATCTGTCCTCTTTTAAAACAGGACTGTTCTGCATGTTTCCAGGTACTGTAGTCCACATGTCATGGGTATAATGATGTCTGATCCACAGTCTCCCAAAAATATTACATTTTTGGGCAAAGCAAAAACACATAAAACACACAAAGATCTACGTTCATAACACCAAATTTTCTCTAACAAGGCTGCGGCACCGATGTGTGTTTATTTCTACGAGGTGACAATTTTTTTTGCTAAATAAATGTCACATTTGTATAGAATGTATAATTCCTCCATGTGTGCAGGTTTGAGTGTCCCTATCAAAAATACAGGCTCCTGATCGGAGCGCCTGAGTGGTCCCTCTTGTCCCAGTCTGGAGGATGTCCATGATTCCATAGCAGAATTTAACATCTTTAATGGACTGACCACAGACAAGTTTTCCACTTTGCTTAGGTCCATTTCAAGGCAGCATACCCAGAAGACCGTGGGGTGTCTGGCTCTTGTTTGCATATGGCCCTGATCAATTGCACACATTTTCAGAAAATAAACTGTAACATTCACATACATGCACAAACACACACATATATATATGTATATATATGTGTGTGTGTGTGTGTGTGTGTGACACTGGTGTGTCGGTACAAGCAACAATCTGGTCAAGCAGCCTAAGATTTATCGTTTTTCCCTGGATAGGAAAAGACCTCCACCGTCTTTCCACATGAGATTTCCCGGATAGAATGTCTTTTCCGACTATGGAAATAAAACAATGTCCAATAATCCAACATTTTATTTTCTTTTATTAGAAAAGAGCACTGCCTATTCCTCTGTGTCAGTCAAGCATTCCTCTGCAGGGAGTTGACTGGTTTTATTCTGGAACCAAACATCTGTCCTTCTCGCAGCTCTGTTTCATTACCCGCGGAAACCCTAAACCCAGAAAATAAGCTCAAGCATACTGGAGAATTTATTTAGAAAATCCCCGCTACAAAAACTCGAGGGCTCTTCGCTGAGCGTAGGGTCTGAAACTAGACGCGCTGGATGTGTTTAACAATTCTTTCCAGGAAGAACAAAACACCTCTCAGGTCTAGAGACATACATTCCTTCGACAATGTGATTTTCCCAGAGTCACCCTGTTGAGTGAGAAATCTGAACTTCAGCATTTCAACATGGGCTCTCCGTGCACTGTGTGCACGTCCAAAATGTTCAGCTGGAACAGCTACAGGAACAGAATTTAGACCTAAGGACACAAAGCTTATTCAATTCACTTAAAGCTGCATCATAGAAAGTAAAAGTTGATGCCATTGGACCTTGGAGGGGCAAAAACACACACTTTGGTGCTCATAATCTGCAGTTCTGTGCATTAGTGCCATCAGGTCTGTTCTGTTTTCTGTTAGTTTTGCCTCTTTGCAGGTGCTCATGATCGTCTCTCCCCAGTTTCCCCGTGGATGCTTTAGGAGGAATCCGATAGCAGCTTTTGTCGGGTTTGGTTACTTTGTTCTACACGTTTCTTGGCATTTGTGTTCTCGTTCACACTCCTTTGTGTTGTGAGAAAGATTAAGTGTCTCAAACATAAAAATTTAAAATGCACATTTATTTCATTGCACTGTAGTATTTCACACATATTTACAAATGAATGTACATTGTACTATCAATGTCTTTAAAGTTCTTTAAAAAAAAAAGATTTATAAAGATCCGATATGCGAGTCCGATTTAGAAAAGCACAAAAAACGTTTTCCACATTGACAGAATTCTTCCTGAATGGCCATAGATGTCCTCTCTTCTTACTGGGCTTGTGAAGTAATCTTTAATCTAGAGTCCCTGCAGAGAAAATTAAGAATGAATGCATCATGGTCAGCTATAAATCTTACTCCTTTATGTTTACACATCTGTCAAAGATGGAGTACATGTTGTTTTTGTGCAGGTGAGGTATTTATTCTGCCTGGCACGGAACAAAAACACTAATAAACTAATAAAAAAAACACACTCGGTCAAACCACAGGCATGAAATAGCTGGCATGGTCCAGTGAGGGTGATGCCAAACATCCCGTGGATTTCCTTAATGTTCAACAGGGCTTACCTTCAAGAAACGCAAACTCATCTATGGCCTCTATCGCGTTGTCTAAGAGAAGACGAGAAAAACAGGAGGAATAGTTTGTGATTCTGTATCAAACACACGCTTGATGGAAAATGTTTTGAATATAACTATATTTTCTGAATATGTGCTCATTATTCATGTTACAATGACAAGTTATTCCTAAACTTTTGAGCATTGTGACCCCAACTCTTTCAGCATGCTGCATCCTTTTCTGACATAAAACATACCAGCAAACATTTTTTTATTTCATTCCCTTTCTCTGTGGTATTAAACTCAAAATCAACATGCACTATTATATCTTAGCATGGTAGATGGTTCCTTTGAACAACAGCATTTTAAATGGAAAATATCTGAATTGGAGTAGCTTTTTCTCCATAATTTGTATTAACTACCAATGCAGTAAGGCACTTTGCTGACTTTTAGAACCAATAAACACATCGATATATTCCCCAAAAGTGAGAATAGTTCTGATTAGTTGAGCCAAACAGGTTAAATCACACCACACCTTATCACATGTTTGATCCGGGTTTCCAAATGGTACTAAAGAGATTTTAACAGCACATACCCAGGTCTTTTCTTTGCAGAGTTTTCCGCTTGCCCTGCTGTGCGTACACCAAAGCATCTTTGGCAATCATCTCAACAAACAACTCCTGGGGAAAAAAAAACAAAATCAAAATCAAACCAACAAACAACTCCTGGGAGAAAAAAACAAAATCTAAATCAAACCAACACACAAAACAGTGAATAACATACAAAATCAACATGGTTCACATTGGTCTTTGTGATAGGTATTGCATTTGTTTTTTCAAATCTATACAATTTCAGGTATTTTTCAGGGTCAATTTCACATTTGGGTTTTGACACGTGGGATTTAGACTGAATTATAATGGGGATAGATTTAGAAGCTACACCACAAATCTTGACCACGTTCGGTCTAATTCGTTTTCCCTTTCTGGGGAGAGGTAATGGTCTTACCGTGGCTTTAGCGATGATGAACACAGACTCCTGGCTGGCCAGGGACACGTCCGGGTCGGTCTTCATCAGGGCTTTGATGCGGGCCAGCGGGAGCTTGGACAGCCGGCTGTGGCTCACGGCGGCCGCGGGGCCCATCTGCGGCTGCCCGCCCTCCTCCGCCTCCGCCCCGCGGTTCTCCTCTTCGCTCCCGCAGCGGTCGGAGTCCTGCTCCATTGGGCTGATAGGCGCTGCCATTGTTCACACGTTATAATAGACAAGAACGTACAAAAAATGCCCAAGTCTTTCTGGTTACATGACAGACTTCATAACAACATCAGTAGCAGCGCGCCAACATGTGCTTCCGGCATGCTGGTGAGTAGACTGTATTAATTCGCCAGTCATCTTAAGCCCCGCCAACCAGCTCTTGTCGGTGATTGGATAACTGTGAATTGAGGCCTGTTCATAGGCTTAAAGTGATTGTCAATCATAATATGTTGCCGCCTACGAGGTTAAAGCATGGCGTATGCTCTGGAGATGTAAAGATTTTGTAAGTATTGTAAATTGTTATGTTTTTATTTTTATTTTGTCTTGTTATAAAAATGTTTTACCAACAGCTCCGTTTAAAAATTTTTTTAATAGTTTTACTTCATCTTATTTTGGTAACACATAGCGGCTATGGGAATAAAATAGATCACAATTTGTCCACTGGAGGGCGATGGAAACTTGATGTTAAAAAAAGAATTACCGTAAATTGTTAATGGGCATACAACAGAGCTTACATTTTGTTTACGTGTGTAATTTCTTTGTACATTTTCGTATTCATGAGATCAGTAGGATGTTAAAAATAAAATGCGAGAATTGCATTTGAACAGGATCAATTTTTTTGTCTCAATCATAAGGGCTGAGGTGCTGTTTCCATTTATAATGCTAAATTAGATTTTCTGTTACCCATTGATTACAATTATTTATGGTTCTGACTCCATCTTGCAATGGCCTCAAATAATCAGGGCCACACAAGACATCGCCAGTATAATTGTTAAAACTGTGTCAATATAGCTGCAAAAATAAGTACAATGGTATTTTTGATTTTAAAAAAAAAGTCATTTAAACTCTTTTCAATCTGCCATGTCATCTCTCACCCAGGTTTATTCTTCATAATTTGTATGCACTGGTATATGTCCAATCATTAAATAAGATATTTATCTCAAAACTGACCAACAGCAACAAAAAGTAATATAGAAAAAGACAAATATACAGAATAAATATACAGTCTCAGAATGTATACAGAAATTGCAGGTGTAAAACAATATTCATATAAAAACATATTCTCGGTACAGCCTCACAAATTTTAGGTTAGGGTGTAAAAACATATAAAGATAGATCACTATGTTGGGGGCATAATTATCTGACAGGGATTTGCTGGAAACAGTATTTTCCATATGAGCAGGTTATCAGTTAACTCACACATGAAAATGTAGCATTATGGATTAACACTGAAAGAGGGTTAGTGGATTATTTACATTTTAGGGAAAAAAATAACAATTGGAACACTGGATATGATCAAATCATGCTTAAAATTGCACACCGGCTTTACTCCTTTGGCAGATAGAAAAGCAAAAACAAAAGACAAAAACTGTTTGATATGCCAAGAACCGAGAACTAAGAAAGAGACAAAAAAAAGTGTGACGCTTCAAGCTGATTCAAGAAGTGCACTTTCTGATCCAGGAGTGCACTAGAATTAAAGTTGGCCGTTTGTTTTGGTGCTACTGTAGACAGACTGTGCCTGACAGCCACAAATATGATTTGTTTTTTGGAATAGTTAATGTCTGTGTCTTTCTGATGTTCAGAGAATTTGGCTGCTGGGTTGTTGGTTTCAAGTTCCATTCATCAGTCCGCTACTGACGTGCACCTGCTGTTGGTTAATTTGCTCAAATAAGAGGAAGGCAGAATGCGCTCTGAACAGTACGCTTTATGTTATCATGCATTGTGATGAGCAAAGCTAGCTTTCAGCATCTTTGCATTAAGGCCTGTCACTGACATGTCATTCCAAGGCTCAGTGTTGTCTTTGAATATTGCTCCTGCTGCACTCTCAATAGCTGACTTATCCGGTTCTGCTTTTAATTTAAATCGTGACCTGTGGTGACTACAGGTCATTAAATAGTCAAGGATTTGGTGGTATAACTGCAAGGAACTCACCTGTAAGAACTACAGACTGCAGTCTAAATTCTGGTAGCAATTTGATCATGTATAAAAAAAAAAACAAGCTAGAGTTTGATGTTTAATATCAATATGTGAATATGTCATGTTTGATTATCTCATTCCAAGATGTTGTATGAAATAATTATATAACTCACTAAGATGTCAAATATGGCTTTAATAACAGATGTTCAGATTTTATATCTTTAAACAAATACAGTGTGATGTATATACTCCTGTGCCTGATTAATTAGTCCTCTAAAGTATGTTTCAGCACTTTTGCTGGGTCAGTTTGTGCCAGGGGACATAATGTGCCGTCCACTAATGCACAGTATTAATAGGATTGTAGGGAGTGATTTAGTCCTCTGAAGCTTCATTCACATGTCTAGTCACAGTCAGGTATTAGTGTCTCGCAGACGGACATGAAGGATCCACAACTCCCAGGTAAAATGATCGTTTTTTAATTCTTTTTCTAATATTACATACATAACTATCCCTATGGCCATCTGATAAATTATTTATCAGTTCCTGATAGAGCGGTTATACTGTTTCATTCTTCTGGCTAATATGTGTTTCTATGGGGCGCACACTTTCTCTTTTTGGTTATTTAAATTTATATCTAAGAATGCTCCCTTTTAATATCATTTACAACTATATGATTGAATATAGAGAATATTCACACTTATATTTAGGAATTAATTGACAGTTTCTATTGTTGGTTTAATGATCTTCTGAAAGATTTTGTATTCTTTTTCTGTTTTTTTTCATTGGTTAATTTCTATGTAGCTGGTTTAATTAAGTCTGTAACTGTTATCATCATTATAAAGTTATTTGCAATCTTATCAGAGAAAATTGCTACACCAAAATTTCATGAAGTCTCCAGTAGCAAGATAACTGAGTTCTGTTTATAGCTTAGTTTTTTTAAAAATATGGACTAATATAACAGCTTGAAAATATCATTTGAGGGCAATAAATAATGAATTTAATATGCTTACATGCACAGTGTGAAGTTTAACCGTCAGCACACTGATCCAATCATCATCTTCTCTTACAACTCTGACCTTATTTTGGCATCTCTTTTAATCAATGCTCTGCCGTTAATCCGTTAAGGTAAACTATATATAGCTTCCTACGTTCAGAAGTTACGCACTGATGCTTAGTCTTAAAGAGGTAATCCTTATTATTGCAGGACTTCGGCCAACCATCAGCTAAATTTAACCTTTACTGACGAAGGGGTGGCACAGTATCAAAGTTCACTATACTAATCTCAGTTGGCCCTTTTACTATGACTTTTGTTGAAATAATGAAACTGCATCCTGTAAAAACAAGAGTAAGTCCAAAAAATGTCCAGTCTGAGAAAAATGAATGCCTAAAAAAGACAAAGTAAAAAATTCAAATGGAAAATGCTGGCCTTAAAGAGCTGTGTCCAAGTGTTAGGGATTCATTTCCCAGAATAGAGGGGAACAGGAAAGGTCAGCATATCCTGTTTTTCTTCATCATTTCTTATGAAAACACACAAATGATTTAACCCAGACCGGAGATGTTACATCAGCTTTGATGTGGAAAAACAAAAATCAAGTGTAAGCACTGATAACACAGAGGTGCTGTGTTATCTCAAATTAAGTGGAAGGAGGGAAATACCTACTAAAATTAAATAGCATTTCAACAGTTTATCTTGTAGTACATAAAAAAAATCTGAGATGAGCTCATTTAAAATGAGTTATATAATCCATGTAATTATATTGAATGTATTTAATCATTTTTATGTGCATGTGGTGTGTCATTTTTTACCCACAAGCCTTTGAAAATGACCGAATAAATACATTTAAAAATCCAGCAGGTGTTATCAGAGAAGGTAGACATGTTACCTCAGCAGATAAAATAAGATGACCTGGAGGTCAGACTAATTCCCAGTGTTCTTATCTCTGTCCTGATTTGCCATCAGTCAAAGTCTCAGGTTCGTATCAAACACTCCCTACAACCCAAAAAATAAGTCAGTCCTGCAAGTACATAGAATATGTGCGTTTTCCTCAGTGTTGTGTGTTTGTTGCCGTAATTCGACGTCCTTCTGAATTTGCGTCACATTTCCTCTTGTTTCTTTCATTGGTTTTCAAGGCATTAAAGCACGGCTATGGCCCAAGCAGAAAATAAGCAAAAAGTCCAAAGATGAATCCCCAAAAGTGGCAAAATCTCCTTCTCCCGTCCGGCAAGTCATCTCCCAGCTGACCGAAGCCGAGAAAATGAGGCAGACGCCGTTTGAGAGGGTCGTCTATGACATGACCCACAACGAGAAGATTGTGAATGACCTTATGCTCGGACGAAGGGTTGGCTTTTATGAGCTGCGTGGAGAAATTGGCCAGGGCAACTTCTCCTATGTGAAACTGGGCATCCACGCCTTGACGAAAGGTGAGAAACCTCAGGTTTTTTGTCTCATTTTTTAAGTTTGACAGAGTTTTATCAGCGAAACGATGATAACAATGACTTGTTTGGCCTATTTTCATGTCAGTAGATAATAGCTGATTGTAGTCTTCATCAATCCCATACTATAAACCTTCATTCTGCACAGGCTTTGTGGCCATAACTACGTGGTTCTTGGTTGTTGGACGCACTTTAGCTGTCCCAATCCTCCATTTAAATCAGTTGCCAAGTCTCCGACTGTGTTCTCCTTAAACAGATTGCTCTGGGTGCGTCCCCTGGGTGCCGGGGTGTATTTCTGTCCTCCTTTCTGCTTTTCACCTCAGCGGACCCGGTTTAAGTCCGCCGCTAACGGCTAAGCTTCTCCTCGCCTGCCTTTCACAGAGAGAGTCGCCGTCAAGATCATGGACAAGATGCGGCTGGATAAGAAGAACCCGTCTTTGGCTTCGTCTGAGATCAGCTGCATGGAGAAGCTGAGCCACCCCAACGTAGTGCGTCTGTACGAGGTGATCGAGACCAGCCGGCGGCTGTACCTGGTGATGGAGTACGGCAGCGGCGGGGACCTCTTCTCGCGGATCACCACCAGGGGGAAGCTCAACGACCTGGAAGCCAAGCTGGTCTTTGCACAAATCATCTCTGCTGTTAAGCACATGGTGAGCCCTCAGTGTCAGAGCAAATCCTCCAGCATGTCACCGCGCTGCATGTGACATGGCTTACGGGGGTTTTCTCCGCTCATCTTAAGGCAAAGGAAAGCTTAACTTTTTTTTAAAAAGGCTCAGTTGGTCTGAGATTGTAGCTATACGAACCATAACACTCTGAAATATGAATTCTGCATTTACTTTTATTTCAGATCATAGATTTGTTGCAGTGAGTGAGCTATTTGTCACTTGTTTAGGGAAGCCTAAACCCAAAGCTTTTTATGAGAAACTGGAATAATAGAGAATAAATAATTAAGATATGCAGCAAAGAGAATCTGTAATAAAAAAAAAAAGATTCAATCAGGTGCTATCTAAAACCTGAGTGATAAATGTTTCTAAATTCTATCAATTCTTTGTTTAATTTGAATACATTTTATTAGATGTTTAATAGACTTGTATAGATGTCGGAACCATAAAGAAAACCATATAGAACCATATAGAAATTTAGAAAGATATTCAACTTCAGTTTAACATCTGTGTGGGACTAATTGCATTTTCTCCACTGTATAAAAATGCTGTAGCTTAAACCTAGATTTCCACCTTTGTGTTCTTTTTCCCAGCATGAAAAAAACCTCGTGCACAGAGATCTCAAGGCAGAGAACATCTTCTACACCACCTGTTACTGCATCAAGGTTGGGGACTTTGGCTTCAGCACAGAAACTGGACCGGATGAGCTCCTGACCAGCTTCTGTGGCTCTCCTCCCTACGCCGCCCCTGAGCTTTTCAAGCAGAAGGGTTATATCGGACGCTTCTCGGACATCTGGGCTTTGGGGATCCTCTTGTACTTCATGGTGACGGCCACTCTACCCTTCTACGGGGACAACCTGGGCAGGCTGAAGCGCTGCATCCTGCAGGGGGCCTACAGCATCCCCGCCTACGTGCCTGACCCCTGCCAGCTGGTCATTAAGGGCATGCTGCGGATGGTGCCCGCTGACCGCTCCTCCGTCGCCCAGATCACGGACAGCGCTTGGCTGAAGGGCGTGGACTACCCCCGCCCGTACTCCCTCCTGCCTCTGTCCCCGGCCCACTTCGCCCAGCCGGGCCTGGCCCTGAGCGCGGAGGAGCAGGAGGTGAAGAACCTGCTGTCCACTCTGGGCGTGGTGACCGTTCACCTCCAGAACAACTCCTGCTCGGGCTGCCAGAGCCCGCTGACGGGGACCTACCGGATCCTGCTCCACCGGGTGCAGAAGAAGAGGTCGGTGGAGGCCGTGGGGTATTCGGCGCTGCATCCCGACGAGTACGGGAGTCCGGGGAAATGGTCTGAGGGCAAACGCCTGCCCTCCGCTGTCTGCTCGATACTATGAGAACAGACCTGTGGACAATTGTGTGCCTGTTGGCTTGCCAACACTCATCCGGCTTCTTCAGACTCCCTCAATCCAAGCAGGAGTCCTTCACACGTGGATCGAAGCGAGGAACACACGGAGGATGAGACCCTGAGTAATAAGCTATATCTTTTCTGTTATGATTACGTCACCCTCAGCGAGCTTACTGACGCAGAACATTAATCAATCTCTGGATGGCTCCCAGCGTCTGTCAATCCTGCTTAGTCGGAACACAAAGCTTCAGAGGAAATCCGAGGCCGCGGGGACTCTCGAGGGAACACACTGAAAACGGGCTCAATCCAACAAAAATGACAGAACGGCCAAAGGAATAAGTGGGAAGAAAGGAAGAATTTTAAGCACAGCTAATTAAGACCAGATCAAACCTGATCAAATTCTGCAGACACTTGACAGTATTTATGTGAGTTTGACCCATAACTCAGTGCCTGAAGTCTCTTCGTTTGATCCGGGTGTTCGGACGTTAAATTCCTTTCGTTTGGCCGTGGTGGTTTGAAGTACACAACATTGTGTTACAATAACAGAAACATCTGGGACACACCCATAATTCTAAGCTTTGCACAGCTCTCATTTTGTGACTGTATAATGAATTTTGTGCTTTTTGTTGCTTTGTTTTTCGGTCATTGTTGTGATAAATGCTTTACAAATACTGGCTTGGACTTTTCGCCGTTCTATATTTATAGGACTTTGGTTCTGACTCTGGTCAGATTCATTAATCAAAAATGCTTTCTTCCCTTACATAGAAGGTTATTTGGAAATCTCTCCTTTTTGCAGGAGGCAGGTGATTAAGCAATACTTTTTTACCCTCACTTTTGCTTCTTTTAAAACTTGAGACAGTAATTGTTTGACAAAGTAATTTGTTTAAGTCAAATATTTAAGCATTTACTTAAGACAGTGCAGATAAATAAAGCTTTTTTTCTTGAACCAGTTCTCGGAAACGGATTTTGGACTCATTTCAAACACTTTCAGTTAACCTGCTGTGGATGAAAAAGTTTATTTATGAGCTCTGCTCTTCATTTGAGATTTCCTTCCAAATATGAGGTAACACTTTGAGCACTTTCTCCATCTGATGTTCTGTCTCAGGAATTCGCCAGTGTCTTTGAACCCGACACCCCCCTCTTCCTGTTCCCGTCAACCCAAAAGTCGTGTATGTCCTGCCAACGTGTGCATGTACCAACTCTGTCACCGTACCAACTGTTGCACATTTCGTAACTAAAGGTCTGAAGCCCTCAGTTCGCTGCTTGCTCGAACAGGGTTGTTTACACAGTGAGTTGGATGGTGCCAACTTTGATATTATCGGTCCAAGCAAGTGCTGAGGAGGAGTGCTGACTTGCCGTTTATTTTGGGAGAGTGTTCTTGTTCAATTTTCTTAAAAGTTGAGAACTAATCAGCAAAGACTTCTCGTTGCTGTCTCTGAGAGTGTAATCAATCATTTTGTCTCTATCTGTGAATGGAAAAGTGAAAGACCTCAGCATCTGTATGGAGCTCCTGTTTGTGTGTGGTGGTGCATTGAGTTCCATAAAGAGGCATTTAGTCAACAATCAACAATCAAAACTGACACATCTATTAGATTTGCTGGTGATTTAAGCAACAAATGTCTAAATCTTCACACTATTGTAAGTTAAGGATTCAGCACGACCTTTTTTGATCCCATTCAAACGTCTTGACCGTAGTTTTCAGAAAAGCAAATAAATGGAAAATTCCATTTCTAATCTGTTCCTTTTGTCTTTTAACTCTTTTTTTATTAAACAAACACAATGCTTCGCTTTCTTTCCCACTTCCCTGAACTTCAGGGATTATCTTTTAGAGCCAAGAGATAAACTGAGCAACTGAACGAATACTTGTTTATAATTGCGTTTGGCAGTGAAAGGGCTCCCTTAAGCAACAGATGACAGGAATCAGTCAGGCTCATAAAAGCAAAGCGAGGTGATTGTGAAACAAGATTTGCTTTGTCGTTTATAGACAATTTCCTTTTGGGTGAAAGGGAGTACAATACGTTGAGAGGCTGTGTGAAAGAAAACAGTATGTGCGTCATGTCAAGTTGTGTCCTCTAATCCACCCCATTTGCAACCTTCATTTAATCTGAAAAAGTTATGTTCGATGAAATGTTATTAAATGTATCTAAGCTTTTAAAATCCAAAAGCTCAATTCTATTTTTTTTCATCTGAAATATAACTCCTTTCTTTATGGTTCCTACAGACCCCAATTTTTTTTATTTGTGGTTGAAATTTGTACTGAATACCCAAAAGACTTTGAAAAAAACAAAACTACAGTTCCTGAATCCTTAACAAACTTATTTTTACATTAAAATCACTGTTAGAATTTTTTAAAGAATGGATCTTTTCTGGTTTTAGTGTGTTGCAATTAGATAGTATTCTTAATTTTCTTTAAAAAGCACTATTCTCTCCCTTATCAGAGTTTTTTTAAATGTCAAATGTCAAACAGTTGTGACAATTTATTAGCGGTTATTTGATATCTAAAATTTTGTTCTTGTAAAATGGTCATGTACTTTAAGTTTTCTATGTTTAAAGAGACCACTGAGCCTCGTCTTTGCTTTTCTTGTAACTCTATTCAACTTAAGTAGCACTGAAAAGTCAAACCAAATTAGGGCCTCTGCATTTGTTAAGACTCATATAGTTACACATACACATAGTTACATAATGTGAAGTGAAGTGGACTTTTATTTATTACGAGGTGATATAATTAGTGCCTGATCTATACTGATCTAAACTATACTGATACTGGAATGCATTGCCCGTAAAGGTCTTGCTCTTCTATCATACATACTGAAAAATAATGGGATGGACGTCAGTTGTATAAATTTATCAAAGATAAATGGGATAAAGTAAAAATATCCCCACATTTAGTGTTTTGCATACAAAGTCATTTTTTCTATTCTTAAGTTATATTTTTGTTTGCTTCATCTTTAAATGAAAGAATGAGATTAAAAGTTTGTCAAGATTTGGACCTTTAGGCTTTGACCTTTTATCTTGAATAGGAAATTATTTATTTGATGACCGTGAAACGATCACCAGAAACTGTTTTGGTGCAAATTAATCTTAGAGCAAAAAACAAACAGATGTAAATATAACATAGAAACAAAGACGTGTTATGTTTTACACCATGAAACCATCCTGATGACAAAGAGCGAGAGGTGGGGTACACCCCGGAACATTTCCACTAGTTCTTGATGTTATGTCGCAATAAATAACATAATTTTTTAATATTTTGAATATATATATATTTACAAAGAATCAATGGCTCAGAGAAGTGAAGTTGAGTAAGCATGACATGACCCAGATAATTATATTATTGCATGTATTTTCTTTGGATCAAACTGTAATCCACACACCCATTTCATTGTCTACGTGCCTTCTTCACCTTTAGAAGTGTGAATGGAGGTACTTATGCTGGCCCTCTATTCATATTTATCGGCCCAAGACCAGTTTCTTTTCCTGTATTGTTGCCGATGACAAGCTGTTGCATTCTTGAAGCATTGTCTCATTGTAATGTCCTAAAGACTGGAAAGATGCTGCTAAATGGAGCAAAACTGGGGCAAGATCTAACAAGTTCCTGTGATTAAGTCTTCTTAAACTTAAGCAAATGCGAACTTCGTTTTTCCTTTTCAACTCAGTGACTACAATTAAAGTTTAATCTCAAAGCCTACTCAAGCTGGAAAATGGGGTCATGATCTTCAGACATCTGCTTCTTATTGTGATTTCAAGATTATCGGGATTCAGACTGCAACACCAATGATCTCAACCGAAAATGTGTCCCTCTGTAATTTCCTTTGAAAAGGCTACAAACTGTCCTGAAATTAATTTAAATTCAGAGTTTACACAAGAAACTTGTGCTACAAAGAAAAGAACCAGACAAAACGTCTAAAAACTCCAACAGCAAAGATGAACGGTCCTAAAAGGCCTGCTCTAAATACCAATACTAATACTGTTATTCACTTCTTCTACTAAGTCCTCAGTCATCTCTATAAAATGGACTCTCACTCTATTCTTGGACCATAAGACTACATTTGGAATTAGACTTAAAGAGGCTATTTCCTGGGGAACAACAAGTCTTTGTTCTAAATCTACCTGCATCTCCTAATCACGTCCTGTAAGGTGCCTAGACGCCTTACTGTCTCTTGAACGTTCTCCCCTTCTTGAACAAACTGAATTGCATCACTGTTCGCCTTAGACCCTCCTAAATTAACCATAATTTGTTTATCTTCGATGCCTACATCTAAGCTTCTTAATACTCATTTCTTGTTTCTCCGGCCTTGTGACAAGCTAACCTTACAGCCTGACAAAATATGCCTCAGAATGCCTCTGAACAAAATGAAAATTGCAAAGTTTTAGCCTCCCTATCCACAGTGGTCAATAGGAGTCCACGTATGCAACCCTATCTGGACCCACTAATATATTTGGAGAGATTGCAGTGCAGTTCTAAAAATATTTAACTCTCAATGTTTCAGTTTTAAAGATAAGCTAACTTCTGACCTACTGGCGTGATTGTGAGTTTTTTGGATGCAGAGAAGCAGCTGGCCTTCCTGTTAACTTTCCAGCGCAGACCACCTCCAAAAAAAATGTAATTAAGTTTCAGAATGATCCCACTAATGTGGTGTGCAAAGTGGAAACATGCATTACTTTTCTCAAGTATCAATATTTGTTATACAATTATGTTGGATGGATGACATTACACCTTATCTTCCACAGCATCTAGCATTGAGGTTTTTGTTAGGATTGCGTGTAAAAGCGTGAGAAAAGCTAAAAGCTTTCAGATTTGTATGTGATATACTGCAGAGCGAAATAAGAAGATGAGATATTTAATATGTGACACATTTTCAACTATAAGTGCTTCATTTGTGGGATCAAAACACAATGGTATCCCCAAGTTGGAACATCATAGCTATAGTCCGGACTTTATTTCGAAAACAGTCGGAACATATATTTTCATGCACTTCACATTGAAGAAATCGAGACATAAGCTTTTTTTTTTGTTGTTTTTTTGTTGTTTTGTTGTTGTTGTTGTTTACTACATGTCTGAGCCAGTGGACCACCATGATGTTCTGAAGTTGCTGCTGACATTGGAAGACATTTCACAATCTCTCCACCATGTTCTTGTAAATCATCGACGTGTGAGTAATGAAATGTGTTCAGGCGTTAGAAGACTAATTAAACTTCCAGATGTCTCAATAGTTGCAAAGCTTGATTAACAGCAATAAAATGTACAAAACAACATCATTTTCCAGGTGCTTGAAAAGCCCATTTTTACCAATTGTTAGTCACTTTTTTAAAAGTTCCACAACCTGAAAAAATAACATCCAAAAGCATATATATGTATCACCTGTATAAATAGTTGAAAGAAAGAGTAGGCTGTTAAACATTATCTGCCATGCTTTCACTTTTGTGAAGCGCTTTATATCATGAGAGATCTGTTGATGGCTCGTGAGGACACTGTGTCCACATAAAAGATCTCTTTTCAGCTTTTTTTCTCGCTTTGTTTATTTAGATCAAGATGCTGGCGGATTTTGTCAGCTCATATGGGAACACTTAATCCTTTAGTCTCTGAGAAATTCAATGCGTGAAGCGCTGGGATTTTCATTGTACCAGAAAATTTATAAAACTGTAATATGTATCAAGTGAAACTATTAACAGTGGTACAAGCATAAGTAAAGAAGTACTGCTGTAAGTTGTAGTACTGACACGATAAAACTGAGGGTTACTACAAAATTTAACTGGGAATCAATAGACTCTGCATGTTCAAATGCAACATTTCTATCTGAATCTGACCTGTTCGTATTTTCGTTATGCATTATGCATTCATGCAACAATATTTCCTCCTATTCATAAACCTGTTAAAGGGAAAGGATGATAAGGGTTATCTACATTCCAGATTGATTTGAAACAAACCAACTTACATCACTTTCATTAGAATTGCATGCTAAAATGAGTTTTTTATTGCCAGGAAACATCTGACTGTGATTTCAAAGTAGGCCAGACCTTATGTTTCCAGCTGCATTCCATTGCTTTGTCTAATATGGTTCATTTTTTACTTAATTGCCATAAAGCCAATGGAAACTAGCTTTGTGCACTTTGTTACGATTGTCTTGAGAGTGCAGTTCACAGAGTTGATAGATGGATGACTCGGTTGGCTAATCTCTCTGCCAATAAAGTAGCTCCAAATTTCTGGACCAAAGCTATGTGTGCCTTGTTTTACCAATTTTCTTACCTGAGTTTAGTAAAGTTTAGTAAAAAGTTGAGTAAAAAAATAAATAATATATTGGTGTATATATATCCAGCAGGAACATATCTAATGATGCAACATGTTTTTTTGTTATTACTTATTTTTAAAAAAGACAGAGATTTGGATTACATTTGTTGTTTATTTGAAGTAAGAAAACATGGGACAGAATGTCGATACAAAAATATGTACATTAAAAAAAAACTCAGCTTCTACTTGTGGTGTTTATATATATATATATATGTGTATACGCACGTACATTTACTCACATTTAAAGCTGCCAAAGAGTGGCTCAATCCTAGCAGGTTCAACACGTTACAGAGAAGTGAACAGTATCGTGGTAATGGCTCATAGAGAAAAACTTCCATACACTGGTTACATCTTAAACCATACACTAGGCTTATGTGTAAAAGAACTATGTGATGGGCCAGGAAATCTCAAATCAGTTGAAATACAGTCTGTTCGGTTAAAGATGATATAGCCTGTCTGACTTTGGGCTAAATCTGCCATTCTCCTCTCTGGTTTTCTCTTGTTGGTGGCCTGCAAAGAAACAATGGTGAATGGTGAATGGTTGAAGTAGCAGTTAAGACTCTCAGAGTATTTCTCTTTGAAGGTTTATCCATTAAATCTTCACCTAGTTTCGTTTTCTTTCATCCACACGACTTCTAATCTCCTGGACCCATTCGTCCTCCGGATTGGCGCAGATGGTCCTTATCTTTTGATTGCGCCTTTTCTTCATCTGGAACCTACATTCGATCACATTACGTAAAGTTATCGCAAATGTACGCACTTCAGATGTTCTGCGACCGCTTTTAAATCACTCTGGGCCAGTTTCAAGTTTGTGAAAACAAAAGGCTCAGTTGGCTGAGTGGCATAAAAGAGGACATGGTATTTTCAACTCACACCACGGCTCTGATGTTGCAATCGCCATCTGTTTCCTGCATCCTGTAATCCACAATGTTTTTCTTGATGAATTTTCCAACTTTTGGAACATGGCCGAGACAGCAGTTGTCAAATGAACCTGGAGGGACAAAAAGGTGTAAAGAGATTACCATTTCCATTTGAAAATGCCATTCCTCAACAACTGGGATTTGCTCCCCGGTGTGAGTACTGGTGGTCTCTTTCATCTTGACATACCAAATATTTGCTGTAAGTTCAACATTTTTTCCCTCTATTGGCAATTGGCTGTCACTTGTTTACCCTTCCAGATCTGATCCGACCTCACTTGGCCCCACATGATCTTCATTATGGCGTTTGATGGCATTGCTTTCAGGTTGTGTTCTTTCAGATACACTGGCTTTCCATGTCTATCTATGCAAAATCTCAAGTGCATTTGTGCTATTGTCTCTATTTGTAGTTGTTTTCTAAATCCTTAAATGTATATTCCACTAAATATGACAGCTATTTTTTTGGCAGGACTATAGCTACTTTAACATTTTAAAGTAAAACTGTCCAGTTGGTGTATTGACAGTATTAACTTTTGTCAAACTGTGGTTTCAATGTCCAGCGCACACTCTCTGTGTCCCCGATTCTTTGGTCCCTTCTGCTTCAGTAAGAATTTGGTGCTTTAAATCAAATTTCTCTGCCAGCATTTTAGTTTTTAACTACCAAAGTGGATAAAAACAGGTCAGCTCTATTGGCAAAAAAAAAAAAAAAAAAAGTGTTTATTAAAAGCAGCAACTTTTCCTAATGAAAGCTAAATGGGATCTCTTGTATCTGTCATTTGAGTCACCACATCAATGTCATCAAGTCTGGAAAATCAAGTCCTGAGTAGTACAATTCTGGCGTAAAGTATTGGTGTGGAATGATTGATCACATTCAGACAGGAAATCTTCTCTCTAGTTTACTGTTAACTGTTTCCTCCTGATCTTTCTTTGGACTAAACTCGCAGTTCTGCAAAACGTAAAGCAAGATATGAGAGCATGAAAACTTATTTTTTAGATATAATTTAAAGGGAAAGTTCGACTAAGAGGACACAAATGTCAAAATCACAGTTGTTGTTAAAAAACTACAAAAAAATCAACCATACTTGCCTTGTGCCAAACTCAGGTACATGCAGGTGAAGATCAGAAGGAGGACGAGAGCGTGGAACCTCATGGCTGCTGCTATTCTTGCAGTTGTTATTCACTTCACAGACACAAACACAGCAAATCAGCAAGTGTTTAAGTCGTCATTTAAAATGCACGACAGCAAGTCTGGAAAAAGGAAAAAGAAGCACGGGGCTTTGTCTCAAAAGCATGCAGAAGAGGTCATACCTGCTCACATTCAGGTTTCAAGATATCTTCAGAAGATAAAACCTTTTACCAGCGTGAAGGCTCTGTGTTTTTATATTCTGCTCCCAACCCCACCTCCTCAACCCCTAAAACTTCTCACTCCTCCTTTTACAACTGCTCAGTAAACGTGCAACGTGATCACTTAACTCCCCCAGGCAGATTTTTTTCTTCTTTTTTTATTTTATAGGCGGGTGATTGACAATAGCTTCAAACCTTTTTCCACACATGTGAGTAAATACCACCCAGCACCTCCTAAATTACTGATAAACGAAACTAATTTGCCCTCCAACAAATTGTAACAAAACTGGAAAACTGAATCATTCTTCCTCTCTGGTGTTACGTAACGACAATTTTGTTTTTAAGATAACATCTTTGTTTTAGTATCATGTATACAAAGAGCTGCACCCTAAAACTACACACTATAATCTTTGATCAACAACAAAAAAGAGGAGAAATATCCTCTTCACAGTAACAAGGAAGAGATGGCAGTGAGGGAACTGAGATTGGGTGTAAGGAGAAAGAAAAGACATTGTAAAATTCCATTTCAGAGCTCTGTTGATGGACGACAGAGCTCATAATCCTTATCATAAAGTGATGGTTGATATGTACGGGCCCTTCACAGGGGGTAGACAGAAACTATTCCAAAAGCAGATCAGTTTACATGTTTCTGAAGTTATGATGATATGTGAGACTTCCCCAGTCTGTGGGGTGTTTTTCTGCAACATGTTGTACTAATCATCATCATAATTATAATCTTCTAGAGCATAAAAATGTTTTCTTCTGCATATTTTATATTCCTCATGAAGTCCATGCGGTGACTTCACTTGGAATGCAGAACTGTATCTGTGAATCTGTGTCTGTGAGCCATTTGTGAGCTCATTTCCCTCTACCACTGTATCCAACGTCAAGTCCTCAGATTCTATTTGAAACCACAGTTGTTAATGATACATTGAGACAGTTGAATCGGCTTTATTGCCAGAGAAGCTGTGAGCAAATGCAAATCAAAACAACATTCAATGGTCACCTCGTAAACTCATTTTGTATAAAAAATAGCATCGCTTCAACACATCATTTCTGAGAAATGTTGCTTTGTGACCAATGCCATGACACTGGAAAAAGGAAAAGTGAAAAAAAACATGTTGACCAATGTGCATAATGTCTTCTTTAAGAAGCCTTTAACAGGAAAAAAAAAAGACTGCTTCAAAAGTGAACTGTTTCGCAAGCCTTGTTAGATTATTACAAGCTTTTTTTTTCCTATTTTGTAGCAGTAAGTGGACGTGGTCAGTGTGGGGCCCCTCCAGCTGCAGTCCATTCTGCGTCTAGAGTTTCTGCAGCGTTTTAGACCTGTGCTGCTTCGGATTTTCACGCTAATCTGTCAGCTGCTCATTTCTCTTCGAGAATCGTGAATATCTCCATGCCACATGTTTGTCACATGGATTAGCTACTGCTCTGCCTCTGCTGGCTATTAAACACAGTTAAAAATAGCACCTGAACAGTTTTCTGTCATATTTTTGGGTTCTTGTTTGTCGTTTTGTGACCCCTAACAGTTGGTATTTAACGTGATATTATAATAGTTTTATCGTGTTAGGTGACTGAACTGATCATTGGATTGTAGCCAATGAAATCCACATTATTTTCACTTTTGTGTTGAGAATCTCAACAGCTCTTGGAATGTGACAATTCTATTGTCCTTTTGTTCTATTTCTCTGTCTTAAAACTGTTGCTAGCACAATAGTGGATGCACACATATTTAGTAAAGAAAAAAAAAAACATTTCTCAGTTTCAGCTTTCTTTTAAAATAAGTTTTTATAATTTGATTTTAGAAAGAAAAAATTATCTACACAATGTTCTCATTTATATTTTATCCAGTGTCCTGCATTTTTCTTAACTGTCAAGTGTCTGGAGGAGAGGTAAAATTTGTTTCTGTGATTGAACTACGGGTGATCGGAGTTGAACAAACAGTTATGACAAACAACAACAAAAAACATCCCTGCAAGTTCTTCCACTTAGGAAAAAGAATCTCTATCTGCTCTGATCACTGACAAATGCTCTGTAAATATTGCCTTTTTTTGTGTAATTTGGCTTGTTAGATTGTTTGTTGGTGTTTTGCACGTGTTTTTATAGGTTTAGGAAACAAGCTCTTCAAATGTTCCGTTTTCTACCAGATGTGAACCACCTCATTGTAATGACCTATTAAGGAAATTTGATGAGTTGAAAAAAGCCCAGAATTGAATCCTTCCTGTGATTTGTATATATATTACTTAACAAACACTTCCAAAAACACTTGAATCTGCTCTCCAGCTTTTCTACAAACCACCACAGAGGTAAATCTTGTGGGGAAATCCATTCTCTGCTTACTTTTACGGGATTAAGTTTTGAAATTAGAATGTAAATGCCCCCAGAGCGGCTGAAAAACACCCAAACTCTCAATGAAAACAGAAACTGACTGGGAGGAATTCTCAACACAGGTGAGACCAGTAGTCCCTGGACACATGGATACCCTGAAAAAACAAACCACAGCTTCTTAGAACGTATCATCACGTACCAAAAACCGTGTTTCTGTACTTAAAAATGAACTGATGCTGCCAAACTAAAATCTGAGCATCACTGGAAATCAGTCTGGAAAAGCACATCTTCAAAAAACACTGTGAGTTTCTGTGTAACGCACTATGAGACGTGGATCTTTCATAGTTTCATATTGGGCGAATTACATCGTCGATAGTATGAGGGAGAAACTTGTAAATTTGTAGTAATGGGGCAGTACAGTAGTGTGACAGTTGGAATGGGATTATTTATGATTGTCCAGGAGAATTGATGGATGCATTTCTAAATGATCCCCCTGGGGAACCACGGACATTTCTCAGTTGCTGTGAAAGCTTCTGCTCTCGGTGAGATTTTTAACTCGGGGAATTTCCTGCGTTGAGCAAGAATATGAATGGGGGCTCAGGTCGGGTGAAACGGTTTGCTTCTTGTCAGAGCTGAAAGGGGTCAAGGCCCTCGGTAAAAGAGACAAATTCCTCCTCCTGCATCTTAACTGTACTTTCGCCCGACTTTGCGTTTTGTAATGCTGTCTTTAAGAAACAGGAACAGTAACCCCACCTCCGCCCCCCCCACTACCCTTTTCCCTTTCCTGTGAAAAAAGAGCCAGACTCTTTGTTTTTTGATCACTGCCAAGCTTTAAACTTTCGTTCTGCATGTGCTGCCAATTTCTCATTCAATTCCAGGATGCTTCTGCATGCTGACACCATCACTCATCTGGCGTTTACGGCTCCTGTGGAACATCCCACCCTGCATCAAATTTAGGATGAACTCATAGTTCCCAGAAAGTTGTAACATTTCACACTTTCAATTTTCAGTTGTGGCTAAAATCTTGGTTTATGGTATCTGCAAATCATTACATAATGTCTTTATCAATATCGTCACAACTCCTTTTTAAATTTTGCCTGTCTGGCAAAACAAGCTAAAACAATTGTTCCACACCATGTTTTCGGCTGAGGATTTCTCTGGATAGAGTGGTAGAGCTGTTGTCCTACCACACAGAGAGATCTGCAAGACCATTTGCTGTCATATTGAAAAGTCAAATGTTTTTCTGTCCCAAAACATCAGCCCAACAACACTCAATTTTCTTAAATATATGCAATTTAGGTCACCATCTGAATCATTTTACGTAAAAATTCTGCTTTTGTGATACCGAAATATCTCATGATCCAAGCTTTCTGTGAAATCTTGCTTAAATTTACTAATTTTAGAGTTTTACTTTGTCACTGAATTCATGTAAATTACATCTGTTTTGTTCATTTAAGAATTAAGCAATGGCACTTAGCTCATGTTATGCCTATGGTTGGACTCCCAAATCCCTATTCACTCTATGGCCCATTAGATACCATTAGACATGTTCCAGGAGAACATTCACACACACAGTTATCATCCTATTTCAGTGGAATCTGCATTAATTGGGAGCTGGCCTGTTCATGTCAGAGGTTTCTGGCCAATAAGACTTGGTGGCACCCAGACTTTTGAAAGTTTAACACTTTCTACTGCACAGGGCCGGTCCATCCCAAGAAGATACACGTCCATAACACCAAGAAATCCGGGCTCTTTTCCTATAGACACCCTAAAGGACTTATGTCAGTTAGAGCCCAGCACTGATTTACTTTATATGTGACCCGAAAAAACTTACACATTTTTACTCTGATCATTTCTTTTGTTTATTCCCAGGCTTCCAACAATGCAATCGGGCAAACAAAAACGATAACCCACCCATTCACTAACAATATACACGACCTGAATTGAGAATGTGTCCAAATGATTCACCTGATGTGTATAAGAATAAAATGTAACAGTGTGAGAATGTGGAAGACAGAGTATTTTTCCACAAACGGAGAGTGAAAGTAAATGTCCTGAATCTAACCCCACAGCTGTCTGTTTATAGGATGTTGCAACACGCTTTTCTAAGAAGACACTTTGACATGTAACAGTAGGATGGTGCAGATTAGAAAAATAGCCATGAAAAGTGTCTCTTTTTCTGCTTAAATTCCAGGGGTCTGGTATTATTTTTGCACACTGTCCAGAGCTATTACACCGGCCTGAGACTGGGACAATGAAACAACCGTCCATTCTCTGTGATGCCATAAATACCCCTTTGACGACTTGGCAATTCATGTGCATGGTGTGTTGTTAAATAAAAGCCATAAAAGATCTGCCTCTAGATAGTACAAATGTTGATACTATATAATGTAAATCGCAAGTCCATCGCTCCATTATTGTTGACCTTTTTTTTATGGGAGAAGGGCTGTGGTAAAGCAAAACAGCGGTCAAATTTTATGGAAGGAAAGAAAAAAAAAACACAGTAAAATGTTTTAAAGAGAAAGTATAAAATGTGACCAATACAAGCTTCCCCAGAAACCACTGTGAACACAACACCGGACGGTTTCCTGGAGAGAGGAAAAAGACAACAAACACAACTGCGTCATCTGCTGGTGGGATGACGAAAGTGCAGGACCCCAGTGTGTATGCGTGTATATGTGTGTGTGTTTGTCTGTGTGCGTGTGTGTGTACGTGTGTGTGTTTGTCTGTGTGTTTGTCTGTGTGCGTGTGTGTGTATGTGTGTGTGGGTGTAGGGGGGGTCTATACCAGGAGTTTTGACGGGACACGGAACCACTAGCTTGAACTCTGGGAGGAAATTGGGTTTATTTGCCGGAAAGACACTGCAACCATAGACAATATCAGCCTAAAACGCTCGTATTGATCCGATATCGATCCCCGTTTCAGCATAGATTCTATCAACATCGGGGGTGGGTCTACCCCCCCGCACTAACGCGTGTGTAGACCCACCAGAGTCCACCTCGTCCAGCTCTTCCGCTGCCCTAAAAATGACACTCCTGTGTGGGCGTGGCCGACCGGCTTTCCACGCAGCCACTGAGGAAGCACCAGCCCGACAAGTTAGTCAACACGGACGGAGTGCAAGTCATGCTGACCGCATCATTTTAACGTTCGCGGGGCCGTCCGTTCCGCGTGCCCGGCAGTCGTAGCCAGTCTGTAGCCAGCCAGTGAGAGCTCGCGCTCCCAGCCGCCCCGCGCCTCGACGCCCCTCGACCCGGTTTAGCAGCCCCGTTAGCTTAGCACCCGACGACCACATGGACCTTCAAAACACCGACGTGAACGCGGAGGCGACCGTGCAGCTGAGCCGCGCCAAGACCCTCCGGCTCCACACGGGCAACCTGGTCAACAGGAGCAGGATGAAAAAGAAATGCCCGGGCTCCCCCAGCGAGGAGGTAAAAAAAAAAAAAAAAGACTGGCAACTCAGGAGTTTCGGCGGGGGGTGACCATGTAGCCTGTTAGCTTAGCCGCCAAGCAGGCTATCTGGATAAGTGTCCAAGCTAAAAAAAAAAAGAGCAAAGAATAAAACGGCAGTTATGTAGCTGTTTAATGGCTTATAATAACCTAATAACCTGCCTGAACAGTGTGTTGTAACAAACTGGTTTAGTCTCAATGGATAGTTTGCCAATGAGAATGTTTGCTGTAGGTTTCCAGCACTGCACAATAATCTTACTGTATATGAAGTGTTTAAGCTTTTTTTTAAAAACTGCCATACTCCCATGGAACCAGAACTGAAAAAACGTGCTGCACACCACTTAAATATACACGCTTTAGATATCGGCCCCGTGTTGACACATTTGTAACGCACGGATAGACAAGAAATGGGCACATTGCAACTTTTAGAGTGACTTGTTTTGACAGAAATCCACACCCATGTCAACCCAGAGGCACAAACTGTTTAATCAGTGGCTAATCGTGTCCGCAAATGACTGAGGCTTGCCTTGTGAATTGACTTGCCTATTCAGCTGGCCAGTTGTTCCAGCCCGGTTATCAGTTAAGTATTGTTATATAAAGTTGTGATGGCTGTTTGGTGAATGGAGAGGCTGCTACACTTTTTGTCAGGCGGTGCCCCACTGATCCCCTCAGAGGTGTGTTACTATGGAATCTGTCCATAGCTGGTCTGGTTGTTTTTAATGGCTGTAAACAAGGGCAAAGGTTGAACTAAACTGTGTTGGACTCATTTTTATCCATATGCACCCTGTATTTACACACATAACTGGTCACTGTTATCTTATTGTGACTGACTTGCTATTTTTCTTACATTTCAGCTTCGGGACTGCATTCAGGCCACGCTTAGCGACTGGTTCTCCTCAACAAAACCATCAACCACGGTGAGTGGGCACTTAAACCCATTGTCGTGTGTTCCTAAGGTCAAGAGACAAATTAAATGTGTAGAAACAGGGCTGTTCCATAGTCGGAGTCCAGCGTCCGTCAAAGTAAAACAACTGTGGCGTTCTGCATCAAAGGAAGCGTTTGGGCCTTCTGAAAAGAATCTGTCAAAACGAATGTTCATGCCGTGCTGCCCGCCAAAGGCGCCACTCCAAACGGGAGTCTGTCTGTGGGTTTGAGGGGGCGGGAGGGGCCACTGACATCTTTTGTTTAGATTTGACCTGTTGCCTTTTAACAGAATTTCTACCGAGGAAAATCTATAGAATACTTAGTGTTTCTATCAACAGATATGTGTTGAAAATGGTGGAATCATGTGAAAGGGTTCTGAAGGATCAGCGGCGGTGAACCAGCTGTCCTGCTGAGTTCTCTTCTGCCCACGGCTCAGATAATCTGTCTCAGCTTCTCTCCCCACACTCACACTGAGGTTAGGGGAGCTTTGAATGGCTTTTGCTGACTTCTTGCATAGTTGAAAAGCTCAGCCCCTGCAGAGAAATATTAAGAATGGGGGGTGGTAGTCGCTCTTGGATGTTGTATCCTCTGCCTAATGCACAGGTTTGTAGAGAAGTAACGTGGGTGTGTTGAAAAGTTCACGTCCTGAGCCTCTTTTTAGGAAAGCACCAACATGGATTTGACAGTCAGCTCTAAAAGTCAGTCCCAGGTTGAGATAATTGTTGAGTCATGGGATAGAAGTTGAATCAGGCTGCTGTTTTGTCAAACAGGACCTGCAGGATACACTGGTCTGCTCCATTCCTGAGGCAGCAGATGCTATCAAACCGGAGGAGAGGGAGGAGATGAAGGTTTCAGGTCGGGGCAACTTTTTCTTCTACACGTTAAATGTAAATTATTTCCAAAAGTAAAAACATAAGAATGCCTTCACAAGAAAGGGCTTTATAGTAGATGTTTGTTTCTTTTTTTTTTCTTTAGGCAGAGAACAGAAGCTCATTATGCATGCATTTGTGTATTTTTTAAATTACTTTTTTAAATTAAAATGCTGCTTTTACCTTAAATATAAAATGTAATTTATGGAAAAAAAATTTCTTAAGAAGCTCAGAGGAGATTAATACATACCCATCAGACTCAAACCGGAAAGTATGCATGAAGACGGTGTGTTGATTTTGTCTTTTCGTTTGCAGCTAAGCTCTTCCTGTGTGAGGCTGGTCAGTCTGCCATCAGAGAGGCAGTGGAGATGGGTATGTTTTGAATAAAAAAAACAAACGCATGGAAAGGTCTTTTAAAGTGGGATTCAGGCTGGTCTGTGCTGACACGGCCCTGTTTGTGTCCCACCGCTCAGCCTCCCAGATGCTGACCGTGTCTCAGCTCGACTCGGTCAGCATAGCCCCCCCCTGCGCTCCGGAGGGGGACAGCCAAACGCTGGCCCACCTGCAGCCAGCGTGGGAGGAGCTGGAGGCTCTGGTGAAGAGCCGCAAGATTGCAGCCATCGGCACTTCAGATCTAGACAAAGACCTGCTGGAGCAGCTCTACAACTGGGCTCAGGTAGATGGACTTCCCTTCAGTTTCACCAGCAATCTGCTGCAGAAATGAAGCCGATGGCTTCTCACAAGTCATCTTATCCGTTCTGTCCAAAGAGCTCTGATCAGTTTGGAGGCTTAGAAGCTTGAGCTATTTTCTGTATAAACCAAATAAAGCCATTCATTGCTTCATTTCCTGTCCGGAGCAGGTGAAACCCAGCAGCAACCAGGTCAACCTGGCCTCCTGCTGCGTGATGCCTCCTGACCTCACCGCTTTCGCTAAAGAGTTCGATATCCAGCTGATCACACACAATGACCCCAAAGGTAAACTGCTGCAGTTTTGCCTCACTGTTGGTTAGATTTAGCAAGTTCTATTTATTTATTTATTTTAGTTCCAGCATGCAGATGTGTTCATGATAAACCAACCACTGGCCTAAACCTCATGATAGTCTGTGTTCTTTCTTACTGTCAGCAAATGGAATTAAAATCTAAAAATGATCTGCCATTTTATCCTCAATATTTCGCATTAGCATGACACGGGTATTTTGGTCCATTGTGCCCCAAAATCTCTTTACCATTTGTATGTAAAAGTTTGTTGCTTTCGTCTCACTTCTCAAAATGTTATGGTTAACACAAGTAGCCGTTATCTGCTTGTGGAGGTCAGTTGTGAGAGGAGTGAAACATTTTTTTTTCTGCTTAACTTTCAGTGTCAATGAATGTGGTGTCCAATACGCTCCAGTTTGAAGCTAGCTTATCCAATAAGCATCCAAGCTAGTTGTTGACTAACCCGGGAAATTATTTGAACTTTTAAAGACAGAAACATTGTTTTAAAGAAATGTGAGTCGTAATAGTGTAGCTTTTACAAAACTGGGTCTAGTTTGTAAAAACAAAGATTTTTGTGTTCAGATTTTAACTTGAACTACATGTCTTTTGATTTGTCATGCTCCTGCTTATTTCTGAAGTGAAAGCCGTCATCCTTAAGCCTCAGCAGTATTAGATATGTTTAGTCAATTTATTAAAAAAAGCACTACAGACATACCTGTTTTTTATAATAGAAAGAAATTCAAAAAATGACCATGCTTAAGGTCATAGTTATGGTCATCTGTATGGTAATCCTTAAGCCTCAGCGGTTAAGTATTAGATATGTTTAGTTAATTTATTCTTTAAAAAACGACATATATAATAGAAAGAAATTTAAAAAATGATAGTTTTGCTTAATCCAAACTCTGAGACAATTCTTACAGATGATTTTGTGAATTTAAATGTCTCATTGGAATATAAATGTGGGTTTTTAAACATGAATTTATTTATTCATTTTCTCCCCCTACAGAGCTGATGTCTGCTGCTGCATTCCAGGAGGCGGTCCGTGAGGGGGCGCGGGTCCTGAGCACCACCGACTGGAGGCTGGAGTGGGTCCTGCGTTACTCGGTCATCGTCAAAAGCCGAGGCATCATCAAGTCCAAGGGATACCTCGTCAGTGCAAAGAGGGCGAGCCCCTAGCCCCCCAACGGCGAAATCAACCGCACGGATGAAGCCATTTTCCACTCTTTCCATTCACACACACAACACAAAGCTCCAGCTCTGCGTAACGAATGGTGCCAATCACCACACGTCTTGAAGTAGTTAAATTTTTTGATGAGGCCGTATTTTGGATTTCTTCTGTTTAACAGACGGAAATAGTCAATACTGTTGTCTCCGTAAGACCAAAAACAAAGGAGAGATGGATGAGATCAAGCCTGTATTTAGCTTCTGAGAGATGATTTGATGTGACTTGAACAGATGTGGAGAAATTAGCTGTAGCTGTTCACCTCACCTCTTTTAATGGGAAATCGTAGCTGCTAAATCAGTTTTTCAGCAGAGGTCTATGTGAAGTGCCTCATCTTTCCTCTTCTTCTGCTCTCATACTGCTGCGTCTTCACCCCGTTTGTGGGACTTTAGCCCCAAACAAATCGGTCTGTATAAGAACACTGAGGAGGCAAAGCAGGATGACAAGTTAGGAATGTAGATGTGCTCTTGATCATTGATCTAATTCCATTTTAGTAGAAGAAACTACAACAATGCCACAGGAGATACATCTAGATCAATATTTTATTCAGAAAATTTGAATTATTTTCTTTTTATATAACACAATTTACATTCCTTTGGGAAAAATGATGCATTTATTCAAACCGAAATACACTCAAGTTATTGAAGGATAGATATTACATTTTATCTGGTAAAATAGGGTTTTAAAAATGTTTTTTTTTAAAAAGATTATTCCTCTGACATTTTTAAAAAATGGCTGTGGAGATGCATTGACATGTTTACCCCCATACTCATGAATGAAGCAATATTTTGACATTGACATAACTAGTAGGCTGATGTCCTTTATATGTTGTCATAGCAGCACTGGAAGATGTAGATAAATTGTTGAGATGAGGTTTTATTTTATGATTTTTTTTCAGACAAGGTCCAGTAGGGTCTCCGTTTCTCTCGTACTGTAAATCTATTTAATATATCATGTCTGTATATCATGAATTGGCTTTATTAAAATAATGAAAAGGCATATGTTTGATACTGCTTGAAATCAAGATTTTGATCTCATGAAATCGGTGGAATAAAGAAATCTTGCCGTGGAGTCAGCGAACAACGGATGTGAAAATGATTTGTCTGTTTATGTAGTATGTTATATTTTCATGGACAGGCCTCCACACACCCACATTCACGTCTAGGGGCAATTTAGTGTTCACTCAAGCTAATGTGCATGTTTTTTGGTTTTTGGACGATGGGAGGAAGCAGGAAAACTCAATCTGTGGCATATTCTCTGTATTTATTGCTCATCAATTTGGCTGAAGTTTGCTATGTGCAAATAATAGATTTAGTCTCTGGGAAAAAAATATACACAGGTTTTTGGGAAAAAAGACACTTTTGACATTGATAATTTAATTTAAATGTTCTACACAGTGGGTCGTCACACGAATAGTCCCGATAAAAAAAAATACGCATTTCCAAATGTTACATTTAGAAATGCATCACAAGAAGATGTGAAAAAAACACAAACCAATGTCTATATGGCAAAACAAAATTGGTTCCGGGCTCATTTGTTCGGCCCGTGCTTATTACGGTGATGCTGGTGATTTGGTCTGGTCCACAAACCGGAAGTGACGCAGCAACTCCTCGCATTCAAGATGGTGGCGACCAGGAGAGGAGTGTTCGTGACTTTATCAACTAAAACGAACGTCGAGCAACAGTCCGACGTCCAGGTACGGTTCGGCTAAGGCACGTTAGTAGATTAGAAAACGTTCAGAGTCCGTTTAAAGTTTAAGTGTGAGTTAAATGGCAGCTGCCACGTTTCAAACATGGCCCAGTTGCACGTGGACAGCGTGGAGCGGCAACTCTCCCAATAAGTTTGTAATCATTTTCCCGCTGGGGAAATGTTTTCAGTAAATACGGATGTGCTGAATGTGCAAACCGTGTCTGTGTTGTTCCAGCGGATACAGGAGCTTTAGATTTGAGTTGTACATCCACCGCCATGAATTTAGTTCTCATGGAGAACTGTCACGAGCAAATGCCTCCGACTTTTCTTTACGTTCACCCCAAAAAACGGTATCTGCAAGTTGTTAAGTAATTCTTTCAAATAAATGCCAGCCATGCTAACGCCAGTGCCAGGACTGAACAATGTATTTAAGGTTGTTTTGGAAGAAAACAGACGAACAAATTCCCCCTAAATACTGAAGGAAACAGCTTTCCTAGTAAAGTTTTATCTCACGTGGTCATATTGAAATAGGGATGTTTGAGATAATTTCATTATTTAAATGAATTACATGATGCATTTCCACATTTCGGTTTAACTTATTATAGAGAACCTAGATAAACTAATTAGAAAAAAAAACAACTATTACCAGATTCACCACTATTGAGACACTATTGTTGAGAAATGCAGCCTCAGAAAAACAATCAATGTAAAAAAACCGCTTTAAAAGTATTGTCAATAATACTTTCTTTTAAGTCCCTCCTATGGCACGGAAGGTGGCCAAAGTGTAAAACTCTTATCAAGATACTATTAAAATAAAGAATAAAATAGCCATAAAATGCATCAATGAAGTTTTTTATTGCGAAGACAAGAGTTGGGTGTCATTGATCTGAATAATCGCATGGAATGAAGATTGTTGGCTGATTTCTGATCATGTTTGTAGTTATTTTAGTGTAGACATGCAGCCAATCACAGGTAGCGATAGTAAGAACCTGCTGGTTGGTTTTAGTTTCCAGCAATTGCAGATTTGAATTAATTTCCCCTAAAGTTGACCATCTTCCTCTCCACAGGACACTCCCTCCACTGGTCGTAGAACTAGAAATGCCGCCAAGCAAGCAGAGAGCTCTCAGCCGCCCGTTTCCGTGGAGACCTGCAGCAAGAGCGATGCCGAGCCTCCGTCCTCCTCCCTCACCCCCCCTAAGAAAAGGTGCACCAGAGCGTCCAGACTGCACAGCCCGGAGCAGCCGTGCACGCCGGCGGGCTCCACCCACGAGGCCGACGTGTCGGACCTGGAGTCCTGCTGCTCCGTGGCGTCTGAGCCGGACGCCCCGCTGACCCGCAGCCGGGCCCGGGGCCGGACGCCCCGCGCCGCCACCGGCCGGCCCACCCACGACGACCTGTCCGACGCCGAGTCCTGCTCCTCTTCGGAATCCAAGCCCGGAGCCGGCCTCCGCCGGAGCGCCAGGAGCAAGCCGGCTCCGGCCAGCAGCGTCCTGCCGGAGACCCGGCCCTGCAGCGTGGTGGTCACCGAGTCCCAGCGGGTCACCAGGAGCCTGCGGAGAGCCGTTCACTCCCGGCTCGCCGCCCAGCAGCCGGCCGAGGACTCGGAGCTCTCAGACGCCGACAGCTGGACCTCCGGCGCGTCCAGGCGCCGATCCCGCCGGCAGCTGAGGCCCATCCCCATGCTGCTGGACGAGGTGTCAGAGGGCTCTCTGTCCCCCTCCCAGACCGGCCGGCGCACCCGGGCGGCCAGCAGGAGAAAAGAATCTGCCCCAGACGCCGGCGAGCCTCCGTCCTGCGACTCTGAGGGGTTTGAATCCGGGCCGGCCTACAGCCTGACCGCTCGCCGCCGGACCAGGGCCGGGTCTGCGGCCCCCAGGGCGGGGGGGTCAGACTCAGAGCTGACGGACGCGCCCTCCGCTGTGGGCAGCCCCGACAGAGCCCCCCCCTGCAGCAGCCGTGGAGGCTCGGGGGCCAGCCGCCGCCGGGCGCCGGCCTCCAGCCCGCCGGCCCAGGCCCGTCCAGCTGAGGCCTGTCCGGCTGAGGCCGGTCCGGCTGCCGGGGGGGAGGAGGACCAGTCGCTCAACGACTCCAGGCTGGACAGCACGCTCATCGTGGAGGACGCGGACGTCACCCTGCTGGAGGGGGGCGACGTCCCAGCCCCCCATGAAGAAGACGCCATGGAAAGCCCCACTCTCACCGTCAGCCAATCAGAGGCCCGGGGGCCAGACGGCGGCGAGGACGCCGCGGGGCAGCCTGCAGCGAGCCCCGGCGGCCAGCAGGGGGAGCCGGCGGCCGCAGATGAGGACCAGGACGTCTCAGAGATGGAGGTGATGCAGGAAACCGTCCCCCCGCCGGACCCCCCCCAACCGGACACGGCAACCACACGCCAGGGGGCGCCAGAGGAGGAGGGCCAGCAGGACGCTGCCCGCTCCCCTCTGCCCCCGCCGGCCGCCGGGCCCCCGGGGGAGGGCGCCGCGGCGGCAGGGCGGCCGGAGGGAGGGGAGGAGGAGCAGGATGGTGGGGTGAAGGCAGACGCCCAGGTGGCGCCCCCCCTGGCTACTCCTGTCCAGGCGGCGCCCAGCCCAGCGGCTGTCCAGGTGCCGCCCGTCCAGGTGACGTCGGTCCAACAGCCCACGGTCATCGTGGACTCCGACTCCGAGGGGCCCGGAGACGTCCTGGTGCGGAAACCTAAAGTCATCAGCCTGCTGGACAGCAGCTCTGATGAAGAGGAGGAAGAGGAGGAGGAGGAGGAGGAAGTTTCTGAAGAGGAATATTCTGAGCGCCGGAGGGAGGAGGGGGGGGAGGCCTCTGATAGGCCGACGGCGGCAGCATCAGTAGACGGTCTGTTTATGATCGACACCCGACCAGGACAAGACTCGGACCCCCAGTTCTACAGACCGGACCAGGAGGAAGAGGAGGAGGCCCCCAGTAAAGCAGCTGAGGAGGAGGAGGAAGAGTTTGTGGATGAGGAAGGGGACGATGACGAGGACGAAGACGCCCAGGTGCTGTTCTCCAGCAGAAGCTCTCATATGTAAGTACCCGAGTGTGCAGCTGAAGGGGGGGGGCGCTAAACAGAGCTGCCAGTGGCTCAGGGTCCAGAGGGTCAGCGGGCTCAGGGTCCAGAGGGTCAGCGGGCTCAGGGTCCAGAGGGTCAGCGGGCTCAGGGTCCAGAGGGTCCAGTTCTGGCACAGGCTGTATTTATAAATGGAGAAAACAGTTTTTTTGAACAGCCGCTTTTCCCTCCTGAGAGCCTGTTCTCATGTGAGGGACGCTGCATTTCTGCCTCTTTACCAGGATCCTTCTTTTTTTCTTTGACCTTTGACCTCTTGGCCTCATAGATGGTATCAGACTACTGTTTGAAATCTAAAGGAAACTGGTTTTAGACATTTTCAACCAATCATGTTCTTACCGTGTACTTAAAATATTATAAAAAAGTCATTTGGACTGACAGAACCAAATTTTTAAATAAAATATATGAAAACATTTTATATTATAAAAAGACAAACCCACCTAGCCTCTATGAGGAAAAACTACCTGTATCAGGACAAAGTCTCGTTCTTGAACTTATCAGCTCCTCCTGATCACAGATCTGGAACAGAGCAGAAACCAAATAAAAGCTGTGAGGGAGGTTAAAGCAGCTATTTTTTTAGCTTTTCTTATGTTTTCATTTAGCTTCCTTAGAAATAGCGTTACCATTTGCATAGGAAAGATTTGTCCAGGTATAAAGGGGGGGGGGGTCTCCCTCAGGGGACAGGGGTCCTGAACAGATCTTTATCCATCAGATCAAATAAAGATGGAAAATGTCTTGGCAATTTTAAAGGTCAAAAGCATTTCTTGATTTTGGGGCAATTTTAGTTATTTTACAAAATAAAAGGCCCATTTTGTATTTCTTCTTTTAAACCAATCAGTTTAACTTTTTCACGCCCTGATATGAAGCCTGTTAACCTGGCCCCGGTATCTGTCCCGGTCAGCAGCCGGGCCCCCGGTCAGCAGCCGGGCCCCCGGTCAGCAGCCGGGCCCCGGTCAGCAGCCGGGCCCCCGGTCAGCAGCCGGGCCCCGGTATCTGCCTCCCGGTCAGCAGCCGGCCGTCCCTCTTGTTTGCTGTTTTTGGAGCTCTGAATCAGATAACTTTGATCTCACACCAAATCACCGGCTGACAGCAGGACAAATCTTCTTCAGAAGGTTTTTCTAGACCGACACAAAGCCGTTTTTTTTTTTCTCTTCTGTCTCCTCTAACTTTTTCCTTCATCCCCGGCTCTGAAACGGCTGTAACCGGGCTCTCACACCGCTTAGCTCTCCCAGTTTTCTGCACCACTATCAGGAAGTAAAGCTTTTACTGGGGGCTGTGTTGAGTGGTCGGGTGTTGGGTCCTCGGTCAGAGCTAATTAGATCTATCAGAGTCCTCCTGCAGCCGGATCAGAGCCTCTGGGTGCTGATCCTGGAGCTGGTGTTCCTCAGAGGTGAGAAACCAGACGCGGCCCCCCCCTCCTGACCAACGCTCTCTTTGCCTATTCATTTCAGAAAAGAGTTGTCCAGCCGTATTGACCCCGGCGTGGGAGTGAAGCAGCTCGGGGGTTTATACATCAGTTTGGATGGCAGCAAATCAAAACCTGTCTCCAGCTCGCTGCAAAAACTGAAGGAAAAGAAGATCCAAGAGGAGGTAAATAAGGGATTGATTTCCACCCTGAAGGTGAGGGGAGTAATGAGGCTCGTGTTTATTCAGGGGGCGTTCACGTGTCGTCCGCCGTTCCATTTTCCCCCACTTTGACCTTATTAATCTCTGAGCTCCATTTCTTTAACTCTGCAATGGTAACATCCAATCACAACACTACTCGGGTTAAATGGAACATATGGCTTCTGAGTTATCTACAGAGTAATGAAAAACAGAGACAACCGTTCAAACAAGCGTTTCAGATCATAATCGGCGGAGAAAATGAAGTTGGAGCCAATATTTTCCAGCAGTTTCAGACTGAGTTTTTGCGTCTGCCCGCAGGTGATGAAGAAGAGCGTGATCGGGGCGGATTTTGAGAAGAAGGAGGCGGTGCCGTCGTACAGTGAATCCAAACAGGCCCTGAAGCTGAAGCACAGGGTGAGCTCCACAGGAACCCTGTGATCTGCAGCTGTACCCCCCCCCCCCCCCCCGCTCTGTGCCGGGCCCTGGGGGCGAGTACTTTAGAAACGTAATCCTTGTTTTTTCCCCTTTATCTCCACCCCTCAGACAGAGAGGCAGAAAACCACGGGGGACGGCTGGTTTGATATGAAGGCCCCGGAGGTTTCTCAGGAGCTGAAAGGAGACCTGCACCTGCTGAAGATCCGAGGCTCCTTAGACCCCAAGAGATTCTACAAGAAGAACGACAGAGACGGCTTTCCCAAATATTTCCAGGTGTGTGCCGTCTCCTGCCCTTTTCTTTAGGGAAAAAACCTCCACAAATGTGTAGTATTTTTCAACATGTAGGTTTTATTTTAGGGGGTTAAGGTTCAACTAGTAGAGCACAAAGTAAGAAATGCAGCCTTTGGTATCTGCGTGATGCCCCCCCCCCCCCCCAATGGCTGACGTCTGTGTCTGATCCAGGTCGGCACCGTGGTGGACAGCCCCGTCGACTTCTACCATTCCCGCATTCCCAAGAAGGAGAGGAAGAGAACCATGGTGGAGGAGCTGCTGGCTGACGCCGACTTCAGACAGTAAGTGGAATTCCACTTTCAGATTCACACCCCACACCTCTGTTTTCCCTCCGGACCCCACCAAACTGTTCCTGTCCAGTTTGGACACTTGGTCAGTCCAAACCCTCTTCAAAGCACCTGTGAAAGGCTGTTAGAGCATCTAAATTTTTTTTTTAAATCCTGCAATTAGGTAGCCCAGGTCATGTATGTAATTTAGAATGAAAATATATACTATAAATTTGATATAACTTTTAATCTGATTTTTAAAAACGCATCTTCGTGGCCTCCATCGTGGCATCAAAGATAAATATTCTGTTTCCATATTAAGTTATACGGCTGAACAAAGTCATGGAATGGAAATAACAAAAAGCCATATTAATCCAAAGGAGGTTTAAAAATGAAAGAAGTAACAAACAAATAGCAATCCCTGGGGAGATGAACTGGATTGATGAGCTTCTACTGGGGGGCCTAAACGTGAGGGTGGAGCCACCTGCAGAGATCTGATTGGTTTCTGGACTCCAGAACTACTCGTGAGCTCCTCTTTATAAGCACCACGTTCAAGTAGAAGCCGATTCCTACGTGGACTCAGCGCCCGGCCGGCTTTGGCCTGAGGCCGATGCTGGAATCACCAGGCCAGCGTCCAGACGCCCTGCGGCCAGGAGCCGGGCCGTCCAGGAACTGGACCGTCCAGAGGGAACCCGGGGAGTGGACTCCTGCACGTGGAGAGGAGTTAGCCGAGGTGTTCAGGCACCTGCTTAGGAAGCTGCTCACCCCCAGAACCCACCCCAGAAAAATGCGGCTTTTTAAAAACAAAACAGGCTGCAGTAATGAAATGTTGAAGAGATTTTCAAGAGTGGTGACGCATACATATGGCTTGATGTGGATCTTTCCCCCCCCAACCTTCCTGGAGGCCATGCGAGCGTGCGCTCAGAAGCGAGTTGGTTTGACCACAGATGTTGCCCCTGAGCCCCACTGCTTGTTTCTGACCACTTGGAGCGGCCGATTCGGCCGCAGCACGACGCATTGGTGGGACGCATCACATGACCTTTAAAAAAAACAAACAAACCTGAAATGCACTTTTTCTTTTCTCCCTCTCCAGCCAAAACAAAAAGAGGTTCCAGCAGATTATGACGGAGAAAGCCGCCCGGGGAGCCGGCAAGAGGAAGCAGAAGAACAAATTCCAGAAGAAAAAGAACCTAAAGACTCAGTGAACTCTAGACTCTCTGCAGTTTTCATTCATTCAGATCTTCAGCCAAATGTGGGATGTTAAAAGATGAGACCAAAATGAATACTTTGGGAATAAAAAGTTAGATGAAGCTTGAATCATCATCCTTGAAGACGATAAAATCAAGTTTATTGCTGATAAATCAGTATAAAGAAGTAACATATTCAGAACAAAGTTTTTATTTCAAATGAACTTGTAATTTCCAAACATTAGCAAATATATGACTTCATAATACACTGATATATCTGACGGCTGCTTGTGTACCATTAAATTATGACGTTTCCACATTTAAACAAGTGCAAGTTTTTTTATTAAGAAAAGGAAAGAATACTTTAAAGACACAGATCTCAATTAGAGTCACAACACTGGTTATACATGCTGAAAATCAGAAGTGTTTGTTTGCCAAACAGTGGGCACCTGATTGCCAACAGAAATCATGGATCTGCATACGTCTTCCAAATGAATCCATTATGAAAAGTGTGATAGTTTCAGCTGAAGCCGGAGTGGGAAAGAATGCTGGCAACAGATTGTAATGAGTTTGTCAATATATCTGCCACACAAGTCACGCACCAACACTTCTGACAGCTTAGGGTTGTTTTAGAAAGCTTTAAGTGTTTTTGAGGCATGATTTAAAAAAAAGAAAAGTACCAAACGCATGTGCTCAAAAATGCTTGTTTTAATGCAGTTTATCAAACTAAAGCGGTTCTGAATGTGGACATGTTGGAAACTGTGACCTTATGGATGAGTCTCTACCAGGCCTGTTGAGCAGAAACATTCTTTAACAATAATTGGACCAGTGCGGAACAGTTTAGCCAAAATAAATAAGACTTCCGAGGCGGCAGAATTAAAACCCAATGAGTGGAGACGTAGTGAGGGCTGTGATAAAAGCTCATCAGGAATTGAACAACTGACCTCTGCCGATTTATAATAATGACGCTTCCCTAAAACTGTCTCTTTGTTTTGGTTGTTTCCTCCTGCTCTTTCATTCAGAATGACTTCTGTTCTCCTTTGTGTGATCAGAGATGAGCCCTCAGCAGCTTCCATCTACCCTGTCTCCCTCCCACTCAGACCAGATGTGCTGCTGCTTCTTTTTTTCCTGTCGGAGAACCAATTTCACACGGCTTTAGACAAATTAGACACCGTCTCAGTTTGGTTTCACTACCGGGGCATCGCTGAAGTGCAGCCCAGCTGGTAGGTGGGAGGAAAGGGCCTTTGAACAAAACCCCTGCTAATTTCCCGCCTATTTAACGAGCGTAAGGGACAAACAGCCCGGCGTGAGCCGGAGGTTTGAAAAGTAGCCGCTTTTAAATGGTGGACAGAAAGAACGTCCTGATGTCCTTTTATTTTGGCCGGTGGGCTGCTGTCTGTGTTATAAAGGCCGACAGGAACAGGTTTTTAGTGGTCTCTTTAGTGGTTTGAAGGTAACGGCTCCATCAGTGGTCCCAGGCGGATCTGTGCGTCTGAAGAACCCTCTGGACCCGGCTGTGGATCTGCTCCCAGTAGGACGGACGGAGCTGAAATCTGAGGAGCACAAGGTGATTTTTATTTTTTCTTTCTTTAACAATGGACTGAAAAAACTCACACGGAGATCGAACTAGAAAGGGAAGAATCAAAGGTGTCCTCAACTTACACATCTGTGTGTGTTATACCTCAGTCTAAAACATATCTTAGTAAGTTATTTAAAGGTTTTAACATGTTTCAGGGAGCGCATCTCTTTGTTTAAAGCCATTTATTGTGATTTAATCACGAGATATGAAGATTAGACACTGACTATGAATGCTTCTTTTTTGTCACAGGGCTTTTCCTGGTATTTGTCTGGATCCACCACTGTAAGTAAAGGATTTATCATCCACAAGTTAGTGCTTGGATTCTTGCTGGTTTTGCCTTCTGCCTGAATGTCTTATGCAAACAGATAGAACCATAGTCAGGAGAGAACCGAAGCTGTAAATCAAAGGGTCTTTTCCATGAAAGAGGCTCCAGAGGAAAACGGATCTAAAGAACTTCCTCTTTCAGTTCAGCACATTGTGAGCAGGTGGTTTTGAACTGTGTCCACTAGTCGGTGCTGTAACCAAACACAATAAGCAGGGAGGACACCATGCTGACACACATTTGAAATGTTTGTAAAACAGTACAAATATTCTCCTCTGGTTTTTCAACATTTAAATTTAGCTTGTACACACTAACTTTAATCCAAATTCCATCAGACAAGACCGTAAGTGTGCGTGCTAAATCCAGAGCGTATTAAAACAAACCGAGCTGAGCTTTTCATTCGTTGCTAGCGGAGCGCTGATGGCTGACGGATTGACTCGTGTCCCGTCCTGATAGACAGCGCAGGAACAGAAGCTTTCCATCCACAATATTAATAATCTACCTGCTTTAAAAAGTCATCAAGGACAAAACATCTTGAGACATGAATAGACTAGGATTTGGAGGCTTAAGGGGGCAAATTCTGCCACTGACATCTGTCATTTTTCTCCCAGATCAAAGATTGGTGGAGAGACGTGCCCCTCTCGCTGTAGAGGGAATCTACACAGGACGCCTCTAATCTCCCACCTCATCAACGCTGTTGTGTTTCCAATTGTGAGGAAAGTATCATTCATTTCCTGCAATTTACTTTTCAGTTTAAGGATGCCCATTGATCCTAATGTTTACCTTTTTGTCTGAGCAGGGAAGGAGGGGATGCACAAACAAACAAACAAACAAATGGAAGCTAACCGGGGTCCCATCGGCGTGCTCAGCTCGGAGCTGTCCTGATCGATGACAAGGTCTCTCGGAACATATTAAAGCGTGCATTGGGTCAAATGCATCATTCTCCAGATGAAACACAAATCAATACCATTTTCCTCTTTGTTTTCCCCGTGCACTGCCTCCTCCCTCAGTAATGAACAAACACCACAAGACATCAGCTTCTGTAAATTAAAAAGTGGAGGGGAATTCATCCTGCCCATGAAGTGGGATCAGAATTAGAGATTAGATGTGTGCCGACACACAAAGAGGCGGCAGTGTGTGACTAACACCTCGGGGGATTTCCATATATTTTCTGTACATGGTAATTGGATCTTCATGCAGGTGCACTTTTTTTTGCTCTTAAAATCTTTCGTGTAAACACAAATGATTTACACAGATGGATTGTGACAAATTGTGCTCACGACTGTTTAGGCATGCGAGCGAGGACAATGGATGTGATCGTAAGAGTGTTTGAAGATACATTTGAAAACTTGCCCACATGTAGAATATTTGAACCCTCTTTTCTTCTGGTCAGTTTGACTTGTTTCAAAAGTTGGCTGAAAAAGGCAGGGACAGTTCTATGCTGTTTGTTGCCATGAAAACAAACTGGTTGAATTGGAGGACAAATGGTGCCTGGTCTACCACTTATATTCTTATCATCATCTTTCTAATTTAGTAAGAGTGAAGGACACAAATAGTTTGCCAAACGTGAGATACTGTAATTCTTACTTTTCATTATGTGGACTAAACATTCTTATTAAATTGGTTCCACTTTTGGCCAATGTGCTTTTCTGAAACTGAAGCAAACTGGTTTAGTATTAACACTATTCATTATACATTTATACTGTTTGGCTGAATTTGAATTCTTCTCACAGGAATAGTTTACCTGTCTTTCAGAGATGTGTCGCTGGCGTTCAGATGACTTCTGGAGGCTGACACATTCCGGCTGGACTGGGCTGAGGTCACACCTCTCGCAGGACGTCTGATCTGGGGTTCATGTTTGCTCGGTGTCGGCAGAAACAACTGGACCCTTTCCGGAGATGATTCTGCCTTGAGAGGTAAATTGTTTTTGTCATTATCTTTGTCAATACTAAGTCCTCTCTGTACATATAGATGTGTGCGTGCATATATATATATATGTGTGTGTGTATATGTATATATATATATATATATATAAATACACATATATATATATATATACCTATATATACCTATTCATATATGTATGTATGTGTATATACAAAAAAAATGATATACACATATGTCCATACACACATATATATATATATGTGTGTGTGTGTACATATGTGTATTTATATACATACAAATATGTGTGTGTGTGTGTGTGTGTGTGTGTGTGTATATATATATGTGTGTATACATATTTTTTTATATTTACACATATATGTATGTATATAAATATGTGTGTGTATGTATATATATATAATTTTTTGTATATACACATACCTATGTCTATAGGTACACACATATATATATATGTGTATATATATGTATGTATATATAAATATATGTGTATATATCTATGTATATAAATGTATATATAGGTATATATGTCTATGTATATGTGTATTTATATGTATATATATGTGTATTTATATACGTACACATATATGTGTGTGTGTATATATATATATGTGTGTGTGTATATATATATATATATATACATACACGCATATATTTATATTGTATGTGTGTGTGTATATATGTGTATATATATATATGTGTGTGTATGTATGTATGTATGTATGTATGGACATATGTGTATATATATGTGTATATAATTTTTTTTGTATATACACATACATACATATATGAATAGGTATATATAGGTATATATGTATGTATATATGTGTATTTATATGTATATACACATGTGTATATGTAAGTATATAAATGTATATAAATATATGTATGTATACATATATATGTGTGTATGTATGTATATATAACGTGTGTATGTATATATGTGTATGTGTGTATATATATATATATATATATACAAACATACATACACACACATATTTATATTGTATGTGTGTGTATATATATGTGTATATTTTTTTTGTATGTACATATATATATAGACATGTACATAAATATGTGTGTGTGTGTGTATGTGTATATATATATATATATATATATATATATAGATTCTCCACACATATATACAGTGGGGCAAAAAAGTATTTAGTCAGCCACCAATTGTGCAAGTTCTCCCACTTAAAAATATGACAGATG